AATAACTTAACAAGCATTTTCCTACCCTTCAGCTCTGCAGAAGTCGCTGTATGACAAATTCAAAGTTCAGTTATCTTTGAGAACCATTAAGCGAACAAGATTCAAGCTAGGATGGCGAAGATCTGGGTCGTGGTATTGCCAGATTGTGAAAGAAGAAGACCGAGTCAAAAGATTGGAGTTCCCAAGAGAATACGCTGAAACAATGAACTGTTCCAAAACTTCATCTTTACTGATGAGAGCAGCATTTGGCTTAACAGACAGTAAATTGTGCTTCAGAAAAATTGGCCAGCCAAAGAAGATGAAGCTGACCCCCAAGCACCCTTAGAAAGTCCACATCTGGGCGGAAATTTCGATGAAAGCAGCCACACCAATTAATCTTTGGGGAGATTGTGGACAGGTTCTTTTATGTAGAAGAGATCCTCCAAAATACCCTGCTTCCCTTTGTTGAGGAGACTGTTCTGGTCAACAACGACTCATATCGCAGGATAATGACCCGAAACATACTAGTAAGTGAAACTGTTGATTGATAATGTTTGCCAGCTAAATTATTAAAATACTCGTTTTAAATAGTACTGACTAGGACTGTTGTGATTGTGGTTAGGATTTTCATTTTATTTCAGGATAAAGCAAATGACTTGCTTGGGCATGTTGCTAGAGTATTTAATTAGTTAATTGAGAGAGTGTTTATTACAAGCACTTGCCAAGCATTTTTAGTTAATAGTGTTGCTAACATACAAGGACTTTGTCTTCCATCATTTTCCAGGTAATCTTGCAAAGCAGTTCATAGCTGATAATGGAATCAATTACTGACACCTGAAGATTCCCTGATTTAAATCCCATAGAGAATCTCTGGCACAAACTAAAAGGAATTCTGTGACAACTGATTAAGCCTAATAACAAGGAAGAGCTGGTAAGTGATATTAAACAGTTTTGGGACAGTGTCATCCCGCAGAAGTGTCAAAAATACATTCAACACCTGGAGAAAGTACTTCCAGCAGTGATCAGGTGCCAAGGAAAGGCATTCGGTTTTTGACGTAGGGTTATAGTTGCGTTCAATGAAGGAGAACACAACCTCTTCTTCAAGGCACGGTTACCAATTTTGTAGTGCGGCTACCAAGCATGTAGAGGCACTTTCTGCCAGATTCTTCACATTCCTTTGGTTGGTCACATATTTGAGCCGTTTTTGTCACCATTTTAAATTTATAATGTAATACATACATCATTGCCCCAGTATGACGTAATGCGCACTCATGAATTCATTGCCACAAGGTCAACAGCTTCTCTAAAGCAAAGTGTGAGAGGGCTCGAAGTTAACTTTTTAGTGCACTTTCACAGTTTTGGTAGTAAGATTTTATTCCACTAGCAAATTGGTGAGACCACTAGCAAATGCTCTCCTTTTGTTTGGGAAAAATGGAAGATTCTAACTTGCAAACGTTTGGTAGTGCATATTTTTCTCACTTGCAGATTAACAAAATCACTAACGTTTTGCAAGTTTGCGGGCATTAATTTCAAGACCTGTGTGACGAGGATCTAGGCTGCTTCTCTTGATTTTGGCTGCTTCTTTCTTTCTCTAGGTAAGTTGTCGCAGACCATGTAAAGCAAGGTTGCACCTATCTCTTTAATAAACTGAGAGTGAAAGAAAATGCTGATCAGAAATACCTTAACACGCCAAAGCAGCAAACACAGTATAGAATAGAAGAAGTGGAACCCTTCACAACCCCTCTTCCTACACTTGAGGAGATCTCAACCTCCAAAGAGTTTACTGCACGTACTCTAGGAATAAGCAGATTATTAATAAGTACAGTTCATGCTGTCACTGTATGAAGAAGGTAACAATAAAAGGAAGGTCGCATTCTGTGAAAACTGCAAGATGTCACAGAAGTCAACTGCTTGCAACGTCCAGTGGAGCCTCAGAATGTGTGTTGAAAACCAAGAGGAAGGAAACACAAAGGTTAACCTCAACATTTACAGTCAGTAAATAGTCAGCAAGTCGTTTGCACCATCCAGATTACACAAAGAAGCAGAAGATGGACTCCTTGAGAAGTTGCTGGACATTCACATGGCAAAGTTAAGTGACGACACACAATCCCACAAACTCATCAACATTGATCACATTAAAATATAAAAACTGAAAGCTGAAACATTGTTGTCTTGCACTTGACACAAGTCCTATTATAAAACATGTGTAGGACAGTGCAAGTCTTGATAGGGTTTTGTTGCATCACTACACCATTCCACCATGTTATTGTTGATTTTGCTTACAAAGTGCCATTTTCCAAATCTTAGCCTACAGCACATTTTGTTGTTCACTATCTCTTTTCACAGAATTGCTTTGTAATGATACCAGACGATTTGCAAGATATTATTAGAAGTTTTCAAAATGCTGTGATTCAGAAACTTGCACCAAGTAACCTATACTCAACTGGATATTTAACAAATTTTTGATTCATTTTCCTCACATTTGAATCTGTAGACACTCTTATCGTTCATTTACAGTTAGCGGTTTTAAAATTAATATGAGAGACTACTACGTGGAGTTTTTCAAACTTAACAATACAGATATACATTGATCTCCTATAAACATTAAAAAAACAGTTTCATAATGTATTGTTGAACTTCATATTCATTCAATTGAAATACAAGAAACTGGACTCATTCATAGTTCTTTGTTAAAATACAGTTCAACCTCCATAAAAAGCCATAAAAAGGTACACTGTGCCACAGTAATAGTGTTAACAATTAAATGCCGCATGGTTATTAGGACATAGCCTGCATAACTTGCTTTCAAACAGGAGGAAAAAAGGGAAAATTCAGACAGGCAAAAAAAAACCAAGAAGACCAAAAGAAGAGGACAGAAGGGTTCCTCTTCCTCTTTCCCTCCAGCCTTTCAAAGAATGATATGATTAATCATCACTGAAAAAGGGGGTTTGGCCATGGGCCACAAATACAGGGCTCAACGTTGCGACCCGTGGGTCGCCAATGCGACTAGATTTTATGCAGTTGCGACTAACTTTTCACGCCTGGTCACCAGGCTGGCCCCCAAGATATTTTAAGGTATCAGCCACCCTTCAGGACCGTCCGCGCGCGGATCGCTGTAGCGTTAGTCGTTTTTATAAAAATCCCTATAAACCATATATTTTTTAAAAGCTTAATAATTCCAGATTATGGATTTGAACTAACAAAAACGATTTACTTAAGTGTGTTTCGAAATTGGAACGCTTTGTGTAAACGTACACGTCTCTATAAATCATGTTCCACTCCCGCTGCAAATAAACGGAAGAAAACAATTAACACCGCATTCGCTTCTTAACACGTTCCACTAAAAAACCGTGTCTCAGATTTTTGACAAGTGCGTTTGTTTTTCTTTTATTAGCAAATGAAGTTGGGGAAGGCAATTAGTCAACACTCCCTGTGGAAAAAAAGCTCTAGCTTTAAAATGAAAAGGAGTATTAAAATTCGCAGACACGGTTTTGTAGAAGAGATATATGGCATCACTCTGGCCAAATTTTAGCCAAATTGATTGAAAGGCTGCCGACTTGGAGTTCAAAACGTACGAGTCAATCGGCAAAATCTGCGTTCGGAGATAAAATAGAAAATACATTTTTGGCGGCATCCTACCTGGAATGAGATTATAACACCTAAATGTTTATTCTTATTGATATCAGAGAGGGATCAATTTTCTCTAACAATAGGACTTTGACAGGTAACATGTAACAGGAAAACTTCCACTCTTTTACATCACGAGAAGCACGGTTTAATTCTTTCTCGAACAAAAGTTTTGCCTCTCCTTCGATCTTTTTCGTATGATCCGCCCAGGCGTTTTTGTTGATCGGCGCCAGGCCAAGGAAACTAAAAAACTTTGAAGCCGCCGAATGTCCACCACCGATTGCTCGACGGCCAAGAACTGAGGCCCGGTTTATTTCAAACGCTCTGCTCTTCTCGGAAGAATTAAAAACAGAATTTGCCTTGTGCGACGGACAGCTTTCATTCTCGCACTGGATTCTCCAGGTGGAACCAAGTCCATGCTTAGTCGCTACATTTTCCATGACTTGGACTCTTCCCTGGCAATCGACAAGATACAGACTCGTCCAGTTTCTCAAGCAGCTTTTCGCTCGATACGATAGCTCGACCGCTTATTGTTTTCCACGGCTGGATTTTGGAGCGGCTTGCACTCTCAGCAACTGCAGCATTTTCGCTTTTCTGAATATCCAACTCCTCGAGCCACTTCTCTTGCTGATAAAATGAGCCTTTGTCGCTCTCTGCCAATTTTGCTGCCCATTCTTTGTCAAACTCGCTCTTCGATTTCTTTTTCCCTCTCGGTTTCGATGACGAAAACGGACACGACCTTTTCTTTTTTTTGGCGGCATTTTCACCGAAGCAAACGCTAAATATCCACGGAGAAGACTAAAGGCTATAGACAACGCGAAGACAATTCGCACGTGTTGTGTCGAAGCACGCACTCGGTATCAGCTACTAGTTCACAGGCAAGTTAATTGATATATGACACGGGTATGACAGAACTTGTCAACGATCAATTAAGATAATTAACGAGAAAAAATCTTTTACCCCCGATATCTTTCGACAGAAATAATATTTTCTTCTGATTTTTGTTTTAAAAGAAAGCTCTCAAGCATATCTATCTGAAAACGTTGAAACCTCAAATATGGAAAAATGGCAATTTTAAGGGTGGCTGATACCTTAATTTAGTTTTAAAATTTCTTATTGAGTTCAACACTCTGATACTGTCGTGTCCTTGTATGAAGCCAATGAAATCATGTTCGTTTCTCAATTTTGGTTATTTTATTTACTTGGTAGGAAACTCAAAGTGAAATCTACATGCATGAGAATAGTAAACTTTTCTTAAAGGCAAACTGGTTTTATATATGAAAGCATTTTTTATATATATGATAACATTGCAAGTGAAATAAGCAGGAATTTTGCCTTGGGTTTGCGCTGCTTTCTTCCTTGTTTCACTGTTCAGAAAAGATTTAAGGCAAGCAATGGAAGTTGAGGATGGATTAAGGGATGATTTAGAGACGTTGAGGAGATGTACGATAGAAGGAAATGTAGAGGGTGCTAAACAAGTTGTTTTTGAATGTGAAAAAATGTTTAAATTGTCTTTCATTGACCAGCGTGTTAACTACCACATGTCTGCGATGACAAAGCATGAATTCTCAACTGCACTTATCCCAAGAGAAGTGGAACTGAGGAGTTGCATTGCTCTCAAAACTACAGGGAATGCCAACTGTATGTTTAATGCTGCTTCACTGTTGTTGGCGGAAAACGAATCGCTAAGTGATGTGATAAGACTACTCATTGCTGGAGTACTTTTCTTTTCCTCAAAATTCTACATACAAACTATTCAAGACAGGTTCTTGGAAGTAGAAAAAGAGACCCCCTATTCAGAGGCCACTGTCTTCTCAAATATCCTAACAGAGGCAGGTGAGAAAGATATGACAAACTCAAAAAATCACCTCAAAGCTATTCACGCAGAAGCATGCGATATATGCCTTACAAACAACTGGAATGGGATGGTTCAAATGATGGCCTTGTCCACTGTTTGAAGACGGCCAACATTCAGGATTGACTTTCTGTAACTTATTGACAATTTTGTTGAGGTTTATTTGAAGACGTTTAGTACATTGTATTCTATTTTTTTTTCTTGAAGATAATTTTTGGCGACTAGAATACTTGTCCTGGTGACCAAAAATGAAAACTTAGAGAGCAGCTGGCTCTAAGATTTTTTTCTGAACGTCGAGCCCTGAAAAATGACATTATATCCCCCCTCAAAATTCAAGCTTTTCTATGCAGCTCTGGTGCTTTGAATTAATGCTTATTTGTTAATCGAACATTCAACTTCTATAATTCAACATTCACAATTTCAACATTCATATGTTAAACACTATTCACATGCGACATTCATGAGTGTGTTGCGTATAATGCAATATGCATGCTGCCCAATCCAACATTATTGTTTTCGTTAATCACAAACCAACAATCATAAGTTAAATTCCATTTCCTTTTATTTACATGTGACATTGATCTCTTTCATTGCAATGTTCATGCTCAGTTTGTGTGTTATGGTGCAGAGTGCGATATGTTTGCAGCACAATGCAATATTCTCATTGGACACTGAACTTCATGCTTGAGTGAGCTGACCTTGAGATAGCAAATCACTGTGTAAAAATTTGTGGACTCAAAATAGTTTGCACATGCTTCCTCAGTCTAATCCAGGCGTAGCAGTGATGGGGGATAAAATGAACCCCATAAGCCATTTGCAAAGACCACAATTCATCGCATTGCAGATCAATTGTTAACACTGGCAAATCGAGATACGTTGCACTCCAGTTTTTAGCATGTTTTACTTTGTAAGGACTTTACGCTTTTGTTAGGTTCCACATCATTCCCCATAACTTAATGTATGCAAATGCTATCACCATTGTGCCCCCAGACATCAACTTTTCAGCTGTTATAGAAATACTTTTTTAATAATGTGCAACAAACCTTGAATATTGTACATCTTTCTTTTAGAATCAAGAGAGAGCCAGAGAGACTGGTATAATAAAATTGATTGGCTGTCACGTTTTCAAAATCCAAACAAATAATTTAAAATCCCCTTCCATCCTAACCATCCTTGGCCATCTTGACTTCCTAATGAAATTTTAAGACCATAATTGTTGGGTTTCTGGGTAATTTTGCAAACCTCTGAAAATCATAGTCAAAATGAGGACAAACGTCCATCAGCTTTGTACCTTTCCTAATTTCAGGTGATACTGATGATCAGAATTTTCAGGTTACCAGTCACGAAGCAAGGCCTGTTAGTTCATCCATACAGCAACATCAAAGGGTGTTCAATTCAAGCAGCCATGGAGCTCGAGTAATGAGAAGCCTGCACATGCCACAAGTAAAATGAACAAACACAAAATGCAAAGTTGCACTTTGAAATCTGTCTTTATAAAATTACTTGTGAAAAAACACCAACCTCTGTCTATGAAAAGACAGCTCTCTTAACCTGGGGCCAGGGTTGATCACATTGGACATTGACAGCTCCGCCAAAGATCTCCACCATTGTTGAGGAACAGCCTCCCGTCGCCTCAGCACTCACCCTCAACTCTGCAACATGGAAACCTGCCTACAATGGCAACCTCTCTGAAATGGAAACCTGCCTGAAATGGGAACCTCTCTGAAATGAAAACCTGCTTATGAAGACAAGCACCGATTGATAAACTTGTTAATTAATTTTCCTGGTCAATGAACACTGAACATTTCTTAAATTGTTGTTGCTGTAGAGTGACCATAGGGAGAGAGCAGCAACATAATCAGGATTTAAGGGAAATATATAAGGGGGGGATGAATTCTCGAATTCATCACTTTTTACCAGAATGCATTGCACTTAACCACACTTTTTACCAGAATGCATTGCATTTAACCAGAGTGCACTGCACTACTTTTTACTAGAATGCATGAAATAAAAACACGATGAAGTTCGGTGGGTGAGAGCGGGCATGGTTCACTGCCCAGACTCAGAGTTTTCTTTGTGGCAAATTTTCTACAGCACGGTTAGAGGTCTTAACAAATTTAAGACAAGCAGGAGTCTTTCAGATGAGTACGATGGTTAACTTGGGGATTGGATTTCAATTCAAGAGCCTCTGAGACTCGCTCAGGCGTTAAACTTGACGAAAAGATGAGCATTTGCTCTTCGACCCCGCAACACCGGGGATATGCAAATTCCAGCTTCGCCCCAAGCCAGGGGTGCTGGGTTCGAGTCCTACACAACTCTTTTTTTCCTTCTTTCTTTTTTCTCCTGTTTTTTTGTATTGTCATTTTCTTTAAATATATACTTATTTAATAAAGCGCAATAAACAGCAAGAAGAGTATCGTGTTTCCAGGGAAAAGATAGTACACCGTATATTAAATATATGGATAAACAATCTGACTTTCTATCATTTGCTACAATTTACTGTGGGAAAACCAGAGTTGATAACCACTTGTCGTAATGATCATTTTCCAAACAACGTTCCCACGAGTTCTTTCTACAGACTGATGGTAATTATTGCTTTCCAACATGTAAATAGGACATTCAATGTCATTTTCGATTCTTTTAAGTCTCGAGGCCTAACTAATGTCAGTATCAACAGAATGTTCCGCAGCATTACTATCTTTTAGATACCCTAGTTTTAATTGCTAATTACTACTTTGATTGTAAAGGGTGTTGACCAGTCTAGGTTCCATTTGTTAAAATTTTATACACCGGTCAACAGGGGGAAGTGGGTTAGGAACGTTTAAATTGTTTTAAATGAAGTTGAACACAAATTACACTTTCTATTCAATTGTAATCTTTACGATAGACTTCAATCTAACTTTTACAGAAGCGTTAATAATAGATACTCCCCTTTTTATCATTTTGACAACAATGAAAAAACCCTCTTCATATTTAATATGTTGATCCCCAAATCTACAGCCTTACGGCTGCTTACATACATTCATGTATGGAATATAGACAAAAACGTGTTCTTCAATTTTAGCCTATATTTTGATTTCAGATTTGCAACATAAATAATGTAGGTAATACCATGTTATCAAGTGGGAATAGTTGTTGTTGTTGTTGTGTGCACGCCTTTTGCACACCTGCACGCAGTCCTTTGAATTATGGGAATTATGGTATTTGAATTATGGATTAACTCATGTGAAAACAACCTAAAGGTCTTTTACTCTTTCTTACAAGCATTCACAAGCAACAACGTTGCATATTGTGATAGACGTATATGAAATAAATCATATACAAAATTGCCTTGGCAACCTTCCGTACATCTCAGTGTCAAGATGACGACGAAGTTTTAAAATGCATGAATGAAGATGTCAGGGCACAAAAAGACGCTTTAGAAAACCTGAACACACAAGAGAACATCAAGAAAGACTCTAACAGGTATTTGCCAAAAAAGTCTGAAAAATTTTGAACTTTATAAGCCAAATTTAAGGTCTAAACATTTGAGAGAGTGGAGTTCTCAATCGATACGATCCAGGATAAACATGTCAAAAATCCAAGATTGCTAACGTAATACGTCACCCATGATATTAATAGGTAATCAAATGGTATACTCGTGAAATTAGGGAATAATTTCACTTGTCACCATTTGATTACACATACTAATCATAACTATGACAAAATTGTCAAATCTGATTGGCTATCAACTGCCCTGATTTCAGCCATAATTGGACAGTTTAATAGGACAGTACACGTCATGCCTAAGTAATTGGACAGTACGTGCCATCATGCGCGCGCTTAAATGGCTTTTTTTTCACTGCTAGCAAACCAAAATTTCGAATTTCTTGTGTTTTGATTTAAAAAATAGCCTATTATATTACAAATTTTGTTAAAGTTTATGATTAATTGGTCTGTAATCATACTCGTGATTAAACAAATCAGACTCCCGCTACGCGGTCATCCGATTTTGTTAATCAATCGTATGATTACAGACCGAATTGGACTCCACTCAGTCCTGTTACCATTACTTATTGGCGGCAATATAACGCCATACTCAAGTCTTTATGAAGGCTTTGAAATAGGCTTTTGTACATTATGCTAGCATTTTTTCAAGCATTTTAGTGAGGCAAAAGCATTGGGCATTATTCGAGCATTTTAGTGGCATTTTCCAGGAAAATTAATTTTTGCGAGAAAATAAAATAGAAATTAACTTTTTTCAGTCCTGCTTTTTTAATGAAAATGAAGACTAAAACTCAAAATTCACAAAAAAACCTAATACAGCTGAGTGGAGACTGAGAACAAGTCAGCGGTTTTACCTTTCAAGACTCCAAAGGCGGCCATGTTGTTTGTCTTTAATGTCAGATCAGTCAGCTAACAATCCTGACAACGTTGACCCGCCACCAGCACAAAGACAAAGTATAATTGATGCCTTGAAAGCCCCGACTGCTTCAGACTTGGCTAGGAAACGAAAGGTTCCATGTAATTTACAGCCCAGTGGAAAGCGTTTTGTGCATCCAAAGGGAACCAGCAACCCTAACGTGAGTATTCGTCAGCATTTACCGGAATTTCCAGGGGAAAACTTCAAGGAATCTGCAGGTACGTTATTTTGTACTGGTTGTAGAGAGGAAGTTGGGCTAAAGAAGACAATTATTCAGCAGCACATAAAATCATCGAAACATAGCAGGGGGAAAGAGAGATTAGCAGTTAAAGAGAGCAGGGAACAGGATATTGCAAATGTGCTCATAGCATATGACAACGAAAATCATCCAAAGGGTGAAATGCAGCGTATGGCCCAACGTGTTTATAGATTCAAAGTGGTTTGCACTTTCCTGAAAGCTGGCGTTGCCATCAATAAGATAGATCAATTTAGAGAGATTTTTGAAGAACAAGGCTATTCGCGGTCACACAGCTCAAATCTCTCGAGTAGCAGGCTCGTTTGAAAATAGAGCTTGCAGCCACAGTGGATGCAATGGAACCTTTTGTCAAGGCAACATGCAATCTGGAAGGGGATGGACCCCTGGCACTATGAGCATATCAACACCTAAGAACTGTGGAGTCCAGTATAGCTTATGCCTATTACCCTAATGTCATTGCCGTGTCCTGCTTACTCTCACAAGGAAACGTTCCCGTACAACAGCAGTGGATTAACTATGCTACACAGTATATACGGCCAGCATATCAATATTATCAAGACAAATTTAATCATGGTCCACTTCAGCCACTGGTCACAATTTTCAAATCATGTCGTCTCTTTGACCCAGTCAAGGTGAAAGAGATGCAACCTGATGCTGCTGATGGCGACACACTTCACTGTGTCTTCCCTTTTTTGATGCAAACAATGTCATTCAACCTCTTCAGGGTGAGCTTGCAGCTTATCAAGCTCTGACTGATGACGTTGCAGCAGAGATAAATGTGCTGGAATGGTGGAGTCAGCATAGCAAAGAAATACCGAGTTGGGCAAGTGCATGTAAGCAGATCCTGTTATTGCAACCATCGTCAGCTGCATCTGAAAGGGTTTTTTCACTTCTGCAGAATTCCTTCAACAATCGACAAGAACGAGCCTTAGAAGATTACATCGAAACGTCACTAATTTTGCAGTATAACAACAAATAACCTTATAGGGTCCCTAGAATGATTTCGAGGATCATTTATTCATGTTTTTTTTACGGTATTCCTAAACCTGTATACGTTGTCGTTACTTGCAACACTTGCACGTAAGTGTAAACTTTGAAATTAATTAAAAAAACGTTTGTATAATGAGCATTATCCGAGCATTTTAGTGGGAAAAATGGAGCAATAAGGTGGAGCATTTTAGTGGGAAAACAAAAGCATAATGTACAAAAGCCTACTTTGAAACCGCCATGTGTCCGTAAATTTGCAGCCTCAGAAGTCTCACTAAGAATAAAAACCGTGACCCTTTCGAGTAACACGTCATTTCTACAGCTAAAGGAACGCTAAAGGAACGTTAGAACTGTCACTGTAAAGCCCAAATAAACCCTAAAAATTTAGACTGAACTATTAGGACCTCGAGCGCGCCGCCAGTTTGATATCCCATGTAATTAGTATATCAAAACTCCCATGTTTGTGTATTCACACTACCTGCCTGGGTAAATGGCACTTATTACAATATTAAACCATTTCATCTCCTACCTTTCAAAGTTCATCAATCCCCCAGCTCGAACTCAAGAAACTATCACCTTTCCGGAGATGATCAAAGTCCCGTACGTTTGAGAGCGCGTATTCTATGTATGGAAACATATAGTGTACCCCCGAGTGTACCATACGAATGAACCAATAAAATTTCCGGAAATTTTGGCAGACGGTCATGAACACCAAACGTCTTCAAGCTGGATTGTCCCTTCAGTTTTAGCAACGGAGGTTACTCCTCTCTTGTTTTTGAAACCAAATTCCGCAATTCTTGTAAAGAACGCCGAAGTGCACGGAGAGAGAGGATTCGACGCGACTTCCGTTGGCAGGAACCGGTGGTGTTCCTCTCTGCCATTTTGATCTGCGTTATCCAGGCCAGTGGAAGCGTTTTCTCCTATTGGTCAACTGGGGCCTGATTTTGAGGTGTCAACAGGTTTAACTGTCTAGCATATAAAGACATTTTTTGCTGTCGAACTGCTGGGCTTAATAGCAAGTGACACACGTAAACACACCCCCGGCCTCAGACGGCCCTGGCCAGTACAGCTGCCAGTACCTAACACATGCGCGCATAGTACACGGTTTTGTCCGTTCGTAGGCCTGACAGCTATGCCATTCTAGCCTAGGGGGAAATCTGTATCCAGGCTATGCCATGTTGATGAGAACCAATAGGGGCGAAACAGCTGTCCATGTCAACCTCTGCCCAGTTGATTTGGTTCAGTGTGTGTATGCTTTGAGGCAGTGGGTCGGTGTACGTGTGTCACTGTGTTTGTTCTATAAAATAATAATTTCAGTAAACCCTAACTCCGTTCTAACTTTTTATGTATGTGTACCTGATCAAACTGTTTCCTATTCTTCAATGACCTTTGTCGCCTTGGGGTGATTACCCGGGGGAAATATATACTCCCTCATAGTCTACACGGGGAGGCTCTGCCCTAAAGGGGTACCGTTCGTACATTGCTGCGGTGCCGCCATGACCACTTTTTAGCCCAAAAGGTATGAGTGTTACTCTGAGCTCTATTGTTTTTAACCTCTTGTAAGCAATGATACTTTTTTATATTTAATTGTTTCGTATTCTTATGGCTATTAGTAAGTGTCACAGAAGATTGTTCCGAGCCCAGATCGGCTTTGTTGTGTCAATCTCCCGAAGCTTCCCGGGGTTCGACTCTCGTAAAGAGGGTCAAAGCAATCAATTTCTCCTTAGGGGAATTGGGTTAGACTTGCCCCAAGTCGACCTCATGAGTTTTTAAGCGAGCGGAGCGAATCCGGCCAAGGCTCTTTTGAACTCTAGAATTAGGTGATCGTTTATGGATGGGAGGTTGGTATTGTTTGCATGGCCAACGTCAATGACTGAATGAATCAGACTGCTTATGTAATTACCTTGAATTTTAATACAAAAAAATTTAAATTAAAAATTAGCACCGCATTCAAAATTTAACAAAACCAAACGCTACACTCAAAAAACAGGTTGGTTAAATTCCTTTAATGCCTCTTCGCTCATTTCATATCACACATAACAGAGTCAATATTTGCCATTAATATGGGGTTTTGTTTAGGTTAATGTAGCATTTCCTGGTACATGCATAATAAATATTTCTACATTTCCAGAGGCAAGAAAAGCTGTTGCTTCCACTAATGTGACAGTCGTTGACACATTTTCCGTGATCATTGTTGCACTTGTTATAACAGGCCTTGTTGTCTTGGTCGGTGTCAGAGCTCACAGCGATGATCAAGGAGCAAAGGATTGAAAAAATCACTGCAGACTTCATCTATCGAAAGAAATATGTAAAAAAAAAACTAGCAAGTAGAGCAATCACCAGAATTTGAGATGTGCCGGGGCACTAGATGGCTGCATCGTTATTTATACTACTGAGCATAACCTACGAGAAAGCTCTCCATTTGGACGAGCGAACCAAGCTGTCGCGTCTCCCCCCGCGTGCCACTCGCGCGCGTGCTTTTCACGATATCCCCTAAATGGAAAGCTTGCTCGCAGGCTATACTAAGCTGGGCCCTCTTCACATGAGCGTAGCGTGAGACTTAGAAGGTATACGCACGAGGGGAAGAAAAAATGTAGCTGCGAAGGCGGCCCAACCTAGGAGGGTCTGGGGGCATGCTCGACACACAAAATTTCAAAATTTGGGGTCTGGGAAATGCCATTTCCAGCGTTTTCCGCAGGACATTTTTTGTAAATTAATACGCAGGAAAATGCAGTAGTTAGTTGTTTATTTTACCCATCTCTAGTGTTGTCGGCAAGGCACAGTGTTTACGGGAAAAAAAAGGCCACTTTCGCCTCTGCTTTTTGTTCTTATCAATTAGCCAAGTGAACTCGGCTTTCGTATGATATGAAGATATACAGATCTCGGAGGGTGTTATCCACCGCGCTCAAGCCTTCGGCTTTGGCGGATAACCCCCTCGATCTGCATAACTCTTCATATCATACTCAGCCTCGTGCAATAATTGCTCAGTAATTATACAGCCTTGAGTTCAAGGCAGATCAAGCAAAATCGTTGGATTTCTGGCTTATTTATAGTAATTAAAGGTTGATATCAGTAGTACAACATAACAATCTATGATATTTCAATTTAGTGATGGTGAATTTTCAGACCCGATAGCAACATCACTGAAGATGTGGAAAAAAATCAATAGTTTTATCGTTATTCGCATTCTCCGTCACTTTAGAGAAATTGAATAGAAATCCACAAGCATGCCCCCCACGGCCCCCAAAGACTTTTTGCTTCACGCATTCTTCTTTAGCCCCCCCACTCGAAAACTTGCTGCGCGGTCCCTGCCGTAAACGTCGATATCCACTGAAAAAGCCCGGTCAGACTAAAACGACTTGGGCACCGTTACTATGACAAGTCAAGAATGTGATTGCGTTTTAGTTGCTTACCTTTCAGCTACGTTGTAGTTGTTGTAGTTGAATTCGGATCTGTAAAAGAAAAGAAAACAGTGAGTTAATTTAGTTTTTTCAACATTGATGACAAAAAAATATGCAAGGGAATGCAAAGACTAATACTGAATCCAAAGTTATTATTAAAACCTTGGCAAAATATAAGTAAGTACGTTGCAAGTAACGATTGAAATTCAACTTACTTGGAAAGCTTGTATGGATCTACTCGGTGAGATGATTAACTCGATGATCACACTAGAGCGCAATTGTTTTTAATCGACTCGCTATTTATTTCTTTGCCAGTGCACCTGAATAGACCAGCTTAACAAAGCACTTCCCTTATAAATCTGGACAAGCATTCAGGAAGTGTTTCTCCATGTTATATATTGATTCAGATGTGAAAATAAAGTTCAGCAATCCTTTATAGTCTGGTGCATGTAACAATGTAAATCTCAATTTGCGTTATAAATGTCCCATAAGTCTGAGAAAGACAAAGCGTGCCTTGAACAAATAATTAAGTTGAGCATAGGTGAGCTGATGACATACACAGCACAGTACACTGTAATTCAGTAAAGGGGACAAAAATGCACCATTACAGTATATTCACAAGCTAGACACCTTTCACCAGGAAGGTGCGAGAGTCACATCAGCTGAAACTCCGGCGACTTACAATCAGCTGACTTGGCTGGACAACTTGCGAGTAAAAATCAGAACAAATCGAGAAAACACTGAAACAAGGATACAACACAACAGCCACCCGGGAAAATGACAAGATTTTCTAGTTAAGGTTTCCTTAAAATGTCCAATAATCACTGACAAGGTTTGGACTTTATTTAGATTATTAACAACGCTACGTCTTTTTTTTTATCATTTAATGACCTTATACTCAGTGAAAATGCATTCATACTCAAATCAGTTTTAACCAATCAGAGAAATGGACGTTGTCGAACTGTTTCCTTTAAAACATTTTTGGATTTAGACATCAAATAAAAGACCGGTAGAATGAAGAAAGTCTCAGTATGCAAATGATAAACATAATACCGCATAGAAAGCGTCTTAGAAGGAAACAACTAACAATTAACTGGCCCTGAAAGGCCTAAAAGCAATTGTTGTTTACATTCAAGATCGAGGCGTCAGCAGTTTGCAGATATTGTGGGAGTAAGTTAGCCAGGGACAAGGCTCCGCAGTGGAGGAAAAAAGGCAAAACAAAAAAACGGGGTGAAACAGCAAAAAAAAACCTTTCCCCTCTCCAGGCTACCGCTCGGCTCGCTTCGCTGTCCAATTTATCTTCATTTTTTTTTTCTTTCACCCAATCCGGAGCCTGGTCCTAGGCTAGTGGTAAGTCAACAACTAAAAAAAAAACACGGACCGAAAGCGTACACAAACAAACTACCATTATATGGGGCTCGAATATCAAGGTATCCGGGGAACGACTTATTTAGTGGGTATAAGGAGCAAAGTTTACCAGCGCTTACGAGATTAAGCACTACCATCTGCCATAAAAACAAACCAAGAGACTAAACCTAAAAGCGAAGCTTTCAGTAACTTTCAGCTATATAATCTATACTTAACTTAAATTACTAGCTTACATTGTAATGCCACAAACAAAAAAAAATTCGGGGGTAATCAGTTCCAAGTTTCATGGTCAATTGTTAGAATGATAAGTCGTGAAGTTTCAGTAAAAACATAATCGAAAAAAAACATGAAGGAACAAACAAACCACTCCCTTACTTGTGAACATACAAAGTTCCTCCAGCCTGGAGTATCATGGCGATCTTCGTTCAGTACCATTTAGGAATCAATCACCATCGTCCAAAAAACGAGACCTAGCCATGCACTGAAACAATTTGAGCGACAGAGGGGATCAGATTCAAGACGCGTTATTGGGAGGTATGCCCTTTTTCATTTTAATATTTCGAGTAACAGCATTTTGCCGTCTGTCCTCCTTAAATTGACGCTACCAAATTTGTCTTGCTAAGAAAGTCTCAGCTTTATTCGTATACAGACGATTTCCCCGAAAATATGGGATGCCTTTTTCATTTTTAACCAATGCAAAACGTCCACTTACGGTTTAAGAGCGTAAAAACAGGTGGATTACCACCACAAACAAATATTTGGGACAGTAATATAATTGAGACCAATGGACATTTTGTGCTTTATTTTACATTTCAGCATCATATTGCACCTGCAATGAAGAGGTTTAGTAAGCCCGGCTTTACTGCACACTTAAGCTTACATATGATTACAGTATCTTTCAAAATTCCTGCCACTGTATTCAGTGGCACATGATATGTTGGCCTCTGTAAATTTTTTAGCCTAAACAGACTTCTTCAAATTCAACCCTCAAAATTACATGTTGATATGGCTGTAGCCTCGTCACTTGAAGATTTAAAATACAACTTTGATGCTTCTGCTGCTTCTAGAGACTGGTCAATGTGTACTGGGCATTGTGAACGATCTGCTAGCACCACTTTCACTGCTGGGACTGTACGAGAAGGTGCATAACAGCGCCTGAATAACCGACTAAGTTCTCGTCTGAAGGACTGATTTCTTATTCCGTAAATGACAGGGTTACACATGCTATTAGCGTAACCTAACAACAATGTGCTAATACCAATTATTCTCGGAATTGGGCGATTATAGTAAACATCAGTAAACGTGGTCATGGCAAAAGGTGCCCAACAAAACATGAAGCAAGCAACAACAACGAGTATAGTGTTGGTAATTTTAACTTCTTCCGGTGTCACTGTAAAGCCTCTTTTGATTCGGCCATTTTCTTGCGCAGTTTTTTCTTCGTTTGTCACATGCCTGTGTTGATTAAGGCGCTGTCGGGCTTCCCTTGTATATTTGAAAATATTAAAGTATGAAATAGACATAACGGTTAGAGGACCGAAAAAACATACCGTCAACATGAAATACATGTAATAAACATCAGATGGCCAGTAAACAAAACAGAATGATTTTCCAGGGATGTAGCGAAATTCCGCCCAACCAAAAATTGGTTGAAGGGATAATAACAACGATATTAACCAAACAATCGCTCCAAAGACAACAGATCGTCTTGGTGCAAATGTCACAGAGTACGTTTTCCACTTCACTACGTAATAATATCTGTTGATTGCAATCATACCAAGCCACATCACGGACAAAACAAACGACAGCAATGTAGTGAATCCCAGTAAAACGCAGGCGTTTTTTCCAAATATCCATCGCTGTTTGACGATTGTGACTACTGTAATCGGCATGTTGAGAACGGAAACTAGTAAGTCGGCAAATGCAAGGTTAAGAAGAAACCCGTTTGTGACAGTGCGAAAAGCGTGCTGTCTCGTGAAGATTACAAACACAGTTAAGTTTCCAAGAACTGACACGATGCAAATGATAGAAAGGATAAGGGCTTCGATGATGTTACCTAGGCTTTGGGCCATTATCGCCGATGATTCCTTTAAACACCTGCCAGATTTTGTTAACTCGTTAATTCAAGAGAGCTGTATGATAACATTGTTGAGGCCGCAGGTGAATTTAATCTACAAGACCATATGAAATAAATAAATATTTGTTTATCCTGCCATCTAGAAAATAGAAATGGCTCCGTGTCAGAGACGCTGGAACATAAATGGACACCAATTAAATGATAAGCTATCAGGCCCAGTGTTCAATAGTTAACATTAAGACAGGAAAAAAACTGCACTCGGATTAACAAAGATTAGTAATTTAACATACAATCAATTGAAATTATAAAACGACTGATAAAGAAATGGAGAATCAAAAAAGCTATCAAGAATACTTTAGCGTAAAAGGACACTTTTCCGGTTCCCCTCTAATTCAAGATCCATGATCATATAACATTATTAGCAAAAAAGGACGAACATCTTGTTAATTTTTAGCGTTTTTTCAGAGTTTCTTTGTTGTCTGTGAGTTTCTAAGGCATAGTTTGATATAGAAGGCTGATCTCAAAATACGGAGCCTCCCCCGTTCTACTAATGGCGTAAAGGTAGCCTCCCCGCAGATGTCCTTTGGGGTTCGTTTGTCACGCATTCATTTCTAACCCACGTGGGGGAGAAATGAATGCGTGACAAACGAACCCCAAAGGACGTCTGCGGGGAGGCTATGTTAGCATACGCACTTGTCTTCTTGTCTTTGAGCCTACAAGCGAATTCAGGAGAACTCGGGCTAGATGCAGTGAGTAATTAAACCGAAGGTGGATGGCAGCTTTGCCGCCAAATTAATTTTCCCCGAAAAATTGGGACCAAGGAGGGAAGGAAGGAAGAACGGATCAAACTGTATTTTGCCTGGCACAGCCAAATTTTTCGGGGGAAAAAATCTTCCCCATTGCCACAGATTTTTTGAAAACGGATTTCCATACTGTCAACTCGCAAGTGGGCCCTGGCTTCTCCTGCAAAAGAGCCAGTCTGGTATGCTTTAGGTCCTTTAGAAAGGAGATAGAGAGGAGACTAGTGCGGGAGTAAAATGTCACCTGCGATGAGGAAGGGGCTAAAGAGAAAAGAGCAAAAAAAACTAAGGCAATAATCTATTTCGAGGATGACGTCATTTCATTACTACTACAAGAATCCTTTCTTGAGCAAATAGAGAGGAGAAGTGTGACGTCTCGTTACCGTGGTAGCACTATTTCTGGATGACAACTAAACCAACGACGACGGCGACAGCAAGGAGAACGGCAAACAAACAATGGTTGTTTACCATTTACAAGAATTTTCCGGGAAATCCGGTTCGAACGTAAATGGAACACGACTTTTTGGGTCTTCCCAACGGAAAATTCCCGGGAGCAACAGACCATCTGAAAAGGTAGTCCTGTTTTTCCGGATGAAATATTCCTAACGGAAATTCGTGTTCCATTTCCTCAGCCATCTTTGATACCAGTTTGAGGCCTTCGCGGCCGTTTTCCGTTAAATGGAACTGATCTGTACAAATGGTAAACGCGATTCCGGAACTAAATTTACCAGTCCTGAACTTTGCGTATCATTTACCCGAACCGTAAACCGACCGATTTGCCCATGTAAATGGTAAACAACCAATAACTTTGCTCGTGCATCACGCTATTTTCTACATTTCTTTGCCGTCGTTGTACCACTAGGACATGAAACTTCCTGATTTCACGCGCCTGCTTTATGGATGAGGTGAACACAAAACAAAAATTGTCGCTTTCTTTTTCTTAGATAACGATAGATACCGTCCCAAAGAAAATTTCTCCGAGATTTGCCATATTTAATGGAACTGAATAAGATCGGTGAAATTTGGAAAAGTGTGAATAGACTTTTAGGTGACTTTTTCGGTTTGTTGTCATCCAAAATTTTTGGTACCATGGCAATTGACGTAACGACTTCTCCTCTCTATTAGAGCTTTTGTTATATCAACCTAGGGATAATCAAATTTTTAAAAATCTGAAAGGCGTGAAACCGAGGCGGGGGGAATACATTTGGTGTGAGGGCTACAAGATTTTGGAATGCAGTGCCAAATTCTTTCAAGAAGATAGCATGTGTACATAGTTTTAAAAAGGCCTTAACTGACTTTTATTCATCTTCTTAATTTTCTTTGTTGTAATTTGTTATTTGATAACTTCCTATTGTACACGTTAATGTTGTACTGTACTTTCAATTGTAATTTTCAGATTATTCTATGTATATTTTTAATTGTAATTGTTTCATAATGAGGGCCGAAACTTTGTCAGTTTACAGTTTAGTGTTACCTTCTTTAAATAAAGCTGATATACACATACATACATAAGAAATTTTCCCCTTGTTTTGAGCCAATGAACACAGCCCCTTTAAACTTGAGATGTCTTTAAAAACAGGTGGACTACCACCACAAACAAATATTTGGGACAGTAATATAATTGAGACTAATAGATATTTTGTACTTTATTTTACATTTCAGCATCATATTGCACCTGCAATGAAGAGGTTTAGTAAGCCCGGCTTTACTCCACACTTAAGCTTACATATGATTACAGTATCTTACAAAATTCCTGCCACTGTATTCAGTGGCACATGATATGTTGGCCTCTGTAAATTTTTTAGCCTAAACAGACTTCTTCAAATTCAACCCTTAAAATTACATGTTGATATGGCTGTAGCCTCGCCACTTGAAGATTTAAAATACAACTTTGATGCTTCTGCTGCTTCTAGAGACTGGTCAATGTTTACTGGGCATTGTGAACGATCTGCTAGCACCACTTTCACTGCTGGGACTGTACGAGAAGGTGCATAACAGCGCCTGAATAACCGACTAAGTTCTCGTCTGAAGGACTGATTTCTTATTCCGTAAATGACAGGGTTACACATGCTATTAGCGTAACCTAACAACAATGTGCTAATACCAATTATTCTCGGAATTGGGCGATTATAGTAAACATCAGTAAACGTGGTCATGGCAAAAGGTGCCCAACAAAACATGAAGCAAGCAACAACAACGAGTATAGTGTTGGTAATTTTAACTTCTTCCGGTGTCACTTTAAAGCCTCTTTTGATTCGGCCATTTTCTTGCGCAGTTTTTTCTTCGTTTGTCACATGCCTGTGTTGATTAAGGCGTTGTCGGGCTTCCCTTGTATATTTGAAAATATTAAAGTATGAAATAGACATAACGGTTAGAGGACCGAAAAAACATACCGTCAACATGAAATACATGTAATAAACATCAGATGGCCAGTAAACAAAACAGAATGATTTTCCAGGGATGTAGCGAAATTCGGCCCAACCAAAAATTGGTTGAAGGGATAATAACAACGATATTAACCAAACAATCGCTCCAAACACAACAGATCGTCTAGGTGCAAATGTCACAGAGTACGTTTTCCACTTCACTACGTAATAATATCTGTTGATTGCAATCATACCAAGCCACATCACGGACAAAACAAACGACAGCAATGTAGTGAATCCCAGTAAAACGCAGGCGTTTTTTCCAAATATCCATCGCTGTTTGACAATTGTGACTACTGTAATCGGCATGTTGAGAACGGAAACTAGTAAGTCGGCAAATGCAAGGTTAAGAAGAAACCCGTTTGTGACAGTGCGAAAAGCGTGCCGTCTCGTGAAGATTACAAACACAGTTAAGTTTCCAAGAACTGACACGATGCAAATGATAGAAAGGATAAGGGCTTCGATGATGTTACCTATGCTTTGGGCCATTATCGCCGATGATTCCTTTAAACACCTGCCAGATTTTGTTAACTCGTTAATTCAAGAGAGCTGTATGATAACATTGTTGAGGCCGCAGGTGAATTTAATCTACAAGACCATATGAAATAAATAAATATTTGTCTATCCTGCCATCTAGAAAATAGAAATGGCTCCGTGTCAGAGACGCTGGAACATAAATGGACACCAATTAAATGATAAGCTATCAGGCCCAGTGTTCAATAGTTAACATTAAGACAGGAAAAAAACTGCACTCGGATTAACAAAGATTAGTAATTTAACATACAATCAATTGAAATTATAAAAAGACTGGTAAAGAAATGGAGAATCAAAAAAGCTAACAAGAATACTTTAGCGTAAAAGGGCACTTTTCCGCTTCCCCTCTAATTCAAGATCCATGATCATATAACATTATTAGCAAAAAAGGACGAACATCTTGTTAATTTTTAGCGTTTTTTCAGAGTTTCTTTGTTGTCTGTGAGTTTCTAAGGCATAGTTTGATATAGAAGGCTGATCTCAAAATACGGAGCCTCCCCCGTTCTACTAATGGCGTAAAGGTAGCCTCCCCGCAGATGTCCTTTGGGGTTCGTTTGTCACGCATTCATTTCTAACCCACGTGGGGGAGAAATGAATGCGTGACAAACGAACCTCAAAGGACGTCTGCGGGGAGGCTATGTTAGCATACGCACTTGTCTTCTTGTCTTTGAGCCTACAAGCGAATTCAGGAGAACTCGGGCTAGATGCAGTGAGTAATTAAACCGAAGGTGGATGGCAGCTTTGCCGCCAAATTAATTTTCCCCGAAAAATTGGGACCAAGGAGGGAAGGAAGGAAGAACGGATCAAACTGTATTTTGCCTGGCACAGCCAAATTTTTCGGGGGAAAAAATCTTCCCCATTGCCACAGATTTTTTGAAAACGGATTTCCATACTGTCAACTCGCAAGTGGGCCCTGGCTTCTCCTGCAAAAAAGCCAGTCTGGTATGCTTTAGGTCCTTTAGAAAGGAGATAGAGAGGAGACTAGTGCGGGAGTAAAATGTCACCTGCGATGAGGAAGGGGCTAAAGAGAAAAGAGCAAAAAAAACTAAGGCAATAATCTATTTCGAGGATGACGTCATTTCATTACTACTACAAGAATCCTTTCTTGAGCAAATAGAGAGGAGAAGTGTGACGTCTCGTTACCGTGGTAGCACTATTTCTGGATGACAACAAAACCAACGACGACGGCGACAGCAAGGAGAACGGCAAACAAACAATGGTTGTTTACCATTTACAAGAATTTTCCGGGAAATCCGGTTCGAAAGTAAATGGAACACGACTTTTTGGGTCTTCCCAACGGAAAATTTCCGGGAGCAACGGAACATCTGAAAAGGTAGTCCTGTTTTTCCGGATGAAATATGCGTAACGGAAATTCGTGTTCCATTTCCTCAAAGCCATCTTTGATACCAGTTTGAGACCTTCGCGGCCGTTTTCCGTTAAATGGAACTGATCTGTACAAATGGTAAACGCGATTCCGGAACTAAATTTACCAGTCCTGAACTTTGCGTACCATTTACCCAAATCGTAAACCGACCGGTTTGCCCATGTAAATGGTAAACAACCAATAACTTTGCTCGTGCATCACGCTATTTTTACATTTCTTTGCCGTCGTTGTACCACTAGGACATGAACACAAAACAAAAATTGTCGCTTTCTTTTTCTTAGATAACGATAGATACTGTCCCAAAGAAAATTTTGCCGAGATTTGCCATATTTAATGGAACTGAATAAGATCGGTGACATTTGAAAAAGTGTGAATAGACTTTTAGGTGACTTTTTCGGTTTGTTGCCATCCAAAATTTTTGCTACCATGGCAATTGACGTAACGACTTCTCCTCTCTATTAGAGCTTTTGTTATATCAACCTAGGGATAATCAAATTTTTAAAAATATGAAAGGCTTGAAACCGAGGCGGGGGGGAATACATTTGGTGTGAGGGCTACAAGATTGTGGAATGCAGTGCCAAATTCTTTCAAGAAGATAGCATGTGTACATAGTTTTAAAAAGGCCTTAACTGACTTTTATTCATCTTCTTAATTTTCTTTGTTGTAATTTTTTATTTGATAACTTCCTATTGTACACGTTACTGTTGTACTGTACTTTGAATTGTAATTTTCAGATTATTCTATTTATATTTTTAGTTGTAATTGCTTCATAATGAGGGCCGAAACTTTGTCAGTGTACTGTTTAGTGTTACCTTCTTTAAATAAAGCTGACATATACATACATACATAAGCAATTTTTCCCCTTGTTTTCTCAATTCCTGATAAATCAGGAGAATCTGATAAAAATCGGGAGAGCGGGAGGTAACACGTTAAATCGTGACTGGGTTGGAATTTCTGGAAAAACAAGACGCTGTAGAAGCGTATATTGGAAATTCATTTTTCAATGCATTTGCAGGCGGGCTTACATCCAAGGGAGGGGGGTGGGGGGTGGGGGAGGGCGTTATTATTGCATGTATCTTTTTGTTTACAGGTAACTGGGGTGTATTATAAATTATAAGTAGGGGAGCTTTTAAGCGGCAGTTGACAGGCCAGGTATTTTTTGCAGGTCACATTCCACAGGTCAGAATATACCGGTAGGTCTCGTTTGAGAGTTGTACAGTATTTATAAAATGGTGTCCAGTGTCCACAATGAAACACTTCCTTACATACACCGTGCGAGAAAAAATACATGCTCAAAGAAACATGTCTGAGGTGCTGCTTGCAATGTTATTAGAAAAGCTTACAGACAGAACAAATAATACTACATTCTTGTCTTTCCTGATAGATCTTCTATCAGTAATACTGTTTCCCCAATACAGCAATCTTGGTAAAATTTTGTCAGGTACAAAGAAAAAACAATAAATTAGAGAAATGTTCCCAAATAGTCACCATTTAATGTCTACGATAGTACTTGTATAATGTTGAGTAACTATGACATTTCTTTTCATTCCCATTACTGCTACATTTTGTTTGGTATGTGCTATATGTAAAATGTTGTGATGTAAAAAGGCACACAGACACAATTTATCATTATTTCCTGGAATAAATGTCAAAGCACTTATTAAGTTCTTTGACTTTTCAGTGTGGCCCTCACTCTAAGGAGGGGGGGGGGGGGTGCTTTTCTAAATTATCCCATTCACAAATAACATGGTTTTACATTTTTTTTTCCATTTGTTTTTGTCCCATCAACTCTATTGGTCTTATTTAGGGGTAGGGCTTATCAATATATTTCCTCTAAAGTAAGGAGCTTATCTAGTGGCAGTGTTTATTCAAGCAAATATAGCAGCCTTTTAACCTGTGATCAGGCGACCCTTTTTCCCTTTTTCTTTAGCGGCTGTCCGCCAACTTTTTTCATCACAGGTTAGCACCCTAATATCACACAGTGGAAACCTGACATGATGAGCTCCTTTCTAGCAGTGATCCCAGTCTAAATAAACAATGATATCATTCTAACACATTAAAAAGTAAAACACTCTAGACTAATAACTAGAAAACAACTGTTAAACCTATTAACAAGCAACAGTTTGTGTTCTGTCAGTCTTTATCACGACTTACTTTTTCAAATGTAACCATATCCAGGTCAGAAAGAGAGATAAAATAATGATTATTTTGTCGCCACTTGGTTACATCCTCCTTTAAATATAAATAAAAGGCAATTTCATGTCGTAACTTTGCTAAAACCGAAAAAGAAATAGTATACAAAAAAGTGTGATAAAATACAGCCAACTCTTTCAACTGACACCTTATTACAAGATGGACATATATTTTAAAACAGACACCTAGCACTGGACCATGCTTTTCTTCTGTCATTTGGATGCCCTATAATCTTGTTGCTTTCATTGTCGCACTATAAGTCATTAAAGGAGTAGGTGACAGGTAATACAGGTTTCATTCTACAGTATTCCCTCAGCTTGATAGTAATATTGGGAGAACTGCACACTGATATTTACAGCTAATAACTATTATTATTCATATCCTAAAGAGCCTGACATCTCTTCAAGTGAATTCTGTACAGCTGACATTTCAAAATGATGCTTCTAAATAACCTTCTTCTTGCACTTGTATATCAACATCTGATGACTTCAAACTAAGTCTTTTGACTGTTTCATACCCCAGTACCATGGCAACACTTGATGGAACCATTGCAATGATTCTTGCCGACAATCCTTTAGTCAGTCCAAATGGTCCTTCTTCTTGAAGTAAGGAGCGAAACATGTGTATAACATATGTTGATTTTCCACCACCAACCTTTAAAAAGCATTTTTAAGATGACAATTTTCAGAATCAGTACTGCATTCAAACCAAAAACCAAACTAATGTAATGAACTTTAAGGGAAACAGATGGTCAAAACCTTGGACATCTTTTATAGTCACGTGGGGTTGACCAATTTTCAGTCAAAGTGTATTGACATGATTGTGGGACTTTTAATTAAACACTGGTAACACTAGTCGGCCACACAGCTGTTTTTAGTGTTGCCATGCAATGCTCCTCCCCACAAACGGCTGCTGAGAATCGAATCACATTCGTTTCTTACGATTAGCCAATTATTATTCAGCTCTCATTTTCTGAAGGTGTTCGCACCTCATTTGCGGTACAGTGACGCCTCCAATCACAGCTTTCCTTATTATGGGTGCCCCATGTGTGAACGACAGAACAATCAAAATCATTGCATGAAAACAAGCAATCAACTAGAGCGGTGTTATCGTAGTCGGGTCCTATTTTGTTTTTCAAACAAAAGCAATCTTATAAATTATCAATGAGTGACTTCCCGAAACTATACCAAGCAACTTTATCAGCACATCATGTTGTGCATCACACTTGCTTGACTTTCTTGCTGCTGCTGCTTATCTATGGCAACACTACTCTTATTGATTGCTTGATTTCATGAGACAATTTTGATTGTTCTGTCATTCACACATGATGGGCCACTGATAAAAGAGGAGTCACCGTACTGCAAACCCAATGCAAAAACCTTCCAGAAAATGGCGGGAAAGGAATGTGGTTTGATTCTCAGCAGCCATTTGTGGGGAGAAGCGTTGTGTGATGACACCACTTGTTAATTAACAACTTGCTTTATTTATTGTAGTGAGATATACAACATGAGCCTTACATCTGATGTATTTTTAAATGCCTTTCAAGGCTGCTGCCTACGAAATTTTCTGGGAAACCTTAAGGCTCCTAAAATAAAAATTTAGGAGCCCGAGCCACATTTCTAGGAGCCCATTGATCGATAAACCTAAATAAGTAAGCAGATGCTCGAAACTTGATTCGTTCGAGTTTTAAATTTCTAGAAAAGTGGAAGCAGGCATAGAGGCTGTTGCCGTGAGAATCATAAGTTTTAGTCACCTGTAAAGGCTCCTTGTTTAAAGTTTTAGTCGCTCACGAGCAATCATAGGAGCCTCTGGTGACTGGACAACCATTAGGCAGCAGCCTTGGCGTTAAACTAGAATTGTGCCAACCATATATTGTCTAGTCTGGCATGGAATGTAATGAGATACTAGTTTTTGCAGATTTCACCTCATCAGATAAGCTTGAAAAACATTTCAGTCCCATTTTAAAATTTGTGTTACAGTATTTATGTAATTCCCCCAAAAAGATCACGTGCCCATCAAGCAAGTTAAAAACAGTATTTTTTTGCAAAATCCACTAGCCTTGGACTATCAGATATGACTTTGCTTCCAGGCTGACACACAGGGTTGACAGTGCAAGCATAATAGTGATAAGGAGGTGCAAAGACGACTTGCTGGGCTTGAGATTTTGTGGTGATTAGCAATAAGTATGTGATTTGAGAAGAAACGTCTTGGAGATGACACAATGCATAACCCACTCAACTTTACACTTCCAATAACTACCCATCATTGTTCCTCAGTTTACCCCCTTAGCCTTTCACTTTCTTGTATAATGACAAATAAAGCAATGACAAACCTGCAATCGTGTTCTCATAATATCCAAGGGATTTGTAAGTGTCGCAGTCGTAAATCCAGCCATTGAACCAGCAGTGGCCAAAACCAACAAATGAGGTGTTCCTGATATTACTATACTGCCGACTAATGCTGTATATGCACCATAAGAGGACCACCAAATGGCACTGCTAGGTCCATAAGTCATCAGAGAGATCAAATAACCTCTATAAAGCCCCAAAGGCCCACCAGTCTTTATGACCTCACGTATAATGACAGAGGCTCCTTTCAGTTTACCTGTGGCATCCCCCTGGCCTTGTACCATAAGCTTCTGAGAAATAACGTCTACTGGAACTGTGATAGTTTGCCCCACTATTGAAGCAATTCCCCCTGCCAAAAACCCTCTAAGAGCTGTGTTATAATGTTTTGTTCTTGTCTTAACTAATTCTAGAGTAGTGATGTAACATTGTCCAGCCAAAAGACCAAAACTGCTCACTAGAAATCCTTTATAGAGCCCTCGAATGCCTTCAAAGCGCACTATTTTTTTGAAGGCGTCGAATGATCCTTTATAGAGTGCGTGTTTCCGTTGTACTTGGAGACGGGTTTTTACTAAGTTCGCCGGATAAAGCAAAGCACGAATACCAAGAAACAATGTTGGACCAAAGAAATAAAATTTTCTTTTATCCATCTCTTCCCACTCGATATGTCTAACCTGTTCTGGCATTTTGGATCAGTTATATCCACCTGAAATAATACTGTGTTATGAAAACAAACCGAAGAGGGCAAAAAACTGTTCTTTTCAAACTGGAAGACGCTTTCTATGCCGCCATCTTGAAAAGTCCGTCTTTGGTCAGCGGACTTCGTGTCTTCACGTGTAAAGTGATGATTTTCACGTGCTCGTCCCCAGGAGCTCTCCCTTGTGAAACTGCTGTGCGAACCATTTTTTTTTTTTTCTAGCTCTTTCTCCCTAGCCTCGCGCGCCCAAATTCCCCCTCCCCTTCCCCTTTTAACGCCGGCGACGCAGGCTAGCCACACCGCAGAGTTGGTAAAGTGTACTTCAGGTCCTTCAGTGCTAAATTTGGTGCCGGAGTTACTCTACCAACCCTGACCCCAATATTCTTCATGCACCTTCCACCCAGGTGATAATCAGGAGCCCATAATTAATAACAGTTTACGGCGATGATGATGATGATGACGATGATGGCGATAATTAGGCTAAGCGCTTAGTGAAAAAATTTAATCACCGACATGGGCTCCTGTCACCGAACACAAAGACCCTTTGGACTATAACGAAGACCTTGTCCCAAACCGGTCGCTGCTCCCACGCATGCTGCCGAACGGGCGAGCCGGCAAACGTCAATAAGTCACGTGACTAGTAGGTTTGGGGTTTGAGGTTCACGTACTGTACGGCTAGATCCCGGAGCTAGATCACGCTCTAGAGGTAACTGATTTACCGCAAAGCACTCTAAAAACATCACAATCTCACGTTTGAGAGAAAATACTCCTTTTTAGAACCCTTTCGCTAAGTGATTATTGAATTATTTTTCATAGAAACGTAACTTTGAAGTGAAGATTTCTCAGGTAAAATAGAAGTGAACGAATGAATAAAAACAAACACGGCAGCCGCGAGCCACCACCTGCGAATCTTAATTCCTAAATAAAGGTAGACGGATAACGTGAAACCGCTAACCGCAAACCGCGGTTGCCGTTTGCGGTAAGATGGCCAAACCTCAATCTTATAAGACCGATACACACGAGAGGTTTGCTCCGGGAGCATGTTCTAGGCTCATTTTCCACGTGTCAGTACACACGATACCCTGGGTTCCAGAGGATGTTTTTTTTCGTAGAAATACTGATAGTTGGCGGCGAAGCTTTACCGAGGGAGAAATTGTTTTTGAGTCACCCCTCACTGATCAGCTCCAAGCATGAATTCCAACGCTTGGAGATTTACGTGGCCCGACTGGGAAAACGCAGTTGTTTTTCATCCTTGTGTCGAGAGACAAAAAGCATTCAACTGGAAAGGAAGGAATATATTGCCTTCAAGAGCCATTGATCGCCTTGTATTGGTTCCCTTAACTCTTACGAACATGGTGAGCGCGACACACTACGAATTTACGGGAATCCATATTTTTAAAAACGTTGACTAGTACTAATAAAAAAATTGTTATACTTTTTTTCTTTTCTTGTTTAAATTTCACTGGTAAAGTTTTTTTTGGTAAAAATTTGTTTATTAGGTTTGGTAAAGTTTTGTTTAAAACTTAATAATGTAATAATAAGTAATGGTAACAGGACTGAGTGGAGTCCAATTCGGTCTGTAATCATACGAGTGATTAACAAAATTGGACGACCGCGTAGCGGGAGTCCGATTTGTTTAATCACGAGTATGATTACAGACTGAATTGGACGACACGAAGTTCGGTTACCAATTAATCATAACTGTAACAAAATTTGTGATATGTAAGCCCTTTTTTTAAATCAAAACAGAAGAAATTCCAATTTTTTTTTTATGCTAGTAATGAAAAAAAGCTATTTAAGCGCGCGCTTGATGGCGCGTACTGTCCAATTACTTAGGCATGACGCGTACTGTCCTATTAAATTGTCCAATTAAGGCTGAAATCAGGGCAGTTGATAGCCAATCAGATTTGAGAATTTTGTTATAGTTATGATTATAGAATTTATATAGCGCTTATACATCGCTGTTCTAAGCGCTTTACAATGTAAAAACGGACATAAGAGTATCATTAATCACAAGCTTACATATAACTTGGCGTGAACGTTTGATGATCCATGAATTTCATTCCCCTTGTTTTTCTTTACCTGAGAGAAACAGTGAGAATAGGCACAATGAAAATGGAATTTCTTGCGGTGATCAGTTACGGTATGATTCCAAGAGAGATCACGTAGCTAGAGATCGAGGAAATTTTTCGTGCGGCGATCAGATACGGTATGATTCCACGAGAGATCACGTAGCTAGAGATCAAAGAAATTTTTGTTATCAACGATGTAAGAAGTTCATATCTGTTTAAATTACAAAGGTTGCTATTATCGTAAATTTTTTGTACTGAAAGATCTTTGCTAACCTATCATATTCTCTAGATCTTGTTACTTTAATTTCTAATGTTCTCACGGTGCACATTTTTCTGGGTACGGCTGGAATAGTCTCTCTTTCCGCATCCGGGGGGCGTGTCTGTAAATGGCTTTATATAGTCGGTACACATTCCATCACTTGTCAGTTCATAGGGTCGAAGGTGCGTGAGGCAGTAAACAGCAGTATCAATGCAACTACAGGAAGTTTAATGCGACTGTCAATTCGTTTCGTCAGGAAATCTCTTCCACTGGTCCTTATCTGTATAGCGTTTCTGTTAACTGTCCGAATATGGAGAGTGTGGAACGACATAAACGTTATAAATATGAATTTTCCTACTGGCACCGGCTCTTCTTCGGTTGAGCGATCATATGCTTTGACTGCGGGACAAAGCAGTCGATTCAGTTCATTAACTTCGAATTATACAACAAGGCAACCAATTCTTCAACATCATATTCATCGCACAAAATTGTTGAGTACAGTAATTTGTCCGAACACATTATTTCTTCTTATTTTGGTGTCGACGAATGTTGGAAATGTCGACCGGCGCCACATAATACGCAAGACGTGGGGAGCTGATTACTCTCTCAAAACAAAATGGAAAACTGTGTTTCTCTTAGGGAAAAACAGCAACGAGCAAGAGATGCAAATTTCTAAGAAGGAAGCTGAAATTTATGGTGATATGGTTCAAGCTGATTACTACGAACATTTCTGGAACATGAGTTATAAAGTTGCAATGGGTTTCGAATGGTCTGTAAAATATTGCTCTTACAGTTACTTGCTTAAGTCAGACGACGACGTGTTTGTCAACACTTTCGGTATGATGGATTTTTTAAGCAAGTACACAACGCCAAGGCACAAATTTTACACCGGCAATATTATGGTGGGCAGTGTTGTCATGAGAGATGGTAGATACGCCGTCTCGCCTGAAGAATACAACGAAACGGTCTATAAACCATATTGCAGTGGCGGAGGCTATGTTTTGTCTCGCGATGTTGTGGAACAGTTCCTGTCGTATTTTGATGTTTATAAACCTTTGAAAATTGATGACGCGTACATCGGTATACTGGCAGATCAAGCTGGTGTGAAAGTAACCAACAACAAAGAATTTCGCATGTACGAGACGAAGTGTGAATACAGGGAATCCACTCTCGTTCAGCATCCAGCGAGAGGAGACTGCGCGATTAAGCTGTACAACAGCATGATTAAGAGTGTGTTAGGTTAATGAGCCCCTTAATTAAGACGGGGGGGGGGGGGGGGGTTGTACTTGTCTCCCCAATCTGAATTTCAAAACTCTTTGTTTCAGATGTTGAGGAAGTAGCCATCCCTTTCCCCTTCCTCTCTCCCACTTGTGTGATGTTGCTTTTAGCGACCAGTCATTATTTGGTGGGAGCGAAAAAAGGAGGGGGGGGTTCAAGGCTATTTCAGATTGGCTAGAGGGAGGGTCAGCAGTTTGATTTTGAGGTATATTTTAAGAGGGGTCCATTGGCCAAGATGGTTAAAGTATTTAAATGGTAGAGTACAAACAATATAAGGGGTGACGAATAGTATTTGTGATCATTCACAAGTATGCCGAGCACTGCGATTTTTTTGCAAGCACGAGCAGAGATAAAAAATTTGCTTTGTGAGCAGCGAGCACTTCTTATATTTTCCGCTTGCAGCAATCCATATGGACATCCTCTTCTTTAAAATAAAACAGAAAGTATTTTAAAACGGGGTTTTAATTTAGAGTGCACCAAGTTCTTTGAAGCTAGCTTGAGTGACACCTTATTGAGATCAAACCAAGTACAGTCGCATTTGATGCCAAACGACGTCACATTTTCGCTTCACTTCATCACACACGTGTTCGTACGGATCAGAAAGCAAAGGTCACAACCTGGGGGAAAAGGGGTGGGGATGCTCGTCGTCTCGCTTAGGGGTGTAAATTTCAGATTTTGGTCTCACTTAGGGTGCTCTGGGCAAAACGCCATCATATTTAGCCGTGAAGGTCTCATTTAGGGTTGCAAGTGAAAAAATATAAAAATATGTGTATTGTCTGTGTTTAACATGGTCTCTTTTAGGGGTCAAAAAAGCTTGGGCTTCACCCAGATTGGTCTCCGTTTAGGGGTTTAATTCAAAATTTCCGACAAGCATCCTCACCCCTTTCATATGCAGAGTTCCCCCCACCTCCCGGGGTCACAAGAAGAACAACCATATATAACAACCAACCATATGTAGCTAGATTAGCTAATTTATTATTTATGGTTGTCATTTTATGGCATGCATTTCCACTGAACTTGATAGCCATATTTATAGGAATTAAGCACCATACAGAATTACATTTACTTTAACCCAAAGAAGGATTTACTCGAGAAATACTGGCAAGAAAGTGAGCTTGCGAGGAACGGCAAAAATTTTTGGGAGCACGAGCAAGCGAGCACTCATTTAAATTTTGCGAGCAAATGGAGCAAAGGTAAAATTTTGCGAGCAGTTAAAAGTATTAAAGGACCATTCATTTACCCCTAATATATGTCAAACAGTAATGACTTTATGCTAACCCTATTCCTTTTTGTTTATTAAGGTGGCTCTACCCAGTATTTTATAGGCACACCCTCCATCTTTGAATCTTATTAAATCTATCTGTATTGTACGTAAAACGATTATGATACATGGATTACACTGTGTTGGAGTAAACCTTATTATGGTATAAGTTTTTGGGCAATGACATCTCAATGGCTCTAAAGCAAATTCCAGCCCTTTTCGGCATTTCCTTTTGAAATGCTTTTCGCTACGTATTCTTTGGATAAATGTCCTCTGTTGTGCAAAGTTTCATGAAAATCTATATGAGGAATTTCGAGATATCTCTTTTAGGGATTTAATTCAAAATTTCCGATGAGCATCCTCACGCCTTTCATATACGGAGTCCCCCCCACCCCCTGGGGTTGCAAGAAGAACAACCATATATAACAACCATATGCAACCATATATAGCTAGATTAGCTAATTTATTATTTATCGTTGTCATTTTATCACGTGCATTTCTACTGAACTTGATAGCCATATTTATAGGAATTATGATTATGATACATGGATTACACTGTGTTGGCTAAACCTTATTAAGGTATAATTTCTTGGGCAATGACATCTCAATGGTTTTAGCTCTAAAGCGAATTTCAGCCCTTTTTGGCATTTCCTTTTGAAATGCTTTTCGCTACATATTCTTTGGATTTAATGTCCTCTGTTGTGCAAAGTTTCACAAAAATCTATACAAGGACTTTCGAGATATCTTGGAATTTCTATAAAAAGGGTATGAATTGTGCATGCACTGAAGACTGGACTTAATGTAGACAAATTTGCCACTTTTTGGATGTTTCCGAAAAGGTTTTATCACTTATTCGTTTTGCAAATGACCCTTATACACTGTAGAAGCCACTGAACGCAAGTAGACTTGCTCGATTTCGAAACACATGAAAACGTATGAATCGGGGAGTGAAATGCAGTGCTGAGCTCTTTTTATAATTTCTAAGGCTACTTTCATGAAAACAGCAATTAAAACAAAATTTGTCGATTCCTATGCGGCACGCGAGAATTTACCACACTTGGTTGCCCTCTGAAATCTATTGGCTGTTGTTTGATCCCATTCTACAGCATTACCATATTTTGGAAAGATTTCAGAGGGCAACCAAGCATGGTAAATTCTTGCGTGCTGCATGGGAATTTGATGTTGGGCGAAACTTGAGACAATATGAAGTCCCAGCTAGAGCAAAAACTTAGCCAGATATATGACATTGCTTTAATATTTACTTACTTTTGCGCCCATGTTAGACAACTTTAGAAGTTTTCAATCAACAATTTGGGGATTTAATAGTACAATGATCAATTAATGTACTAAAGAAGTTTTAAAAAAATCTATGAGTGAATGTTGTTTTAATTGCTGTTTTCGTGAAAGTAGCCTTAGAAATTACAAAAAGAACTCAGCATTGTGTTTTACCCTGATTCATACGTTTTTCAGAAGAAAATGCAGAACAGGGCTGAAATTTGATTTTGTTGTTCAAGTTTTGCTGAACACAAAGAGTTCTAGCACAAGTTTTACAGTCAAACCAGGTCAAGCGTACCCCCCAAGAATCCATTAATGAATTTATTATTCAAAAGTTGAATCCGTTGCTCGTTGTAGATTTCAGATTGATCTCTGCATTCTTGTATGTGTAATGAGCCGTGAATTCACACGCGAGGCAGTCATGAAATTTCAACCACCTCCATTTTCCTGAAATTGATGTAAATGTCTTCTAAGAAGCTTAATCCATTCAAAGATTTCCAATCTGACCAAATACAGAGAAGTTCTCGTAAAATATTCACTGCTCATTACGCATGCAGAAATGCCGCTTTGAATTTGACACCAGTTACGGGAAGGACTAACGGATTCATTTTTCAAATAATCAATTCACTGACAGAATCTTGGGGGGGTACGCTTGACTTGGTTTGACTGTAAGTTGGGCTATAATGACCCAGTCCCTTACAGTGTTGCATGTGACCTATGTTTTACAATAAAAAGTTGTGTGCCTAAATATAAGGGTCATATTTAATTTTCTGTTTTAGATTAGATGACAAGTTACTTCCAACCAACACCTCCCTTCTAAGTAGACACCCCTTGCTAACATTAATAGAGTGCTTACCACTTGTCAGAACTGGCTTGCTGGACAGTCCAGTCGTAAGGAGAATTCCACTATTAATCCAGGGCCATAGTAAGCCTTTAGAAACTAGGGGAGACAAAGATTTTTAGGTAGCTCATTATATTTGAAAAGCAGATGATTTTGGGTCTGGAGGATGCATTTGACTGGTCTCTGTATCTTAAAACCAGAAAATGTTTCACCCCAGCTGCAGAGACATAATTGTTTCAGTGCTCTGGGAGATGAATTTTTATTTTCAACTTTTAGGTGTACATGTTTTCACTTTTGGGGGCAAAAAACTGGGGTGACCCCTCCCCATGCTACGGCTCTATAATCAGGACTATCCTGCTGCATCATTTTATTCCTAAATGGTGTGTACGGCAGTGATGGGTTTAAGTAAAAAAGCTAATATTTTTTTTCAGTTCTGACTTTTGGAAAGTGCCCTTGGAGTCCTTATTCATGGTGTCAGCTATATACAAACGTAACACTGGCACTTTTAGCCTCTCCTAAGGAGACATTTTTTCTGCAGTTTTAAGTTGTGTCAGCTTATGGTGGGTTAGACTGTATGCCAATAGTTACTGTTTACAGAACTGTCATTTCTTGTGGAACTTATTCTTTAGAGGAAGCATTTGAGTTTTGCTGCCACTCGCTCACAGAAGAACTAGAGTAAAAGAAGCATCAACTCGAACAAATTTATATAATAATAATAATAATAATAATAAAAATAATATATTTCTTATTAGGTGCAAATTAACATCTGAATATGTTCACATGCGCCTAACAACTTTAACTACCTGTAATAATTACAATAATGTATACTTAAGAATACCTAAACTTTATAATCTAAAATTTATCAATCTAACTATAACAGGCAAAAGCCTTCCTAAATACATTTGGAACTTCATGACTACAAGATTTATTATGTAAACATTATTGCATTACTGTTGTTGAAGCACAGATGTCTCTCACTTGAAATATCTCTTGCAGCATGGAAAGATGGCTGTATATGTTGTGGTTTAATTTTATCCTTGGTTTAAATTTTATTTCCCTTTGTTTTGGGGTATGGTAATGTATGGTAATAAGTTTACAACAAAGAGAAATAAAATTAGGCAAGTTTGCTTTATGCAAAAGCTTCAGTAAAAGAATCAGGATGAAACTTACCATGATTGCTATTTTCTAAATCTTTAAACTGTACTGTATTGAATTAAATGCCTTAATGTCTGGAATGCTGCAGCCTACCCACACCTGCCCATAGCAGTTACGGAGTGGCAGACCCTTTTTGCTAACGTGAATTTCAGATATTACTTTGAGCTGCATACTCCTCCTCATCCTCCTCTTCCTCAAGCCACTACTCTGTTGCTAGCTGCTCTGAAATTACAAAACTCCATACCTGGAAACATCAAGAAAGTATAGACTGTATAGTCTCTAAAAACCGTAAGACTTCTCTATAAGAAAGTTTTTTCATCTTACCTAGTTGTCTATAGAACTCACAGGATTAAGCTTTAAGGGATGGTAACACAGAAGCCATTTTTTATAATTGATAATCATAACCATTGTCAAACATAAAATCAAAACATCTATAACTCTTTAAAACTAGTAAACCTGGTGATGAGGACTACAGGTGCCCCACATGCATTTCACAATATTGTAACTTCATCAAATGGTGAAAAACGCTGTTTGCCTCTCTTTTCATCTGTAGGCCTTTAAATACAGTGGAACCCCGCCTTACGGCCACCTTGGTAATACAGTCACCTCCACAGGAAAAAATAACCAATTCCCATTTTGGGATATTTTAGGGTATTCAAAGAATACCCACAAAAATCCCAAATTTGGAAGAGTGAGACAAGTCCCAATCAGGGAACTTGGCTGGGAATTCCCTGGTTGGGACTTGTCTCACTTTGCCAAATTTGGGATTTTTATGGGTATTCTTTAAATACCCTAAAATATCCAAAAATGGGAATCCGTTATTTTTTCCTGTGCTCGTTATTACGGCCACTTTTTTGGGGCCGCCTGGCAAAAATGACCGTACATTTTCGCGTAAAGAAACCCTCACTGATACGCGAGGTCACCTCGTTATTACAGCCAAATTTTTTTGGCCCATTAGTGACCGTGTTAACGGGGGTACCATTGTAATATTTAATCTTATGTTCCTCAAGAAAAGGACATTTCACTTTTTATCTGCAATGGCCCCTAAGGATGGTTTTCGAATAGGAAAATAGGGGGGTGTGGATTTTTTCTTCAAAGAAGCCGACAAAGGTGCTGACAAATGAACCCTTTCGACTTCTGTTTTCAAAGGGCACCAACAACCATTTGAGGGTTCGGATTTCAGTCATCCTTCAGTGGGGGTGTGGATAAAAAATGGAACATCCCAAAATAATCCTTTTTCCATTACTGTGCAATTGGTTTGTGCTTAGTACGCTGATTGCATGATTAATTGCATGATTAGCTTAAGGAACCCAGCAGGGTTGTTCATGTTTTCAACGCTCACCCAGCCGTCTGAACTAGGGCGGATAGGATTTCGTCAGATTGTCGCCTGGCTACTCAGCAATCAATATGGCGGCCGGTAAGAACATGCCGGCTTTCCGATCATTCTCTTACCTTTAGTGGTTTCTCAGACATGGAAATAAAAATTTGTATCAGTGTTTTTCTACGCTAATGCCGGAGAAAGTGAATATCATAGAATGGAATCAGCTAGAAAAAAGGAAGTATTATTTGTTTCTGAATGTTTACGCATTGGGCACAAATGCTGTAACATACCCTATCGATGTCATCAAAACCAGACTTCAACTCCAGCGCACGAAATGTCTTTACAGGAACACGTTCGATGCTATTTACAAGACCGTGAAACACGAAGGATTCCTGGGGCTGTACAAAGGTTTCACCATAAGCCAAGTCAGTATCCTCACAGGGCATGTGTACGCCACAAGTTACGAGATTTCCCGAGAACAGTTCCCCACACTCCAGAACGCAGTCCGTGGCTTTATCGCTGGTGGACTCGCTGCAGTTGTGGAGCAGACATTTAGCAATCCAATCGACGTTATATCTCAGCGTCTGATGGTCGAAGGACAAGGACAGCGGAAGAAACAATTAAACACTCTTAAGTCTCCGAAAATTGTTAGAAAGGTTTTGAAACAACACGGAGTCGCTGGTTTTTATCGAGGTTTTGCTGCGGCTATACTTGTAGAGGGGATCTGGAGTGCAAGCTGGTGGGCGTCTTATGGTATGTCCTTGGAATTGATTGGTAAAGTGGCTCCTGATGGGACTTCACATTTTGTCATACAAGGAGTTTCTGGAATGTTATCTGGAATAATCGCAACTGTGATTGGGAATCCATTAGACATTGTTAAAGTTAGACTTCAGGTAGGTGAAGTTCTTTGCCAACTTCATGTATCGAGGGTACTGACTTGAACAGGTGCCTCTCACTGTGTTACAACATTTTGGTTCAGTCCAAAGTAGGCTAAGGGTGGCAATCTCTTTTCCCCTCCTCAATCATTTTTTTCCAGCCAATTTAAATACAGTAAAAACCCGCAACCAAGAACCTACATTTTTAGGAGTTAGCCTAAACAGGTTTTTATATAAATGGTAGTTAACAGAATTTTAGGCTATTTAGGTTCTTAAGATAGGTTCTTAATCCTGGAGAAAAAACAATTAAAACACAGAACTAGCTTTAATGCATAATGGTGTGCTGATCTACATATTGCTTAGTATGCTTTGTAAGTCTACATATCTTGCACTCATTTTTCTTTAAAAAACATTTTTACAACAATGGCAATCTGCTTTTTTTGCTTCAAATATGATTCTTGCAATGCAGCTGTAATGGTGCAATAAGGGAAAGTTCATTTAATATGACAAGGGGGGGGGGGGATGAAGATATTGAAACTCGAAGTTTGAAATTTTAGCAGCCCCCCTCGCTAGCAGTTCAATTTTTTAGGAGCCCCCTCCTTGGTAGTCGAAAAAATTTCAGAGCCCCCCCCCCTCCTCCTTCAATTCCTTTGCTCCCCTGAAAAAAGATCGCTAGACTGTATTAAATATATTTACGGTTATTGTCTTCAATGGTTTATACTATGACAAACTTGAGATACAGTTGTGATACAATTTTCTAAAGCATTTTTGGGATGAACAAGAGTGTAATAATTACTGAGACTACATTTGTTATATCTGTAAACCACGTGATATAGCTGAGTTGCACAGGTCATTAAATTGTTGAGTTGAAAACCATCCGATCTGTATGATGATGTCATGTGTTGGTTTTGAAGTATACAAATTTTCGGAGCACCCCCTCCTAGCGCAACAATTTTTTCAGAGCCCCCCCTTCGGTGTCTAAAAATTTTCGGAGCCCCCCCTAAATATCTTCATCCCCCCCCTTGTCATATTAAATGAACTTTCCCTAATTACGTTAGTGATTCTTGCTAATTACGAATCGATCATGTGACATCGTTCAGCTTATCCAATAATCTCCCAGCTGCGTCTGTCGGTCAGTCATAAGCTCGTTGTCAAAGGGCAAGCACGCTATTGAGAGGGCGTGATTTCCTAGTATGATTTTAGAAAATAAATTTCTTAGGCTAAATAGGTTCTTGTTTATAGGGGGTATAAATGACCAATTTTAGGCTAACAGGTTCTTAATTTTTAGGTTCTTAGTTGCGGGTTTTTACTGTACAGAAGACTCATTTTGGAGGCCCTGTTAGTGGGGTTAAGTATGTCCCTAGTCAATTTCAAAACCTGTCATTTTTTGTATGGAGGAGGAAGCCATGTTGCATTCGGTATTTTACTATTGCAGAGATGCCAACCACTGGAGAACTTAAATCTGGAGATTCTCTTTTTTTCACTACCCCCTCCCCCCGCTGCCCTTCCCCCACCAAATTGTCCCAGCCCCCAATGGAATGACTAAGGACATTATATGAAGTCTTACATATAAAGTACATGCTATCAAAATTCGCAAATCATCGTTTTGATGCCAGAAATAATCTTTGTCACTTTGTCAGTGACTAAATACGTGCAATTTGCTCCAAAAAAACTGTACTGTGAACAAGATAAAATCAAGTTTTGAACTTAAAATGGGCTAAATCTCAAAACTATAAAGGCACAGAAAAGCTCAGAAGATGATTTTATCGGCAAGATTTGGTGACCCATACAGGAGAGGGCGAGATCGGTGCCATATCCGGGAGACTCCCAGGTAATCCGGCAGAGTTGGCATGTATGCTATAGTATTTTGGCTTTTCTCAGTCCCTGTTGCAGTTTTAACCTATCTTTCTGTCGTTTTTCGCCATTTCTACTGCCCCATGTTGCTGTTTCAAGGCCATGCTGCTTATTGGAAATTTACACTCACAGGGCCTCATTTTGGGGGTAAAAAATGTGCAAATGAATTGTAGACAAGGCCTTTCTTTCTTTCTTACTTATGATGATCGCTTACTGGAAACAATTTTCAACTTGCTTGCATGTTTCTCTAGCCACTGTACTACCTCTGAGAAGAAAAAAAATGTAGCCTATATACTATTCTGATCTAGGGTAATTGCAGTCTTCCTTTTAGAGCATGTTGGGACAGAAATGCTTTTAGACAAGAGGGGGTTGGGGGGGGGAGATAAGAAATGATGGACTATTGCCTCTTTTGGGGTAAACAAAGTCTCCACCAGCCCAGATATGGAGTAACTGACATTAATTTACCTGATTGGACTTGTTTTATCATTAGAATTTCTTAAATGCTTTTTTTGCTATTTTTAGGTGGAAGGTAGAAAATCTTTTTGGAAAACGCTCAAGAATTTGTTGACAAAGGAAGGACCCATGGCTTTAACAAAAGGAATGTTTGCTAGTGCTCTATCTGAAGTACCGTGCAGTGCTGTTACAATATTAGGTTATGAACTGGTTAAGAAACTAAGTTTGAAAGAGGATATCATATTTGAATAACAGAATATTGGTAGGTTTTGTTATGAGTCGTGATTTTAACCATCAACCAAAAAGCTTTCAGTTGATGCCACAGTAATATTGTAAAGCAATGTTAGAGTTATTGGGGAACAAGTTGAGGACAGTGAGTAAATATTAAGTGAAGGAGTGTATGAAATAAAGCCTTACCACAATGATAGGTATGCTCTTTTTCTGATAAGCACATTAACGTTCTGTTGGCAATATAGTTTTTGTAGTAAAGCACTTATTCCACACGCCTTAAATTACATTTTAACCTTTGTATCATTCATACATTTAAAAATTTAATTTGATTTTGGATTTACAGAGCATCACAAAAAATAAGTATAATAATAATACTAAAAATCAATTAGAGCTCACTGTATAGATAAAAAACACGAGCATGATTCAGTCAAACAGACCGGAGAGAAACGAAAAAAAAAAACAGACACACACACACAACACAAACGAACAAAAAGATGTTAAGTTGATCAGAAAATTCCTGTTTAAATCTTGTTCTAGTACCCACCCGTATTTTCTTTGAAATAACCTCGTGAATCTCGGAATTTTTTAAAAAACCTAAATAAACCGAAATGAGGCCGAGTAAAAGCTCAGCAATGGAAAAAACGTAGAGAAAATGCAAAAGAAGAGGCAAGGAGAGCTTCAGAAGCCGCAATTTAGCGTCAGGAAACGGAAGGCAGCTTAGTCTTTTCAATTGTAACGACGTTTTGGGCAGTCTGGATCCTTTTTCGCCAGAAAGTGACTGGAAAACGGTTCGACAGCTTGAAACGGCGTTTTCGGCAAAATTTCGGGGCTGGAATGGGGTTACTGTAATTGCTGTAATTACATTATTGCATCATTTGATGACGTAACAATGACGTAAAACTAGCGCGTGAACAGTTTTTATTGTTCCCTTCTTAATGCCCGAAGAAGTGAAACAGGTAGAATGGCAGCACATTGACAAACTTACATACTACACTTTAGGTAGCGCCTTCTTCATTGCTATCAACGCCGTCTTATACCCTACAGACGTGATAAAAACACGTCTTCAAGTTCAGAGAACGAATGCCTTGTACAAAGGGACGTTTGATGCTTTATTTAAAACTCTTAAATCCGAAGGACTAAAAGGACTTTACAAAGGATTCTTGGTCAGTCAATTATCTGTTTTAGCGGGGCATTTTTACGTGACAAGCTATGAAGTTTCGCGTTCAAAAATGTCCTTCCTTAACGACGGTTCTCGCGGGTTTGTCGCCGGTGGTTTTGCTGCTATTATGGAGCAGTTTTTAGCCAATCCCATCGAAGTAGTGTCACAGAAGCTAATGATACAAGGACAAGGAGAAACCAAGGCAAAACTTAAAGGTGCAGCTCACATCTCCATTGACGTGTTTAAGGATCAAGGAGTGAGGGGCTTTTACCGAGGATTCCTTGCGTCTTTGTTGACAGGGGCCCTAGGGAGCGCGGTGTGGTGGGGCTCATATGGTGTTTACTTGGACGTGATTGGGCATTATGCACCTGATGGTTCATCCCATCTACTGATTCAGAGTATGTCTGGTGGGCTCTCAGGATTGAATGCCGCTGTTGTTGGAAATCCTTTTGACATAGTTAGAACGAGACTGCAGGTACTGTGAAACTGAAATGTGTGGCCCACGACAAGCTAGTACGGTTACAATTGAAATCTTTAATTAAGATGATTGCCCAGTAGCGTCCTAATACTTTGCGGGCTGTTTGTGAGATCCGGAAGTCATTTTAATCACTGGGGCGTGCAAACTTAAATCGATTATGTTAAGAAAATTACAAAGGTCAGCTTTGATACAGGTAGTTTTCCCGGGCGGCGAATAGCTATTTTTCGGAGGGAGAGAAGCGACGACCGGAAATGCGTCTGCTGTTCGCAGTACGCGCCTTGGACTCCTTTAAATTAAAATGCCATGTAGATATGGCTGGCCTAAATCCTCCTTAGCAACTCGTTTGGTGTCACTGGCGTTTTTCCTGGGTCGCACCTTACACTACTAGTAGTAAAACCTCGCTAGAACTCAATTCAAAGTCCCCGCTATTTCGAAGGAAGATTTTTGGATTTACCCTTCCCTTTGTGTCGCACCCCGGGTATTTCGAACTTTTTTTCACTACTTCGAAATAGTTCGATTTTTTATTTCTCCATAGATTGAACAAGTTTACAGAAACGAATAATTAAATAACAAATAACTCAAGAGAAAAAGGGCAAAAAGAGTAAAACTAATACATTACCCTAACTCATTGAGGTGACGAATTTTTTAAAGTTATCCGCTGACATGACCAGTTATTGGTTTTTAATTGATCGTGGGTTCAGGTCCATTTTTTAAAGGTAGGAATTCAGTTTGCTCTCTGCTTGCGGCAAAAGTTGAATTGCTTGAGAAAGATATTTCTTGAAAGATCACTTGAGGGCTTCACTTTTGGCCTTGGCTAAATCTATATATAAGAACGGATTAAAAGAGAGGCTGTATTCACATTTTGATATTGATCCAAAATTCTATATTATTTTGCTGAAACAAATGAATGTATACACCTTATTTGCATGAAGCTGTTATAAGGGAGTTAACTAAAAGTGAAGGATCAGATAGTTCTCTGCGGTCCTGTAAAGACCAGTTTGGATTATTTCCGCCAAAATGCTTCAAAGTGCTGGCAGTTACCAAGTCTTCCACGGGGCCGTTAGGACTCGTGTCGCAAGGCTCCTCCGACTCAAAAATGGTAGACTAGCAGCAGGGGCGTAGCCAGGATTTTTCAAAGGGGGGGGTCACTGCAGGGACACCATCCGGAGATCGCCGACTATATATGGTTTATACCGCTGCTCTCCCTGGTGTATCAGCAGGCTCAGTCGTATTATCGCGGCATGAAGGCCCATATTAACTTAAGATAAGAGCCGTTGACGAAAATACTTTACGAAAAACCAAATTTTAAAAAAGTGGGCTTTTCAACAATGGCTTTTACGGCCAAGATATTGTCATGGCGTTTTCGCCACCTGAATATTGTAGGTTGTTTGCTCAAAAGAAGGCCTACCAAGGGGGGGTCACGGGCACCCCAGGACCCCCCTAGCTACGCCCCTGTAGCAGTGCTACTTATTTTGATTCAGTGGCTTTTTTTAAGTCACATGTACTCAAAATGTTTATTCTGAATCAATTATTCCAGCGAAACCTGATCAATTAATTGATCTCGTGAAGTCGAACTAAAAGCTAAAGTTTTTATTCTTTCAGGTTGAAGGTGGAAAATCAATGACAAGAACGTTTCAAGATCTTATAAAGAAAGAGGGTTCCAGGTCTTTAGGAAAAGGAATGCTTGCTAGTATCACGTCATGGGTAACTTCAAGTATCATCATGATTGCTGCATATGAAACAGTCAAGAAACTCAGCCTAAATAAGGATGCCATTCACTTGTTCACGTAGAAAAGTCCAGTGTTTATTTGTGGTTTAAGGCAAGGGATATCTAGGGCTGAAATGTGTCAACTATATCACACTTCCCTATGTTGGGAGGAGAGTGCCGCTACACGTAGGCTACAATATGACAGGAGAATGCAGAGTACAAGGTTATCCAGGTAGCTAAACAGGAGTTCCTAGGCTGATAATACATTCAAACGTCAACATGTCACCGCGACTTTTTATCCACCAATTGCCTTTTTCGTTCTTCTGGTAGGGGGCTGGTGGGGTCTTTTACTAAGACGATTGGTGAACGTCCCCGTCTCAATTTCAAAATTGCTTGCAAGATGAGAAGTTTCATTATTACAACACAGCGCCGAACCTTTCCAACCCGAGAACTACATGAGAAAATCGTGACTGTACCTCTAAATACTGTTATTGGCCTTCAAAATAAATAGTCAAAAGTAAAAAGGGAGGCCTGAAGAATTAAACAAGACGTCTGTTCAAATGAAAAACCGACCCCAAACATTTAGCCTTTGAAAAGGCCCCCGAGGTAGCGTAGTGGGGGACGAAGGAAGCCGCCCCTCACCCTCCCCGTCAGCTCACGCTTTAAAGCTTTCTCCCTATCCTATACCTCAAGAGAAAACGTGTTCACAGGCTAAACAACATTCAACTACAATTGGGAAGGTCTGATTTCAACTTGTTACTCTTATCCTCTTCTTAGAGTATCTACACTTAAAAAGTTATGCACCAATTTTACAGGTTTTCAAGTAAAATCACAACGTAAAGCAAATTTACGTCCACACGGTGAAGTATTGCTTGGTAAGAGATTAAGAAACATTCACATGACTCTACTAAAGGAAAGGTTAAATTCGTTCTCACTTATCACTGGTGTCGGACTGTCGGTTTAAAAAGCCGTGAGAGATCTCAATACGAGATTGAAGAGAGGTTTACTTTGAGACCACTCAGTAATCTAATAGAAACATCACTATGGAGCGTGTGTGATTTAAAATTTATTGGTTTATCTCTGTACATAAACTAGAAATTGAAATTGCCAACACTCTTTTTTTCATTGCTACATGTACATACAGTTCCTTTCGACTGTTTACATTTAGTTCAAATTTACTTCACCGTAAAATTTAAGTTAGCAAAGAACTAACCTATCTGTTTCTTTGCACTGGGATTTCGTAGCGTGCAATCATATGTTCCTATGCGGGATAAGAAAAACGAATCTTCCCGCTGCTTTTTTTGTCATTCAAACCTTTAGCTACACAGAGTCCTTGTCATTGTGGCTATTGCCTACCAGATCTCTTCAATGTATCATCAATATCACATCAGGAAATATAAAATTCTATTAACCGACCATTTTAAATAGACTTCTCTTTTATAATGCTCTACTGTTGTGGGAAAAAAGTTAGTACCTACATTACATTGGAGTATTGATACGGTACATAACTTAAACTACTAGCTCGATGCTGAGGTACAGGGCTTTAACTGTACTGTAATAGAGTCATATACAATTTGATTAAATAGGGTTTAATAACAAGATGTTTTGGTTGTACCCTACACCGTGATTAGCTTTGCTGAGAGTAATTAAAATGATTAAAGAGACTCTCAAAACCTTTACAATTTAGTTTTTTAGGTCAAAGGTAGTATTCCTCCCAGCCGTGTTTAGTGTCGTTTCATCATACATTGTATAATTATATTATTATATTAGTATTACTATAGCACATGTTAGTACTACGTTGTTTAACATAAGTACTACATTGGTACACATTAGCACTACATCAGCACTTATTGGTACTACATAGGTATATACTAGTACTACGCACAATTGCATGGCATTGCATTGCATTGAAATAATGTCAAACTACTTGATCTTAGGTAAATGAAATGGGTATTGGTCAACTATTCATTTACGATAACGTCCTCGTCGTCAAAAAACGAAATTCACAGTTCTTGAATTTCCAAGTCATTTTCTACGATGATGTTTTCTTCCTCACTGTGAACATGACTGTTCTCCTCATCACTGTCTCTCTCCTCATTGTCACTGCTTTCAGTGTCATGAACTTGGTCATTCTCCTTCCCTAAATCTTTGTCCACTGTCTGTGAAATGTCATCTGCTTCTTGGACTTTAGCACCGGATAATACTTCCATTTCGGGCCTCTTTGCATCTAGTAAAATGATAAAAGAGAAGGAAAGTTAGCGAATTACTGGTAATTCAACGACTTCTTTGGTTAACTCCAAGGCTGTTGTCTAAGAAAAACTGAAAAGGGATCTCTATGCTCTTAAACCTGTGAAATCCAGGGTGCCCAGCAAATGACTTCGATGAAAAAACTAAGAACTTGCATTTATCCGGGAGCAAAAGTTAGGCACCAGGGGCCACCCGGCTGGTGCTGCTAGAGCAGAAACCTTAAGTTGCTTTCTTTTGCGGGCCTTTGGTACGCGGTATAAGGCGAAGAATATGTCTACTAAAAATACTTGAGTTTTTGGAAGGCATGTGCTCAGGATTGAGTACATAATCAGTTGTCTTTTGTGGCGGGACGTTCAGGGTAAGCGAATTGACCGACAGCTTCTATGCTAAGAATAAAAATCTTCAATAACAACCGACCGCCGCCGTTGAGCAACAATTGCATAATTTTTAAGTTTAAATTATATTGATTGGGTGTCCTGTGCGGGCGGGGACGCTCCCAAAGCGGGGCACATAATGGGGGTAGTCTCTGTGTTAAGACAAAGAACATGAAAACAAAACCTGGGAATCTCTTTACTTTAGGCTAGTTCAAATAGAAACGTGGTACTATCACAGCTGTGCTCCAACCTTAGCTTGGTCGCCACTGAGATAAGACGCAGATACGTTGATTGCGAACGGTTATGAAACTTATTAAAGTAACATAGAAAGTGATTAGTACCTAATGTCTTCTGTTGTTGTAACTCAAGTTTTTCTTTAGCCTCTTGCCACTTTTCATCATAGGCCTGCTTTGTTTTCTGAGTTAGATCCATCAGTGTCTTGAAATGTTCCTAGAACAGAAAGGAAATCAATGAACACACTGAGAGACACCTATCACAAAACTTTAGCATTTGTGTGAGACTTTCTGCTTTTCACCGTTTGTCGCTTGCCGTAAATTTTACATAAATGCGGCGCTTGACCTACCTACTGTTTTGTAGAGGAAAGAAAACCAAGGACTTGGTCCTCCCACGCAGGCGTTCTTGGGGCTTCATCACGCGTTCCTTCCCCACTTTGGGGAGGATTGCGTGACGAGCCAAAAGAACATTTGCGTGGGAGGCTTCTTCGCGCGCTTCTGCCAATTTTTTTTACGTTTTTATCAGAGTGCCCGGAGAACCCAGTGCTCACAGGCAAATCCTTTTATGAGCGTGAACACACTACTCTTTACCTTTAAAACGAGAAATGACAAACGCAGGAAATGAAACTTTTATCAGGCTTTCTTTTAACTGCAATGATCCTTCTCGTGTTTAAACGTAATAATTGGCGGGAAAATGGTCACCTGGTCGTCTCTGCCTTTGCTGTTAACGAAATATTTTGATCGCTCTATTTTTGCGAAAACATTGTGACTTGTCAGTTGGTTAAGGCAGGAAAAAATTTTCCCTGAGAACAAAATCTACATCGAGGGAGAAGAATTGTTTTTGATTTTATTCCTGACAATGTCTGTTGCATTTAAGAAACAAAATTTGCCTCCTAACGTAAGGCCCAGTTTAAACGTCGAATTTACGTGTGCCGAATTAAATTCGAGAATTAAGTGCACGTGAGATTTCATGTCTGAACTAAGTAAATTCGACAGGTTTAATTTAAATATCACCTTGCCCAATCTGCGACTGAAACAGGCCAAGATTCGACTTATAAGGTTCGACATTTGATTCAGAGGTAGAAGAATTTCACATGTGCCAAATATAATGCACTAATTATAGAAACTTTTATCCATATTGGACAACAAGTTGTTTTAAAGACTGGGAATTTTTACAGCAACTGAAGTTAGATTCAGCACCATTATATCCCAAGTCTGCATAAACTACCGTATTTAATTATTTTAGTGGACTAAAACAGGCGTTAAAATCACTGCATGTGAAATTCGACGTTTGAACTGGGCCTAAGAAAATTAGCGATCAATTTTTTGCAACAAAGAGTCTACATTGGGTTCCCTGTGTTTTCTCTTGACTAACCTGTGCCCCATCGTAGTTGAATATCCCAACAATACTGACTGGAACTTTCTTTAACAGAACTCTTCCCAACAGCTGGCGCTTTAGAGCAAACACCACTGGAATATGATTTTCCTCGCACAATCTTATTATGCTACCAACCGTGTCATCTAAACCTCCTATTGGGAAAAAATAGTTAATACAATGCAACTTATTACCGGAAATTAAGGCTTGTGTTAATTAAGGTATTTGAAATTCAAGCGACCTAAATTAAGGTACAGGCTAATTGTGGCAATGGATGGTCACAATTAGCTAGGCGAAGGTGATGGTAGCCAAAATTTCAGACGATTACTTCAAGTCGTTTTTACTATTTCAGTAACGTCTGAATAGACCTCGGCTCCAAATGAAAAACCTACCGACTCTCCGCAATGATTCTTCATTCGTAGTTCAATTTAACAATTCCATAGTTTCGAAGACTAGGGCAATTTTGCTGTTTACGATAAAGATTGTCGAAATTTTGAACGCCACGCATTCGATCCGCTGAATATCAAACGACAATCCCGCTAAAATTTCTCATAATTTTACATAATTATGCCAATGTTTGGACAATCAACCAATCAAAATCACTACCTGGTTTTCGGGTAACGGCCGGTCGATTCAGACGTTGCTGAGAGGAGAAAACGACTCAAAGTAATCGTCTGAAATTCAGGCTATAGGTGATGGCAAATTAGAAATAGCTTTCAACTGTGGCCATAAACACGAGCAAAGACGGAGCGTTAACAGCAGTGGATGGAAGACTTTTTCACACAGCTATAAGCTAACGGCCAAAAAAAGAGTACTTGAAGGCATCAACAAAGCTGGGTTAAAGATTGTATGTCATATTATGGGACTTCCTGGTACAGGAGGCATTACTAAGAGATTATTTCACTAGGGTCCAAGGAAAAAGCGACTAAATTATACTGGATCTTATAAAAAACGGAAAGATTTCAAGCAAACACTTTGTTGCAAGCGATCATGCCCGTCAAAAAACCATTGGTTTTGAGGCATAAAGCTGAATTGGTATTAACTCTTTAAACCCGAAGAGTGATCAGTATCAAATTTCTCCTAGTAATAGCAATGCGTTGTAAAACAGAGTTGTTGTAAGAATTACGGACATGATCACACAAGATGAATTTGCTTGATATTTTATTACCTTCTCCTCACTACTTCTGTAGGAAATAAGTAGGGGCGACAAATGAGAATTTTGATTTTGATGTGCCCACTTAAATAGCTTGTGTCACTAACCTGCCGATTTGATGCGCTCAACATTGGAAGATATGATCACACACTTAACCTTCCTTAATTTTAGATGTTTGTGAACCTCTCTTAGGCCCAGTACAAACCTTCTCTTAGCCTTAGCCTGGGAAGTAAACAAAAAACAAAAACTTAACAAAGAGCAATAAGAACTAGAACTGCAAATTACATAACCAATGTATAAAGTGTGTACCCTCGTTGATTTAGTATATATGTTTAAAAAATACATTCCCCCTTCAAGGCAGTATGCGTAAATTTATGCGCAAATATATTTTGTTCGATTACCGTGGAGTTTCTCTGGGTTTTACCTGAAGTTTGTAATTCATGAATAAAGTAAACGTTTTTACCTTCCATGCTGAGACGGAAAACAGCTCATTCAACGAAAAATGTTTCAATGACAAATCTTGAAAAGTGCTATTACTTTAAGAACACAAACTAGAACTAGAAATAACTTTTCTTTTAACCTTGATTGGATCTTTATGGAACTGTCTGTCTTGGAACCGCACAAGTTCTCTCAAAAGCTCAGAAGCTACAGCATCCACCTCTTTATCAGGGACCTGCCAACAGTACCTGTAAATTCAACACACGCTACAATATCAAGAAGCGTCCTTTAACAGTGCCTATGATGTTTTCTGCCCTCCAAATGTTGATTTTTGCGAGTTGGCATCACAGATACCTGAAATTCAAAATTCACAGAAACCTGGAACACAACTTTTTGTTGGAATATGGGTGTTGCAAGGGTTGTCCCGACTCAACGTGACGAGGATTGTAGTTGTTCGAAAGATGGATAGCGCTATTCCATGGATAAATAGCCTGCGAATACAGCCGTTTCTCCTCGTTCCTCGCCGCCAGGGACGTTTCGTCTGAAGGAAACGTCCTTAGCGGAGAGGAGCAAGGAGAAACAGCTGTATTCGCAAGCTACATGTAATGAATAAATCTCTATCCAGTTGGAGTGGATAATACAATTGGTTTCCCTACTAATACTTATCCGCTAGATAATGATTTATTCAGTGAACAGCGCTATCCAACGTTTGAACAACCGGGGCCTGCAATGGTAAGCCAGGCTCTTTGATAGTACCACAGTGCGGTTTCAGTATAATTACACTGTTTGTCAGGGGGTTAAAATACGATCCTAAAATTTGTTGGAAATAAAATATTATAACAAGTTTTATTAACCCAGGTTTCAAAAAATAAAAAAAAAAACATAAATGGAAAACTGGAGCACAGACACTTAAACAAGATTGAGATAAATTTTAACATTCTCTGTGATTTAAACATAATTTGCAATAGCCACAAGTTAATAAGCAGCTTTTATGAAAAAACAATTTTATATCATGTTTAACTAAACAGCTTTTAAACGTGCTTAAGCTTTGGTGTGAATGGGGCATAACTCTGCAGTTAGTTGTTGTTGTCCTTAATTCTAACACGAAGTTTCGTGATAATTTGCTCAAATTCACATTCCATACTGTTGCAATATCAATATAATAAACAATGTGGAAGGCGCGAGAAGCCTCTTGAGTTCTTTGGTGATGTAGTTCTTTGAACATTGACAAAAATGCAAACTGGACTTCTCACTAGCGTTTGAACCAAAAACAAACTTAATAAAGAATATCGAATTCTGGCTCTCATGGCCTAGTATATAAGCGACATTAAGACAATTATTGGTTAAAACTTACTCTCTAAATCGACGACTGTGTATTTCAGCAGCAATTTCCTGGCGTGTGGGAGAAGAAGGCTCAACTTCTTCTGCTGTTTCAGCTGAGATAATAAAAAATGTTGCTCATGATATTGTGTCACTTATGATCAAAAAAACTGTAGGTCAATCACCACAAATTTCGACCAACAAAAAGAAAAAAGGTCTTGAAAGTGTTGGTAGATTATGGAGGTAGGAAAACTTAAACAAATGTGAAATAAACACAACTACATCCTATCACTTGCACGAAATTTATTGATGCATTAAAACCAAGGAAAAGACAACGTGCTGAAAAATACTGAGTGAATGAAAGATCACATTCTTTACCATCAAATTACGTTCTACAGTGTAATTCACTACAGTCAAACAAACGTAAAGCATTTTCTCATTAAATCCTGTACAAATCACGACCAGCAACTCAATATGAGACACATGATGGTTGATTTCCCAGACAATCTAACCAAAAAAGTTGCCCTTTTCTCGATGTGTTAACCAAATATCAAATGTAAAATATATGTGGATTGATGCCATCAATTCAACTATACCTTCTGACTGGTCTTGTACTTCTTGGTGTGCAATATTTTCTCCTTCAGATTCACACGCTCTTAAAGAGAGAACAACAAAAACGAGAAATAGCAAGTCTTCTCGCATTCCTCTTACAGGATTGACTTTGAAACAAATTATTGTTTAAAGTCAACCATCTTGAAAATAAACCCTTCTATTAAATGAAAAGACAAAAACAGATAAAGACTTACCGACATAAAAATAATAATGCATCTTTTAAGCAATTTTTTAAATAAGCAAATTGTCTCATGTTTGTTGTTTACACAGACCTCTTAATTTGTTTCTTCTACAAGCCTTGCCTATTCTTTTTTCCTTTTTCAAGTACAAAATACATGCTATGTGGGTAGCTATTAGAGACCTTTAGATTCAAGGACGAGAACGACTTTTAAGTACCATGAATTTGACTTTCCGGCTTCATTTTACCATTTTTCACTAGAGAAGGAAAAAGAAAACATTTAGTGAAGGACCATTTTCCCTGATTTCAAAATGATAAAACTTCTAACATTTGATATCTTGTTTCCGCCACTTCGACATTCTCGCTAAAACTCGTAGCAGAATGATAACGGCTACCACGTTTTCCCGCCAAAATGACACTGGTTCACGCCCAAGCTTTACCGTACTTAGTATTGAGAAAATCTCGTACTCGTAGTCGTAATCGTCTTAGAATCTAAAGGTCTCTATTAAATGAACTACTACTTAGTGGCAGATCCCGGGAAGGGACCTGGCCTCCCTTAATTTTAGACCAAACTGAGGCCCTAAATAAATTTTTTGGAGACCAGGCCCCCCGTTATATCAGGGTCTGGATGACTACCCCCCCACCCCTTATCTCAAGGTCTGGATTGGGAACGACAACTTACCTATTTGTACTGTCATTAGAAGTTTCCACATCACCACTTTCAGTTGTTTCTCTTGCCTTCTTCTTCTCTTCTCTCTCTTTCAGTATGATCTAACATACACCATGAAATATAAACAACTGTTAGCAGTTTTGATGTGATAAGTTAGTCGCACTGGAGGCAACAGGGCTAAATATTTTACGTGAACACAACGAATTTTACCTGCCCCCCCACAATTGGGCACCTGTTTAATTCAAGCCATGGATGATCTATTCTGGTTTTAATCAAATATGAAAACAAAAATTACCAATTCCTGTAAATTTTAATTTTAATAAGATATCTAGGGGAGCTGTAGAACACGAAGTTTTAAAAATTGTCAGATTGACTGGGTTCTTTGTTTTGTCATACAGCATGTTGAATTTCGAAGATTTTGCAAGTATACAAGAAAAATACTTAAAAAGATGCAGATTTCATTTACATTTTTATATCTAAAAAGTATCAAAATAAGTTTTATTTTTATTCATTCAAAATTTCCCTTTGTTTCTGATTGGCTCAAATCCCACGGCCAATTCTTCATAACAAGCTAGCGCTGTTGACCAAAGGAATTTTATATGGTGACCTCCCCTTTACGCCCTATACGTTTTGCCTGGCCCCCTCCCCCCGTTTAAGCTATATTTTTTGCATCCCCCCTCAAATCCCAACATTTCCCCTTCCTGACAAAAAAATTAAGTGTCACTTACCATTATTTATAATTTATCTCTTCAAACATCTCAAATAGTCATGAAAAACTGCCTGAACTGAATCTTGGTGTGATTGTTTATCTTTAATTCAATCATCTCTCAGATTGTTGACTTTATTCATTGAATGCTTCATATTTTTATATTTGACCGTATGACAGTAAATACCAGCAATAATATTGTGAAGCAGCTTTAACAGGCACCAAGGACATTACTGTTTTATTGTAAAAAATAATTTTTCACTCTAGAAACTGTAAGATGGGTACAAGCTCTTGGCGCAATGATTTCTGGGATTGTTTGGGTGGACAACCGTTATTTATGATTGGTTAATGGTTGCCTTGAATACCATTGACCAATCGTAACTAACGCTTGTACACCCAAATGAGCCCAGAAATCACTGTATCTAAAGCTTGTATTTATTCTTCCTGGAGTTCCTGAAGTGGGTAATTACCTTCTTTAGAGCACTGGGCTTTTTTCTAGCTGGAGTTTCTCTCTCTTTTCCTCTTTTGATCACAGGAGCAGTTGAGTCCAGTTTGTTATGAGGAATCTAAAGAGAAGTCATGATTAAGAAGAAATCCATTAGGAAATTGAGTAATTCTAATTTTCAGTCGACAAAAACCTTGTACCAGAATAATTTCAATCTTGCTCATTGTATTCTTTTTCATGCTTTTCAAGGGCTATTCTTATTGGAGCCCAAGAAAAAAAAATTCAAAAGCCTCAAATTTCACAAAAATATGAAATCTTATGCATGACAATGTTACCTGTGTTTTCTCAGTTCATGTGAAATTAAAAGATGAAATTTATTTTCGTGGGCTCCCGTGAGAAATTGTCTTTGGTGTTATTACAGGTAACTAATTACATCTATAGCCCTTGAAAAGTGTAAAAAAGAATGCAATATGGCTTAAAATATTTTCTGGTTCAAGGTTTTTGTCCCCTGAAAAATTAACTCAATTTCCGAATGGATTCTGTATTAATATTGTTGTTTGTGCTAGCAAAATACAAAGTGATCTTCTTGGAATTTTTACCTTGTTTTCGCTTTTCCTTAATGGTGAAATGACTACAGGTTTTTCCTCATAAGATGCTGCTGCTGCTGATAGTTGAGTTGGTAATACACCCGTAGCCACCACCAACTTCTTGCCACTTTGCTGTGTCTTCTCTGGGCTATTCTTCTAAAAAAAGTAAGGAAATAAACAATAATAATTAAAAAGATACAAATAGAATGTGGTTACTATGAATGTTTTCTGGTAAGAAAATAGCCATTTTAAACATTGCAAAGCAACAGCACAACATTTGAGTTTACGAAAATTATCTCACATTCTTCAGTACCTATCATAAGTTCAAGGATGTTTACTGTTATTTTTGTAACTATAAATAAAGTTAATGATTAAGAAGTTCTAGGAATTGTGGAAATATTAATCATTTATTACAGGTAACTTGATGGGATACAAATCTGTGAAAATATTACATAATACCAAGAGGTGCAAACAGATGATGTGATACAGATACAGTAAAGAATATTAAATAATAAGACTGTGGCAATGATAACAGGGAAAGCTCATGGTAAATGCAAAACATGTCCACATTTAACAGTCTTGCTTGACTAATTATTAGTCTTCCTTGTTAATATAACTTCTACAGTTTTCAGTTTCTGTATCCCTAGTTATTATATATGTTGTGGTTGAAATTCATCCTTGGTTTAAATTTTACTGTCCTTTGTTTTCGACTCATTCATTGGTGTACATCGATCATCACCATGCCCAAAGACGGAGGAAAATAAAATTTAAACCAAGGATAAATTGAACCACAACATAAAAATGTATTAAATATATTTTTTACAGTAAACTTATTATGTCATATTCACTATTAAGTTATACTTCGTAGTATTATGTAATATTTTCACAGATTTGCAATCATCTGTATGAAGTCATATGACAATGTAATCATATACTGTTTTTAAAATACATACTGGTAATTATGACTTCTTTTTCGTTAACGTAACTTTATATGTTGTAACAAAATTGTAAACACCCTTGAACATAACTATGATGGATGCTGAAATCTTAAACATGTTACTGGATTAACATACTTTATGAAAAATTATACCATGCTAAAAAGAATACAAACAAACAACAGAAACACCACTAAAATGCATCATTGACATAAAGGATGAGAAAAGGGGGAATTGGTGGGCAAAAGTTGTGCCAACATTTTCAAGATCCTTACTGATATATTTTGAAGCATAACTCCAAGGTCAAACTGGATGGGCTTCTGAGTGCGTTTAGCTGAACCACCATCCTGAGATTGCCCCCCACTCTCTGCTGTCTTCTTTTTCTTTTTTTTCTTTTTCTTTGTTGGTGAATTTTCTTGCCCCGGTTCACCTTCTGGCTGATCTGCTCCCGAGTGAGATGGAACCTTCAGTAGGCCACCTTGTGTTGTGGGTTTTTCATTTTCCCATGCGGTAGGGACCATGACTGACTATTCCAAGAAGAAATGACCATATTAGTTGTTAAGTCACAAGGATAAAAGATAGCAAGGCACAGGTTCATGTACTTTTCACTCACTTCAAATTATGATCGTTCCTAAATTATCTATAACAAGGAGTCCAGGTCACAAGACTACCTGCTTTACCGTGTGCTACCTTAAGCAAAGGAGACAAGCTATCAGTTGCGATGCAGATCTGCACTTAAGCCGAGAATTAACACATGTTTGGTCAAAGTTACTTTGACAAGACACAATTTAAACATACTATGGATAGAAGAGCATGGGTAGTTAATTGGTCAGAGGGCCTGACTGACCGACCCATGAGATAAAGCTTTTGTGTATGAAAACTGATAAGGGTTTGTATGCAAATAACTGCTCAACTGCAAGGTGCGCTATCCAGTGACTTCTTTTTCCAAAGATATGCTCGATATGTAACTTCTCCATAATTCAAACTGTCATGAAATATAACAATTAAGAGTCTTTCATAAACCCCAAAATTGCGCTCTTTCCATCTCTGAAATTTTTAAAGTTGTATTCCATAAATTTTGCATGAGAGTCTGCGTGGCATCCAGCTGAAAAGGGCCTACAGTGTATATAGCTGAAAATTATACAAAACATTGCGATGTCCTTCTCTCTACCTACTGGGGATACTAAAGCTGTAAACTGAGAGTCTAATACATACCTTTGGTTTTGGTATTGACCTTAACACAGCACTGTAGGACAGAGTAGCAGGTGGCTTTGAAGGGGTCACTGTCTCTTTAAAACCAACTGTTAACCCATCTGTAATTGGAACTCTTTTAATTTTAGTGCTCTCCATTAAGTCAGGAAATTCACCTTTCATTGCCCCAATGTTAGATGAAGCAGTGTTAACTGAAGCAGCTGGCAACTGATTTATCTTTGGTTCATGAGAGCTAATAATTGCAACTTCACTGTCAAGTTGAGTAACTGGACGTTTGGCACTTTGTTCTGTCAAACTTGAACCATTATTGTCAGAAGACGTTCGCTGATTACTTGAAGTCTTGGGTATTTTATCCATGACATCCGTGGACTTTTTTCTGCTATCATCACTGTTATATTTCTTTGAGTCCATAACTCTCTTTTCCCCCTTTTGATGGCTTGTTATCTTTTTGCAAGACTGAACATTGGGATTTTCGGTATTCACTTTTTTAACTGAATCTATTTTTTGTGAAGTTGAAGAATCTGCCACAGGCAAAAATTCTTTTTTAATTCTCCAGTTATCATCATCATCACATGCATTTTTCTTAAAACTGTTGTTTCTTCCCATGAACTTTCCTGTCCTTGGTATTTGCTTTAAGTTTGAAGTCTCTGAGTTTGATGAATTACAGTACTTTTGTTGATAATGTTCACCATCTCCCCCTGAAGTTGAATCCAGAGGTTTAATAGGTGCATTACTTAAATGTCCACTATTTGAAGCCATTCTCTTTTTGCTACCCAGGTTAGATGTCCTTTTGTCTTTGTCAACATTAATCTTAGAACTATGCCCTAGATCAACAGCATCAACAATTTTATTGGAATTTTCCACAGTAAAATTCTTTACGAAAGATTTGTCTCCTAGTGCATGTTTGCTCGCACTACTGTTTATATTTAATGATGAGCTCTTCACTTTATCACTGTAACTTACAGTTAAGTGGGGAGCTGGATATTGTGTTTTATTATTATGTGAATCATGATTTGTAGAGGATATGTTTGCTTTCTCATCCTTAGTATTAACCTCAGAAGAGCTGGTACTTTTAGAAGAGGAAGGTAATGATTTACAGTTTGGTTGTGAAGTGGTGACCCCATTTTCCTTACTACAGACCATGTCGTCTATGACTTTCTGTGGAGAAACATCTTTCTCCTGATACAAAGCTTTTTCTGTAGTTCCTTCTGTTTTTTCCTCATTGCCTTGATAATCAATAAGACTATTAGATTGTTTCCTCTTTTTCTGTCTTTTTTTCTTGCTCACATTTGCACAGTTTTCTGTGAGGTGTTCACTTGAGTTGCTTCCTGATACATTTTGGGACTCTCGAATTTTCTCTGCACCATCAGGCTTTTTAACTTTGGTTGTGCTCTTGTTGGCTGTAGCTTGGAAACTTGTCTGGTGTGCTCCACGAGATACATTCTGCAGAAAATGGTGCATAACAAAGTTATACAATGTAGCTGCATATTTCATCACAGTGGAAAGTTATCATAAAGAGAATAACATAGAGTTCCAAAAGTAGCAACCAAACCAAACAGCAGTCTCCTCCAAAAGTAATGGATGCTTAATTGGAATATTAATTTTAGGACTTTCCTTTTGGCCTTTTGTGACACAGCGTGTTAATACCAACTGTCAATGCTAAACAATAATTTTAAATAAAGTACTTTATTTGAGTGTCAATGTAATTAGCAGGAAAGTACTAATTGGGGACACTTTTTCTACATCCCTAACTGGAGATGGGACCGCCATTTTACGTTGTCATCCAAGTTAACACGCAAAGGTCTATCTGCTTGCAGTGTAAAGGGAGTACCTTCATTTCTCAGTTATTTTAAGATCCTGAGTATTGGTCCAGCCCCACGAATCAAATCCGCGACCTCCCGCTCTGCAGACAAGTGCTCTACCAACTGAACTGGAACTTTGTACAAAACTACTACTCAAGGAAACTGTAAAGAACCGTCTATTCTGAGGACAAAGCTTCTTAAGAATTATTGATAAAGAAACTGTTATTTCTGGATGAGATTCTTGCCTTTGTCTGCATCATTTATTCTGCTGCTACTTTCGGGATTTTTTCAGTTTGCATTTTGTAGGAGTCACAAGGTATATCGCAAATTTTGATCAAGCCCAAATGACAACTGTTGAATTGTTTGTGGTTTTGGAGCATGAAAGTCCTTTCAGAGTATGATTGGCAAGAGAACAGAAACCATTCCTAACATATTTAAGGTGTTTATCGTTTTCCTAGTAACACTGGAAATAACCACTTCCATTTTTTAATGCAGTAAAAGTTTTCAAGAACATTTCCATTATTGACCTACATACCTCTTTTAAATCAACCTTTTGATGCTTGAGATATGCTTGTTTACTGTTGTGCTGTAATAAACTGCAGGTGGGTTGATAGGGTGCTGACAACAGAGGAGCAAAGGACCCCAAAGGACGGAACTCTGGTACAAAAGGTGAAAGGGTGGATTTGATAACCAACTCACTTGAAAGCCCGCCAGATGTTACTCCTGTGTATGTCCCCCCAGGAATGAATGCAGGAACTGTAGCTGATAGTTTGGAGCTAGAAGACACATTAAAAATACTTACTCTTGCAAAAATAATTTAAGCAAAACAACCTTCTTTCAGCAGTGTTTTGGAATTTACACTATAACTGTCTTTGCAGTTGCTCTCAAAGCTTCAATTCCCAGCCAACTATTCATGGACCACCTACAACTAGGAGTAGTATTCTCCAGCAGATCATTGCTGGACAGAAATGTTATACCTTAATGTGCGTTAAACATCCAAACCCGTTGACAGCAAATTTGTGGACGTTTTGTCCTTTCAGGCACTGTATAAACCAACAATATTATATGTATTTAAGTATTTGAGACTCAAAACCAAAGGAATTGCCCTCAACAATGTGGAGAAAAGAGATATAGCCGGCCCTTAATGTGAACAAGGCATGATTTGCTTTGGTCTGACTTGATGGAGTCTCAATGGGGAAAGGGAATAGTATGTGCACTAAACTACAAATAATATAAAGCTGAAAATCTTGAAGGATCAAATAAAATGTATGTGAGTAGATGGTATTTTCTATTTCCGCCTACGTTTACGCTTAAGCCTGATTCTGCGCTTTAAATGCGAGAAAAAGACCCTCTTTATTATTAAAATAGCACATCACGCACTCTAAATTCGAGATTGCTCCGAATCTCTCAATTTAGTTTTCTTATTTTATAAAAAAAAATTAAAACAAAGCATAGAACTATTTTTTCTGTACTTTAAACCGGCAGTTTGAATTTATGACAACAAAATCTTATTTTATGATTTGTCTTAAATTTTTTCCTTAAAGAAATCTCGCATTTAGAGTGTTATGTACCAGACGCCATTTTGAAATTTCACTCGTACTGAACTCTAAAACTACTTCGAGATCAAAACTAAAAAATAGGGAAGGAAGTTTACATTACCCCTGAATCTTGCTGTCCATGACTCATGAGGACGTATTTACGTACAGTTATCTTGCAGCAGATGAAACTAAAACAGCACCTGACAAGGCCTGAGTCATCACTGAACTCAGCTTAAAAATTAGCTCCAATCATTGGAGTTCCTGTGACAGTGTTTATGATTTCCCATATTTGGTCAACATACCCATTTAAAGAATGAATTTCCTCGGTCGTTCACAGGATACCCTCTTCAAGAAAAGAAGGAACCACGTACATTTGTGTAGAGGAAAAACACGGACAATTTTCCAATGTAAAAAAACAGATAGAAAGCACTTGGAGCCAATTGACCTGACTGACGTCGCAGCAGCCTTCAAAACCTTAGCAAGAAACTCATCAACACTAGCACTAGTAGTTTTGGATGTTATCAGAATTTCCCTGTTCATCAATATTCCTTTTCTTTCCTCCTTGAAAAAGTTTTAAAGTCCTCCAAAACTGTTTTGGTCCTCCTTTCCGTGCTCTTCTCGTTATTTACTAGTACAGAAACATCGTTTCTAAAATTTGCTCTAAAGGAACCATATTTCCAAATCACCACAGCCCAGGTTTTCCGAATTATTCAATTCCTAAATTGGCCACGCTTTTATCGACTTATACATTTTCACGATGGAAAACATGGGCAATACAGTTTTCAGAACTGCATACAAAATCTGATTATGCCAAAAGACATGATTATGTTATCCCTGATGCTTCAGATGCAGTATAATTACGCTCAAACTTATGCCGGCATAAGAGATGCCGATGAGATGCTCGTACCAGGTGTCTGTGTGGGCGTGCGTGCATGTATACAAACTGCCGTAAAATTCCGAAAATAAGCCCCGGGGCTTATATTTTTCAAAGGCCCCTTTTGAGGGGCTTATATTCGGAGGGGCTTATCTATGGACGGAAATTTGCGTTTCAAAATCAATTGGGCTAGCCTTTTAGTTGGAAGGAAATTTACCCGGCCTTTTTTGCTTTGTTTTACTTTGTATTTGAGGGCAATTTCCAAGTACAAGCCCCTGGGGGGCTTCTATTTGAAGGGGCGATTTAACGGAGGGTTTTTTGCGTTACGAGTTTGGGGGGCTTATATTTGGAGGGGCTTATTCATGGAGGGGCTTATTTTCGGAATTTTACGGTATTTCAATTGCAAGACTGGCACTACCGAACAGAGGGGAACTTTTAATGTGGCTAAATATATTCGACTGGAACAAATAGTCTTCTTCAGGGCCAGCGCTGTGCTGAAGAACTAGAATTAACAGAAAGTGGTTCCTTTATGTATCGTACCAGAAACTCATAAGGGATTACCTCACTTAACAGACTTAACCGGCTAAATTACAGCCTAGATGCCCTTCCATTGCAAATCTTTTTAAGTTCCTGTTCAGTACTTTCAGCTTGAAACGCAACTGTGCTGGGACATAAGCAGTAAAGTTTCGGCCAAATTACAGCCTAGTTGCCCTTGCGTTGCAAATCTTTTAAGTCCCCGTTCAGTACTTTCAGCTTGAAACGCAACTGTGCTGGGAGATAAGCAGTACAGTTTCGCCTGACTGTTAATCATGAAGCCCCTGAAGCCCGTTAATTTATAGCGGAGCTCCCGCGCGCGCTTCGCGCGCGCGCAGCGGAGCACCATGGGTAAGAAAATTTGGTTATGACGTAGCGTACGCAGTAGCGTACGTCCGTCCGTACGGACTTTCCGGGTAGTGGAAAGTAGTCCGCATGGCCTCTTGGGGTAGGGGAAAGTACAGATTTTTTTGGCGGGAAATCGCATGGCGCAACGTCGCGCAATTATATCGCGCAACGACAGAGCTGAACAAAGTCTGCGCATGTGCCGAGACGGGAGAGGTCTGGAATCTAACCTAGTATCGTTTTCAAAGGGATTTTCAAAACGTCCTCACATTTTGGCGATTATTAAGGTGGATTCTGAATATTTAAGGTCCTCAGTTAAACTAAAGGTAGATTATTTCATACTTTATTCAATTCTCGTTTCTACCCTTGTAATGTTTCTTCTACTTTTTTCTATGAACAAAAGAAGACGCACGAACGAATCATCCCTGCAATAATAGTATCGTTTGCAAAGCGATTTTCAAAACATCCTCACATTTTGGCGATTATTAAGGTGGTTTCTGAATATTCAAGGCTCCCATTTAAACTAAAGGTAGATTATTTCATACTTTATTTAATTCTCGTTTCTACCTTTGTAATTTTTCTTCTACTTTCTTCTATGAACAAAAGAAGACGCACGAAAGAAGCGTCCCCGCTATAAATAGTATCGTTTGCAAAAGGATTTTCAAAACATCCTCACATTTTGGCGATTATTAAGGTGGTTTCCGAATATTCAAGGCTCCCATTTAAACTAAAGGTAGATTATTTCATACTTTATTGAATTCTCGTTTCCACCTTCGTAATTTTTTCCCTTTTTTTGCTATGAACAAAAGAAGATGCACAGACGAAGCCGAAAACAGTTCTTTCATTCGAATGTGTACATTTTCAAGCGTAAACACATGAAAGTACAGATTATCAATATGTTATCAGTTCTAAGAAATCGTCCGGACATCATATCAGTGTCAGCATTAAAGGTACTTTTTATTCATCTTTGTTTTTCCTTGAATGATCGTCCTTTAGTTATTTCTCTTGTTATATCTCGCTTGGTTTCACTATAAGAACTGTAAGAACACAAAACAATCACTGAGGTTTCGAATTCGATCAAGTTCTTTCTTCCAAACTTGTTTCCCTTTATGAATCATTCTTGGCTCAGCTCAAAAGAGCTATTATAAATTTTTGTCTATGACAACAGGCAAAATTAATGTTGAAAAGAGTAAATGGGCAAGTAATACAGTCGATGCTTGCTGGTAAAAGTATTAATGACTTGAAGTTCTCTAAAAAGCTTCATTACAGGGAGAAGCACAATCTGACTCTTTACAAACTCTCATTTATTTTTCTCTTCGAAGTCTAGATCTTCATTCCTTGATTCATCTGCTTCATTCAAACCTGTCATAAAAGGAAAACCTATAGTTAATACGAAAACTCACATAGAGCTGAGCCAACTTGTGATTGTTTCCCAAAACTTCAACAGCTTTAAACTTTTAAAGGTTTATTCACTAATAAGCTTAAAGTTGCAAATTAAATTTTAAACAAACTTTACCGAAAAAATACTGATTCTACAGCTCGACCAGCGCCTCTAAGCCGGCTAGAGGTACGTAAAAGCTTCTTTGATCGCACTAAGATTTGTAACTAAGTTTATGACTTTCATGACTTCTTGTGTCTGATGGTATCATCGCGCTCAAAGCCGGCTTTCTTGCCACCAAGTCAAAAGAAACGGTCAACAACTGTTATCGCTCGGCCTACATTACAAATATTTGCTCCTCCTTAACCAGAATAAAGTAATGTTTAAGTAAATCGTTTACGTACCATCGAAGAAAAGTCGCCCAAACTCCAGCACATTGCTCTTTTTTAATTTCTCAGTCATCTTTCTGCAAACTTACTGACGATCTGCATCAAAACAATGAAAAACCTTCGCCGGGACGGTCAAAAACATTTTCCTTGATCCCTGGATTACATAAAATTTCTTTCCATGAGTTGCATTTCTAACGTATTCGTAGAATTTCTCCTTTGTTGGCATTCACAAATATGAGTTTAGACGGTCGAAGATAAAATGGTCTCAGATGCTAGAATTTCACTTTGCGCGAGTGCTTCGCGCACGGGCTAGACTAGTAAACAAGTGATGTCACGGACATGCGTAGTACGTTATTCAGCCCTGTCTCGCGCAACTGGTTTTGAAAAAAAGAAAGCAAGTAGAAAGAGTCAGAGCGAGAAGAAGGAGAGAAAATTATAGTAAAAAACGCCGGCAAGCAGAACGAGACAGAGCTAGAATGAACAGACAAAGGCAACGCGAAAGAGAAATACAAAGGCAAAGAGAACGGCAGCAAAATAATGACATGATGACAGAAAGTGTTGTGTTAATGTCACTATGGCCCCGCGCTATTAACATTTTGATTTCAAACTGATCTCGGACTCGAAAATTCAGCCAGTCATTTAAAAATACAAGCAGGGAAGACAGAGGCTTTTCACTTTTCTCACCATAGACACGCGTTGATCACGCTCTACGACCGTCCAATTTTTATGCTCTGATTGGTCAAAATTTGACAGGTGAGTTCATAGAAAATTTATACAGCATCTTGAACCTTGTTTACTTTGAGTTTGACAGCTGAAGCTGACAGAGTATTTTGTCAACTTGTGATGTTTTTTACTGTCTTTTTCCACTGGATGCTTAAAATGAAATACAGCTGCTATCAACAGTCTTCTTTGATTCATGGCTGGTTTGTTTATTGAATTTTTGGTCGGGAAATGCGCCGGTTGCCAAAGTTGGAAATCCGATTTCGGATGCATCGCTTTCGTTTTTACCGTGCTGGATGCGGGTTGAAAAGTCCCTCAAGCGATTCTGGCCTTACTTTATAGCTTTCAAGAGCTGCATCTCGAATGGTAAGCCTAAGTAATTATTGTATACAGTGTATGTTTGTTTTTTTATATCTAATTTCATGAAGTCGAGCGCAGTTTATCAGGCTAATTTATGCACGTTTGTGTTAAGATCTGAGACAATGATCTGATCTAGTATATATAAGCTTACAGAACTTTAAAAAGCCTTTAGTCGATATTTTCTCTCCGCATATAGAACGAAAAAACTTTCCGAAGAGTATTTAGTTATAATTTTGGCTGTAGAAAGAAAGCTTTGAGCGGTTTTCTTGCCTCGAGTTCATCTTTGAAAACAGTAAACACCAGGAAGCCGGCTAAAAGCTTTAAGCTTAAGCTTAAAGACTCAGTTTTTAGAGACGCTTTAATACTTGTCTTCGTGAATGAAAATTGTTGTCTCTGTAAATGTTTCACCGAATTACATTTCTTTTATTGATTGTTAGTAGTCTCTTACAATTTTAATCGCTTTGCAGTTTGTTTTCAGTCGTTCTTAAACAACGCTTGCAGGAGTACTCAAAATGCTGCTGGTATCAAACGCTTTTTAAGATTGCACATCGTTATAAAACCATTTAATAAAAAAATAAACACAATAAATTCTTTATTATGTTGAAGCGTAACTCGTTTAATGTTCACTGAAAATTTGGCGCTTGTCAAAAGTGAGAACCGGCTGGCCGTATAAATGATTTTGGAAATTTTTTGAACCGTTTTGCTAAAAGCCCTCGAGTGCTTCGTATGGTTCTGAATATTGAATGAGTGCAATTTGTCTTGAAAAATTGTGAAATACTGCATTTTGTCTGAGGTCTATATGATAAAAACAACGCCTCATATCACTGTTTCAGATGTGATGTATAAAAAGTATGAAATGTTGGTTTACACGCTCCCAGAGTTGTTGGCAAGTTTTTGTTAAGTAAACTTGTCGAAAGCAAAAAATTCGGCCTGATTTGTTTTCCAAAAATTCGTTTTCCAGGCCTAATCTACTGTGATCAAGAGCCATTATGGCTCTAAAATGTGATCGAAGATGATTGCTATTTTTTGGGTGTATATATACGGCTATCAATTCGATGTAAGATTTTTTTTTTCACTCTAAAATCACTTAGCCTTAGCTTTCCCTTAAAGTTAACTGATTTGTGGATTACAAGTTTATTGTTTGATTTAAATTATAAATTTATCAATGGGAGCTTCGCTTTTAGCCCTGGCTAAATCTATATATTACACGATATTGAAATTGTAGAAATTGTAGACAGAGCCACCTTCTCAGAATATGACCTGTCATCACTGAACTGTAGAAAAAATACTTGGTCTATGACTATACTACACTCGATAAGTCTGGCTCCAACCCTATTTAGCCATTTTTTGATTGAAAGAAATTTTGGCTAGATAAGCCGGGGAAGAAAAGGAAAGAAGTGAAAGAAAAACAAGGGCTTTTAAGGAAAAAACCCCGCCCTCAAAGAGAGGGGAAAAATAGCCAAGCCGATACAAATTAAGAAAGAAAAATCAAAATTGTCGTCGTGGCCACGGTCTATCACAGAGTCTATGAGTTTGAGTCTTTGTACAACGCATAGTGTGCACGGTATAGCCGTCAGGAAAAAAGGAGTTTCGAAAGTCCCATCCCGGGGGGTACTCCCTTATATAAGCCACATAGGTACGTGCCGACCCAAAGGGTATGGTTTTGGGCCCCTTTGCCCATTTTGTTCTGGAATCGGGTATGGTTTTAGAGCGAGCTAAGGTAGCATGATGAACGTATTTTTCGTTGATTCCAAATGAATAAGAAAGAAAAAGAAATATGGGAATTCGAAATGGATTTGAAGAATTTTTTTGTTTCGGCTCTAATCTAGGTGATGATGACATATTTTCTGCCTAAAGGCCAGGTCCCAGTTGTTCAAAAGGTTGATAGCGCTATCCACTGGATAAATCTCTATCCAGTGGATAAGTATTAGGAAAACCAATTGCACTATCCACTGGATAGAGATTTATCCCAGCGGATAGTGCTATCCACCTTTTGAACAACTGGGGCCAGGTCTGAAAACGATATGGGCTTTAGAGGTCTAGTCTGAAAACGGGTTGTGGAAAATGACATTTTTTGGCCTGAAATAAAGTCAGGATTTGGAGAACCGGGCGGCACACCCCTACCAAGAACTCCCGGTAGTACCCCCCCCAGTCCCATCTACAGTTGACTCCCGATAATTCGAAGCCTCGCTAACTCTAGCCTGTTCCAGGAGTTCAGATCGTGGGGATGCCGCAAAAATAAGTGAGCGGAAAAAAGCCTCTCTTCCCCCTTACTTTTTCCTCGCTCTCTTATTTCGCGCCGCACTCCACTAGCCGAACGCCTGGAACAGGTTTCGCTAACTCGAACCAAAGTAGATTTCCCCTGGTTTTCCTTCATACATTTGCTGTAATTTACCCTCGGTAACTCGAACCCTCGATAACTCGAAGCTCCCGCTAACTCAAAGTAATTTTTGTTTCCCTTCAGATCATTTCTTGACAACTCGAAAAAAAACAACAACAGTGTACTGCTGTCCGAAACATTGGATTTATTTCAAAACAGTATGACTGTGTCAATTCGTTGTCTTTCACATTTTTTCATTCCAGTTCAAGTACAGGGTCCATCCCTGTATATTAATTAAGCCTTGTTGCTTAATTCCTTTTTCAAAATATCATTCTGTATCTTTCGTTGCCCTTGAAGTGAAGTGTGCGTGATACTTGAATTTCCTCCCCATCATTTCCTTTAATATTTTCTTGTTTCCGGTTACTTTTTTCGAACTCCCGATAACTCGAACTCCCGGCCGAGTAACTCGAACTTTTTTCGATTTCCCTAGAAGGTTCGAGTTATCGGAAGTCGACTGTACATATGCCATTGCTGATGAACAATTTGCAGCTGCCACGGAAGCTATAACAATAAAATAGATCTATTGCTTTGTTGACCATCATGGCCTCCTTACAACTCTTTTATCAAGCCCTAGTTTGATCATCTAGGGTCTGGGCTCAGAACTAGCTATGAAGCTTCAAAAACTCCAAAACCTGCACTTTTCCGGTTATGTCTCTGGCTTCGGACCCCTACTGCAACAGCAAGGACAGGGAAGGCTTTCCATACGCCGAATAAAGCTCCTTGCAATAGAAGGTTTAGACTGCAAAACAGTTGTCGGTTTTTTTCTCAAAATCAGTAAAGAAATCGGTAAAGCGTGGCATAACAGTCTTGCGCGCGCGAAGCGAAGCGCGCGAGCCTTACACGCCCTACGAGAGAAAAAAATTTTTTAATCTCCTCAGTCTCGCACTCTGTTTTCAGCCTCGTTCCAGACCTTTTGTTTGATTGCTCGCTCGTACTTGAATACGCAAGAATACGCACTGTTTAGCGGTCTATAGAAGGTTCAAAGTCGGTACAACACTATGGCACCTGAATATACCTTGACCAAAAATTTTTGAAAATGAGGTCTAATACGATGCTAGGGGTTCTTCTTCTTGATTTCAGTTGCCTCTTCCCAAAACCAACTAAGGCAACAAAAAAACGTTTTGGTAAAAGGGGCGCATTTATTTGGAATCAATTACCCGCGCGTTTAAATCTAAATTGGACGGCTAATGCTTCCCAGCTTCTTTAGATGATTCTTTACTTTTATATTTATTTTCGGATCTTTTATCACAGATTTACACTTGTACAGTCACTCTGATAGACAAAATATCTTTTTTAAAATGTACTGCTTTTGCGTAAACCAGTGCCCGTAGCTGATAAAACTACCGAGGTAAAGTAAAATGTCTACCTATCTGGCAAGACTTGATTCTCAATTCCACTAACTTAATTAAGGAAAATTACCACGTATTAATATGTAGTATGTTTATAGTATTTTATCGTCCTAGTAATCTCTGAAAAATACCCGCAACCCTCTCTGTAGACGTCCGCAGCCCGTGCTGAGATCCGCTTTTCTGAATACAGTATTCATAACCGCGCATTGAGAGAAATTCATCCATATTTACGGTTAACATAAAGGTTCGCGCGCTTTCGGCTTTTCGCAACCTGCCAGTGCTCACTGTAGGGAACCGCTTCTCGTACTTTTATTGAAACGCTGTTGTAAGTCATCGCTGCAAGAAAGCCTTTCTTCATCGTTTATTAGTTTCAAAAGTGATAAGACATACCGGGAGGACATATGAATCCATAAAAAACTGAAGCCAGTTATCAGTTTACGGAAGTCTTTTTACAGTCTTCCCAAATTATTCCATGCGCTCTCATAATATCTTTGGTTTCAATGAATAACAAACCACTCTTCTGAGCCGACAACACAAGGCAGCCAGGACGTGATATCGAAGAGCTCCGTTTGAGGTAGAAAATTGCTTTTTACAATTATTTTCCACTGCACACATGTACATATCTATAACTCTTATTGGGCGATTATTTTAGCAAGCTGCGACATCACGCGCTAGATAAACAAAAGTTTCCCAGCCTTATCGCGGGCAAACTTTGGATAACTTTAAGTCACAGTTGGGCAGAGATTGTTACAAAAAAGACGACAAGACGACCCCACAAGCTTTGAGCTTTAAACCTTATCGTGTTTAAATAAAGGATATGTATGTATGACAATTTGGCAAGATGCGACTCAAAAACAAGGTTCGCCGATACATTGCGGGAGACAACGTGAGAATAACGGAAAGAGATTGGGCGATGAAATACCCACAAACTGCTGACTGTTGTTTACTAATACGACAGCCACATCTACTGCGGCATCTTGTTTAAAATGTCGTCTAAGAAATATAAGTTCTTGACAGAGTAACATTATGCCCCAAAATTTATAGTATGCAAAAAGAATCAGTCAAAACAGTGTCTTACAAATATGTTAATTGTTTGGTAAAATTGGACATGAAAGAGAAAATGAAAAAAAAAACACACACACATCAAATGATGCAATATCTCTATCGTCGGCTGAGATGTTCGAGATAAAAGAAAAGTATTCACTTTATTGGCGCCGATATCGGCTAAGTTGCTGACCTTCCGTGACAACTTGAAGGCCATATGTACAATCAGAAATGCAAATTAGTGTTTTTGTCAATAGCCCATGTGCGTGGCTTAAACGCTTTATAATTTACGGTTTTCGGATAAATCATACAATGAAGTAATGGATTTTTAATCAAGCGGCTTTTCAATGGGAACGGTCGTTGTTCTTGCTCTCAAACGATTTCAAAGCGTCAACAACAAAGGCTCAGTTCATAGAAAAGGAATCATATATGAAGTGACGGCCTCTGAACTCACTAATTTGCCACGTCTTTATTCGGTAGAAAGAAAAAAAAAGAGAAAAGAAACAGGCAATTCTTGATTGAAAGAAAGTGATGTCTCCGTCTGATTCCTTTATAAAGTCTGTAAACCAATACCACCAGATATATGTGGCAAACTGTCAGGTATACCTGCATATGAAAGACACGCCAATCCGCCGTTTTTTCACTTTGTCGACAAAGGCAATGCAAGAATAAGTGGGTGTATACTCATGAATATTAAACTATGCACGTGGTTGCTTGTTCATTTCGAAGAATTTTACTTTTGTTAATTACCGTTTTGTTAGTTTTTTTTCGGGTCGGCCACGTTGAATATTTCCGACCTGAAAGTGCTATTCCACCTTTCATTTTCATTTCTGGATTTTCTTGCCTTTCAGCGAAGTCATGAACAGCGTGGCAATGAAGATAATTATCATTGGTTTGTTTTGCTTGGATTTATGGCCATCGATGTTTATATCTGCATCAACCCCGTTGACCACTTTCGATTTGTGCGGTGTTAGCGAAATCACCGCAGAAAACGTTTCTCTTTCGCTGAATTTTACAACGGAGCGCGCGCAAAAAACTGGCGGAGAATGTGCTCTGGTGATTATTCTTAAATCGAAGCGAGTGAAGCTGACCGTAGAGGAACTAACCATTGTAAGCGGAGCGGTGTTCGAGATTCAAGAAGGCCCTGGGATTAATGACGGTGAAAAACTTGGGCCAAAGGATGCAAGCCAGTCGCCCTCGTTCTATGTTACTTCGGGGAATGCCATGTTTATTCGATTTAAAGACGTTAGTCAAGGTACAAATGGACCAAGCATTTTTCGCGGGAAAATTTCTTCCGTTCCCTTCCAAGACACGTGCCGTTGTCGAGAGGTGACAAATGGAAAGCTGGAGTGTTATGAAACTACACAAGAGAGGAAATGTGAATTGAAATGTAATCCCTCGTTTATGGAGCTAACAATAAAGAAGGAAGTCTTAACGTGTGATTTCAAGAATGGAACGTGGGATATAAATATACATAGCGGACCACTTGAATGTGAAAAGGTGCAAAAACCATTGCAAATCAAAGCCACAGTGAATTTTAATTATGCTAATCTAACGTGTCAACAAGTTGATCTCCAGAAAGTGGAAAGCGTTATTCGAGCGGTGTTAGGAAACAACAGTGATGTTCGAAGCAAAGGTGTGTGCTTCGACCAAAGTGCTGCCAACAACCCAGACTGCAAGCAGGCAGTTCAAGTCAACTGCACCATCAGCGGAAGTCAGGCGGAAATAACGATAACTATATTGGATTACATAGTGGAACCGCCAACTTTGGAAGAAGCTAATTCAAAACTCCAAGACCTTCATACAGCCTACATCAACCTAAAGCTCAAGGATGTTTTAGACATTGAAGCTCTGGTCATGAAGAAAGGAAATGAATCATTCACTATTTCTAAGGAGTCAATTGTCAACACCGCCACTCCTTGGTGTAACGGTGAAAATGATTATATTAAGATTCCCGGTAACGCAACTTATTCTGTGTGCTCCGCCTGCCCAAGGCACCATTTGTACAATGTTACAACCCGCACCTGTCAGAAATGTCCCTCCGGTAGTACTGCAGTAAAAGGTGCACGGTCGTGTACACAGAAAAACGGCACATTGCCAGCAACGCCCGTGGGAAAAACATGCGATAATAAATGTATGAAAGGCAAACGGCTAGATATGAAATATGGGATGTGTGAATGGTGTCCTCGAAACAAATACCAAAACTCTTCAACGAAGATCAATCCAGAATGTATACCCTGCCCCGGTGATAAACTGACCATTTTTCCTGGGGCACAAGAGGTGTCAGACTGTCTTGACCCCTGTCTATCTGGTACCTTTATGAACGCTTCAAGTGGCAGTTGCATGGATTGCCCTATTGGCACCTACATGGATACCGACAAACATGCATCTACTCGATGCATGAGGTGTGAAATGGGGAAAACCACCAGGAGTGTCGGCAGCAAAGCAGTCAGTGAATGTTACCACTGTTTACCTGGTGAGTTTTATAACTCAACTGCGACGATGTGCACTTCTTGTCCAATGGGAAAATACCAAGATGAAGTGAACAAAGACAGCTGCAAAGATTGCGCTAGTGGGACAACAACTCTTGAAATGAGTTCAAAGACTATATCAGACTGTGTCAAGGTCTGTGGCCTGGGGAAGTTTCTTAATGACTCAAACTGTTTTGATTGTCCGAAGAACACATTCCAGGATATGAAAGAGCACAATGCCACAGAGTGCAAGCCATGCGGACCAAATAAAATCACAAATGCAACAGGACAGTCTGATGTTTCTAGCTGTTTTGTCAGTTGTGAGGAAGGATGGTTCTTGGATAAAAGTGTTTCTCAGTGTAAAAAGTGTCCTGTAGGACAGTACCAAGATCAGTCAGGACAAGACCACTGCAAACAGTGTCCTGATGGTAAAAGTACTGCAAGTGAAGGACAGAAGAATATGTTCTCCTGCACTATTGTCTTTTGTGGGAAAGGACAGTATCTTAATGACTCAAACTGTTTTGATTGTCCGAAGAACACATACCAGGATATGAAAGAGCACAATGCCACAGAGTGCAAGCCATGTGGACCACATAAAATCACAAATGCAACAGGACAGTCTGATGTTTCTAGCTGTTTTGTCAGTTGTGAGGAAGGATGGTTCTTGGATAAAAGTGTTTCTCAGTGTAAAAAGTGTCCTGTAGGACAGTACCAAGATCAGTCAGGACAAGGCCACTGCAAACCGTGTCCTGATGGTAAAAGTACCGCAAGTGAAGGACAGAAGAATATGTCCTCCTGCACTGTTGTCTTTTGTGGGAAAGGACAGTATCTTAATGACTCAAACTGTTTTGACTGTCCAAAGAACACATACCAGGATGTGAAAGAGTACAATGCCACAGAGTGCAAGCCATGTGGACCAAATAAAATCACAAGTGCAACAGGCCAGTCTGATGTTTCCAGCTGTTTTGTCAGTTGTGAGGAGGGATGGTTCTTGGATAAAAGTGTTTCTCAATGTAAAAAGTGTCCCCAAGGACAGTACCAAGATCAGCTGGGGCAAGACCATTGTAAACAGTGTCCTGATGGTAAAAGTACCACACATGAAGGAGCTAAGGATTCCAGGGAATGTATCACAAGTGATGGAAAGGGAAGTGCTGAAGTCGTCAAGATGTCTGTCAAATTCACATCGCTCTCTTGGAGTGAAGAACTCACGGACACTGAAAGTGCTAAGTATTATGAGACAAAGACCAAGATTGAAGATGCCATCAAATTTGAGTTACACAAAGATCCGTCATTTGAAGGTGTCGCAGTAACTGCTCTAACAAAGGGTAGCGTTGTTGCCGAATTTGAACTGTACTTTAATGACAAAGTGGACTATGTACCTGGAAAAGCTCTCCAGGTTGCTGCTCGAAGTGGTAAAGTCGGAAACTTGTCAGTTAACTCAGATTCACTAAGTATTCTCCAACAGGACTGTTCCCAACCTCTTGGAATGGAAAGTGGTAAAATAAAGAATGAGCAAATCATGGCGTCAACATTCTTAAAGCATTATGAACCCTACGAAGGACGGCTGAATTTGAAAGGTGGGCGTGGCTGGTACGCTGCATACAATAGAATGACTGAATATCTACAGATTGATTTCAAGAGAGCGATCAATATTACAGCTGTTGCTACCCAAGGGAAATCAAATGTTAAAGGAATGTTAGATGTTTACGTTAAAGAATACAAACTTAGCCTAAGTGATAATGGAAAAAATTGGAAAGAGTATACCGAAAATGACACAACAAAGGTAAGCAACATTTAAGTACCCTTTCATTTTACATACACACCTACATACATATTCCTTGAATGTAGACCAGATTTCAGAAGGTACCATTCGTTTATTTCTACAGATCTGTTTTGCACATGGTCAAAAGATGACCACGCTCATCATGAAACTTAACGAATGATCCGTACATGTCAAAATTGGTGGTTATAAGCATTTAACTCCGTTGCTATGCAAAATATAAACAAATTGAATAGACTACGAGTAGTCCCCCATTTTTCCTCAGGGATAGTAGAGCGAGCAAAACACGAGTGCGCTTGAAAATCAACCCACGCGAGAAAAGGGGGACTACTCGTAGTCTTCAAATTGAACTATAAGGTATATAAATATTTGCGATAAGGGTTGAGGGATTGTGTTACTGTGTGACAGTTAACCTAACCTACATACAACGCACATATGTACTTTATCATAACAGCCCCTGACTAGGGTTCTTCTGCTGTCAATAATAAAAACTAGAAAACATAAATAATTAAAAATAATAAAAATAATAACTATTTTTTATGAAAGTAGCCACTGGGGTCATCTGCATAGGAGCTGGAGGAAATCCCAGGCCCATGGCCGTTAATGATAGCCCTGCACAAGCCAAACTGAAGTTGCTGTTTGACATTTTCTAGGTTTTCAATGGAAACTATGACGCCAATACTGTGGTACGAAATACTCTAGCACATACAGTCACTTCTCGGTTCATCAGATTTCTACCTCAGAGCTGGAATAAGCACATTTTTATGCGTGTGGAAGTCTACGGCTGTTTATTGAACGCACTTCTTCCAACTGAAACTTCCACAAGTGCTGCTAGTACACCAGATATTGCTGCAATAACATCAAAGCATGACAAGTGGCCATGGGGTGCATATCTTGGCATTGTTTTTGCCGTTCTGCTAGTAGTTGGAATCGTCATTGCTGTCATATGCTGGAAGAAAAAAAGCAAAGAAAAGAGGAATGCAGCAGAAGCAGATCATGCTCTGATGGGAATGGGCAAGCACGGTGATGGAGAGTACAGGATCATTGAGAAAAATGCTGCAGAGCCTGACGATGACAACGATGAAAATGTTGTTTGAGTAGAAATATCACGAGTGTGGACTTAGACTTTTTATGCATAGCTGCAGAAGAGGCAGACTTGCCAACCCCCAAAAGGCAAAAAATGTGAGATCCTGAACCTAGAGCTGGGAAAAGTAGTGAGAAATGGGTGAAAAGTCGTGAGATGTTCTAAATCTCCTAAAGGAAGGACTTCCCGTGGGGATTATGGGTATTGGAAGTCATATAACACTTTAAAGCTGCAGCAGTAAACATCATGTTGACTTTTACGATTTAGGTTTTGTAACTTCTATGTTGAAATTGTTGGCAGTCATCTTGAAAAAGAGAAACAGTAAGTCTGCACATTTGGTGACAGTGGCAAGTCATGGTAGGCTGAGAAAATGTAATCAAACGCAACCGCTAAAGGTTTTCTTTGGATTGAGCTGGCTATCTATCAGTATCAAACTTGGAAACAAACCCCGAGAACTCCAATTTTTTTTAGAGCCTCACTTTTCAAGAAAATGTGAGAAATCAGTTGCCAACTTGAGGGTATAAGATAGCTTAATTGTGAGACTCATGACAAAGTCGCAAGACTTGGCAAGTCTGGAAGAGGGCTTCCCTGCTAGCAGAGTCTTCTTTTTCTGTGATACACAAAGATGGAAAAGTAAACTCTGTTAGCTATGGATTTGAGAGAAGGTTCTACAAGAAAAAAGTTTAGTATCTGATAAATGTTTAAGGATTTAATGGATCAATATAGGTTTCTGGTAAACTGCCCACATACCCCTCCCCTAACCCAACATTTTGCCCTAAGTGAGAGGTAAGTGTTAACGTTGACTTAGGGAAGGGGTAGGTGGGAAGTTTCCCAGAAACCGTAATTCATCTGATTTAACATCCTTTTCTATATAATGGGAAGAAAAAGTTGCAATAAGGGTTGATCAACATACATAGAAGAATTTTGACCTACAATCTTGGACAAAACTGTTGAGAAAATTGTATACTTGGACAGCATTTTTCTAAACATTGTAGCTGTACCGTTTCTTCTTTCTCCCCCTTCCCCTGAAAGCAATGTTGTTGTGTATTTAAAAGAAAGCCTGATCCCTGGGAATTTGTAGGAAGCAACATTGAATTGGGGGAAGGGGTTTTCTTTCTGCAAAGGTGTCGTTTTGGAAATAGTTTTGTTGCATACTTTTAGGAAAGTGGGCATGATGGGGAAAACTTTCTCGAGTAGTTTTGTCTGGGATTGTAGATTGTAAATGACACAATCCAAGACAATGTTATCAGGATTGTATGAGTCATATTGAGTCATATGAGAGCACAATGATGCTTATATTTCACCACTTATTTACACTAACAGGCTGGGTTTTAGTAATGGGGGTATTAAGGCTGCGAATGTAGACGTATTACTGGTCGACTAGGTGGAGAGAAAGGACAGCATGAAATACGTCTTTGTTTGCAGGCTAGGGACTATTTTTCATCTTGTTTTTTTGGACTATGGTAACCAATGCCATAATTGCAGAAATTTTCATAATTTTCATTGAACCTTTTCCACAAATACAAAGAAAAACACAGTCAGAATATGCACTGTTATTTAAAGAAAAACTCATTTCTATGGTAAACTTTCACCTTTTAACAGTATCAAACAAATATTCACATGTCAGTTTCTAGTGTTACATAATTTAAACTAGATGTAAACTTTCTTAATAGTTTTAAGAAGTTAGTATAATTCCAGGAAACCTAAGTTAATAATAGTCTTTTGAGAAAACATATTTCTGGTGTTGTTAGGAATAGAAAGTAAGAGATAATGTGTTGCTTATGCATTAGAATAATACATTTGAAATTATACTAAAATAAAATTCCATTTTGATGCTTAGAACATACTGAATGCATTGTTTACAGGGAGCAAAAAATAAAAAATTATACAGAGATATGCTTTTTTCATCTCCCCAGCTCTGTTAAGTGTCAAGTGCAGGTCACATTAATTTCTTTATTATACATGCAGAATATCACTTGCAGTTTGGTATTTCTATCATGTAGAGTTGTCGCAAAGACTTCAAGTGAGTACTGGGTAAGTAGTACTCACTTTCAGTAAAATGCAATAGAGAATAGGGAGGAGAAGTCGTTACATCCCATTGCCCTGGCGGCGAAATTTCTGGATCTCAGCAGTTCATGGTCCTGCAACTATGGCACTCATGTTGATAAGTGTGCTCGCTTCCTCCTTGCTGATCTACTGAAATTGATTAATCAGAGAGAGAGCCAGTACTATTCTAAAGATGTTGAGTTGTTTGAATACTCTAATAGCGCTATGGTGATGGCAGTGAGAACTAAAATGCAAAAGGTTAAGACTAGCAAAACAACAACTTTGCATGTGCAGTGCACTTTTCTGTACATTTCTTTGATGTCACTGCACAACTATGACATAAATTGCCTAATTTCACATTTCATCAACCACATGTGCATAGGAGGAAATGCAGGGGAAACATCCAGGTCCTGGCCTAGCCCTTAGTCATAGCCTGATTAATAATCACTGATTATGGATACTGGCTTAGGGGTGCCTAACATTTACATGGTAAAACCGGTAATCAAATGAATGGTTTGCTGCATATACCATTAGGGAAGCTTTAGAAATGGATGGAGTAACTGCAGAATACCCTGTCACTTTGAAGCAGTATCCCTGAAAGAGCTGGATATGTGGATATGCACTTATCCTTTTTATGCACTTTTCTACCTTCAGTGGCTGGCTTTAATAACAACAAATAGACATGCTATAAGATTTATATGCTGTCTTAAACCTTTAAGTCCCAATGGTGACCAACAACAAATTCCTCCTAATGATACCCATGGAATGTCAAGAAATTAGTTTCGGAGAATTAATAAAATGATCACCAAAGAGAAAATACCTTGTTCTTTTATCAAATTCTCTCAACACATCCTAAAAAATGTATGGACATGAGTTTGAAGAATTTGCATATGGATGTTGGGGCATTAAGGATTAAGTTTATATTGAAGTGGATAGGAGAATACATAGTGAAAGGGTGAATGAGTGGATAGGGGTTGCTTTAAGGTTGGAGGGTATTCTCCTGGGGGGGTACTCCCATACATTACCTATATGGGTATGTGCCGCCCAACGGGGTCGTGATTTTAAAGCTCCTGGTTTAGAAAGGGGTATCCATTTCAGAGGCATTTTCTAGAACGGGGTATAATATTTCGAACGCATGAAAGCTCCAGTTTTGTAAGCAGCCATTTGAAATTATTCAAGGACAGATTTCTTTTAAAAAGACGGTTCAATGCGTTACTGAAGCAAACTGTTATACTCTTGTTGCACCCTAGAACGGAGTATAAGAAATTGGCCCATTTCTAGAACGGGGTATCAGTTTTAGGGCGAATCCTAGAACGGGGTATAGAAAATTGGCCCATTTCTGGAATAGTGTATCAATTTTGGGGGAATTTTTTTTTAGAACGGGGTGCCAATCTGGAGTCCCGGGCGGCACATACCCACCCAAAAAATACTCAAGTGCCCCCCCCCGGGGGTATTCTGCAGTTTACAAGGACTGTGATTTGAAGCGATGTAATTTTTCAGAATTTTTCCACTCTTTTCAGTCTGTTCAGCTGATACAATGTATGCCGCTGATATATTGGTTGGGTATAGTGTTGGTAGAAACTCAAGAAATACTGAGTACATACTAAGTCAGCTAATGATTCAAGTAAGAACTGACCTCTACTGAAACTACCCTTGAATTCCTTGAATGTCTTGAATCTTTTTCAGCTTGTGCCGCTTGATCTTAACATAAGCTGTAACAAAAGCTGTAACAGGAGCTATGCATTTCAAAAGGCTAAGCAAGTAGACGTCTTATTTCAGGGCAATAAACAGGATTAACAAAATCTCTAGCCAAAGGAAAAAATCCTCAATTATCGTAAAATTACTAAAAAAGCTGATGAATGAAGAACCAGACCGTGACCATTGATGCTTTGCGCGCGATTACGTGAAATGTCACATGTTCATTCAATGTTAGGCAATCCATTTCAAGATGGCGACAGGTACGTCGACGTGTTGCTCCTCACGTTGTTTCTCGTTTTCCAGTTTTTAAGTTTTATTTCTCTTACAGGAAAGAGCCAGTACACCTCTCGCATAAAGTCTCTTCCCCTGAAGACCGGAGAATGCCGTTATTTTGACGTATCCAGCCTAAACGAAGAACGATATGGTACGTTAATAAGACTCAACTTAAGCTTGCATGTAAAAGTCAGAACAGTCGAAGCAAAAATGTAAGCTAAAGGTACATTAAGAAAATCATAAGTGAAATATCCAGCTGGGGGAAACCTGAAACAGGAGTGAACTTCTCTTACGAGCAGGTTATCCAAGGTGTATATATTAAAAAGTTGATCGCGGGGAGGCCGGTGGCCGCCTTTCTCTTGTTGAGAAGGTCTTGGTACAAAATGATTTTATCTTTTTGGGGTTATTGATTTCTTATATCCAATAGTATTAATACAAGTCGTTCCCATTCACTCTCTTGTAATGCCAAAGGAATTAAACTCCGATCCCTTTATTATGAAGCTTACTGCGGGCCTAAATTTATGCGATCGAGCTTTGTACTATGACCCTCATCCATGGCGTACACGTAAGCTTTATAATGTAAACTGATTTGGCTTATTTATAAACATTCCATTCCCTTGGTCTGTACACCTATTTACTTATCTAAATATCGATTCGATTGATATATTTAATTTTTCACAAAAATGGGATTTTAAGTAAGTAAATGTTTCACTCACAGGCATCATGTTTTAAGATGCTTACTCATGTCACGTCACGTCCTGTGACAGTCATTTCTGATATTGGCTTTGTTTGAAAAAGTCAATGGATACCTCCTTATAACACATCCTAACAAACAAGATGAGTAGCCACTTCCACTGATCTACTTACCTTCTTAATTTTAAACCGTTAATAGTCCTTTCATCAGGTTACATTTCCTCCTTCAAGGTTCACATATCTTTACGCACATTGTTAGGGAGGTTAAAGTTTAAAAATTCATTTTGGGGCATCACACTTGAAATTCAAAGAACATATCATTTGTATCCACTTCCTCTCTAAATAATCAAGGATCTACTTACCCTCTTTTTAATTTGAAACCTTAGTTCCTAGCATCTGCTTACCTTTCCTCCTTTCATATAATCTTACACAGGCTGTAAGAAGGGAAGTGTAAGAATCTATTTTGTGGCTTCACGCTTTAAACACAAATAACGTATCTTTTTGACCGAGCAATGCCAGATTATAATGATATTCAAATTGTAGGGAAAGGAAGAGGCATGTTCAGAGATAATGTATTACAGAAACAAAGTGTTGAGAATTTCATTGAAACCAATTGAAAGCTTAACAAAACCTAAAAGGAGCTTAACTTATTTCACTCCATTTCCTTGTCATTTGCTACTTACAGGACTTATCCCTGTATAAATTGACCTTTTGCAACCTAGAAATCTGTCCCAAAAATCTCCTTTGAACAACTTAGGCACAGATTACAACAATAGAAAATATATTGTTTATGCTGATAGGAGATGTTGCCGGACCCAGAGTTCAGGTTCCTTTATTTCATTGACTAGTAAATGTGTGAATGTGTAAATAGTTATTTAAGACATTTTTATTGTTTCTATAGTAGTAGTAGTGTTAAGTTATAACCCTTTAATTCAGTTAATTCTGCAATGTGGCAAATAAACGGTATATTTATTTTTTTATTTATTTTTAAGTTTTGGAGGGCTAAGGGTTAAAGTTCTAAGCTTATAGAAAAACCTGTTGGAAATGCTTTGTGGTATTCGAGCTCTTTGAGTTAGCCCATTAAGCCCCAATATCCACATACAAATTCTCCAAACTGATCTCCATACATTTCCTTAAAGAATTGGTTGAGAGAATTTGATAAAAGACTAAAGATTTTTCTCTTGGTGATTATTTTATTAATTCTCATAGACTTTGCTCTTGACAATCTATGGATATTGTTAGGAGAAAATTGATTTTGGACACTATTGGGGTGTAAAGGGTTAAAGGGAAGAATCTTTCAAGAATTTATTTGCAAATGTCACTTTGTTCATTTGCCTCTGGCTGCTAAGTTTTATATCTAGTGGCTGTCAAGTTGGTCCTGATTGGTTGATATGTTTTTTAAATTTTCTTGAGATTCGTTGGTCCTTCTTTCATCTAGTACAGTCTCACAAAAATGAAGTTCCATCTCGTCCATGTAAAGGACATAAAAACTTCATCCTTGCATTTTGAATAGTCCCTGAACTTTATACTGTAGTGTAAATATGTTGACAGTGTATTGAACAAAGGTATTTTGTACTTCACTTCTTTAGGTCGTCTGCCATTCTCAATCAGGGTGCTACTGGAATCTGCTGTTCGTAACTGTGATGGTTTTCAAGTGAAGTCAAAAGATGTTGAAAATATTTTGGACTGGGAGAACAACCAGAAGCAAAATGTTGAAATTCCTTTTATGCCTGCCAGAGTTATCCTGCAGGATTTTACGTAAGTCAGGGCTCAAAATAGCTGCTGGTCAATGTGCAAAGAAGATGACCATTTGTCCGGACAAACTAATTCTGTTGGCCCATCCTTTTGACTGGTCAACTGAGTGCATGTTTTTCAAATAAATAACTGGAAAATTAAATTTATTCACATTACTTCTGTAAATAACCCAAAAAAGTAAAATTATCTGCTTGCAGTTATCAATAAATTCAGAGAATAGAGATAAGATGATCCCACTTACTGGCTTTTGCAAGCCAGTAAGCTGTTTGCTAGTTTTCATCATTTTGACGAGTTCAAAAGCGAGCCCTCAAGAACGAGCTAAAGTTTGCTTGGCCGGTTATTTTTTGACTAGTCGGAAATGGTCCAACATGAAAAGAAGCCTTAGAATGTTGAGCTGCTATTCGGCATAATTGAAGTGTACAGTAATCATGGCTGGCTTTAACTGCACACGTTATAATTCTTAAAAAAATTCCAAGAATTAAAGAAGTTATAACATTGTGCAGGAATATTCCTAGTTAAGAACTGGGCTCCATCTTGTTACGTCATCGGATAAAAAAATGTCCAGATTTAACGTCTACATGATTTCAGATCCATGGCGTATTCATAAATTTCAACTCTGGAGAACGGATTAAAAAAGTTTCAGATTCGTATGCTGGATTCACCAGATACGTGTGGACGGAATCCGAATTCCCAATAAAAAAGTTGCGGATTAATCCAGATCCGGGTATATGTGGACGGGGCCTTAAAGGGAACCTCCACTTCAACAAAAAGATAACTTTAAATCACAGGAAATAACTGTTACAGTCAAGTCAATCTAAAATATTTTTAAAGAAAGCGTTTGTATCCGAAAGAAATAACTTTTAGATTCGCCTATTTTTGTTTTCAAATTTTGCGGGCGTCGCCATCTTGAATAATTGTGACGTGTAATGGTTGCCCTATTGTTATTAAACAAAAGCTCTTTGTGTCAGAACAATAGAGCAACCGTAACACGTCACAATTATTATTCAAGATGGTGGCGCCCGCGAAATTTGAAAGTGAAAATAAGCGATTTTAAAATTCACTTTTCCTGATATAAACACTTTTTTTAAGACAAATTTCGAACAAATTTGTTTATCAACATAATTTTATTTGATTTAAACTTATTCTGTAGTAAGAGTGGAGGTTCCCTTTAAAAACCAAGTTCTTACTCCCGGGTTTTTACTGTATTATGTGTTTGTTTTTCTTCAGGGGTGTTCCTGCTGTGGTTGACTTTGCTGCTATGCGAGATGCTGTTAAAAGACTTGGAGGGGATCCAGGCAAAATCAATCCACTCTGTCCTGCTGATCTTGTGATTGACCATTCAGTTCAAGTTGATGTATCAAGAAGGTAGTTGGACTATACAGCTACTTAAAATAATGAATTATTTAAAGTGGAAGCTCTCGTAAGCTGACACCTTCGGGACGCGAAAAAGGTGTTCATAACTGGGACTGGCTGCTATGGGAATGTAAAAAAATACAGAGTTTGTAATGGAGTTGAGAAAAATGGCATTTTGTGAAGGTGGCCATAAGTAGAGCTTTCTGCTTACGAGAGTGTCCATTGGGAGAGCTTGCACTGTTTTAGTACACTATGAAGTTATGTCCTAACACGAGTAGCCAGGGTTGTCAGAAAGTTTTGAAGTAGATGGCTGAGTTGTCAAAGTAAGCGGCCAGTCCAGGGATATTTTATTTAAAAATGCCACCCGTAAAGAAATGCCAAGCAGAGTAGCTGGCCGATACTAACCAAGTAGGCGGCCATTTTCACTGGCAGCCGGCTACTTCTCACAACCCTACAGTAGTTGTCTAAATGTACTAAGATGGACTTGATGAGCTGGGATCATAAGTGGCCTGTATATGTCCAGTATTGGGTCCCTTTCCCTCTGGCTCAAATGCCTTAGGTTTGTTCTTTTGTGTGAGAGAGATTGAAGCCAAAACATCAGGTCTTATGTCTTCTGGAAGAAAAGAATGAAACAAAAGATCATTGTTTATGCAAACAATAAAAATATTAACAAACTTAGTGCCAAAAAAAATGTTTTGTTTGTTGGCCTTGTATTTCTGCAAGACAAAGCAAATAGCAGAGGAAAAGATCATATCCTAAAAATGGAGGTGAACTTGTAGCAAAAAGAAGGTCTCCCAAAATAATATTTATTGTATCTGCCCTTTATGCCCCTAGTCTTCTTGTAATGTTTTCATTTTGTAATGTTAGAAGTTTATAAAACAGTTCTGAAAAGCTCTCAAGCAGTACTATAATAATATCATGGATGGTAAAATTTGTTATTTTGACTCTGGCTCACTAGTATGTGTAAGTTTGGACTACTGAGAAAATATTATAATTTTGTCACCAGTAAGCTGCACATTTTTTATGTATAAAGATTTAGTGTTTCAAGGGTTTTAACTGTTTCAGTTATAAATGTTATGTGTGGAATGATTATTATTGTATTTCTCTTTGTTCTTACACCCTGTACTTCCACTTAAATTCACAAGCTAATGTCTAATATTATTAACTTGAAATGCTTACCGTATTTACTTGAATAATGTACCACTTCTGAGTAAGCGCCTCCCTGGAATAAGCACCAATTTTTGGGACAAGAAAGTTGATTAGCGTTGTCCCTGAATAAGCACCAGAACCTTGATATAATCAGAATCAAAAGATGTTAATTCTGTTTGTTTAATATGGAAAATGATAATACTGTAGTTACAGCAATTCTTTATTGCGTCCAACTTTCAAATAAATGCCGCCCTCAAATAACCTTTGCCACCTTTGAATAAGTGCTGCATTTTTGAAAAATTTAATAAGTGCCATGGTCCTTATTTGAGTAAATACGGTATTACTACAGAAGACAGGAAAGAATATGTGGTCTTGTTCTTTCAGTCAGACTCAGTTGTTTGACCCGGGCGGCAACTGGCCCAAGAAGGACGATCCATGTCCATTTCATTTGCTACCCATTGACTGGTGCGATTTCACTTTTTCTTCTCTTAATAATGTTCAAACATTCATTTCTTGAGAGTTTAGTATACAGAGTGGTGCATGTATACTTTAATTGCACCTCTGGTAATCATTAATTTAATATTGTGCCTAGCTTATATATCATAGAGATTTTCTTGTAAGCCCAAAACATTATTAATAACTTCGTGAAGTTGCCACTAAGCTGATATCTCTTAAACCTGTAAATGAGTAATAGGTTTCTCCTCATGAACAGTTTGAACTGATACTACCCATTGCTTTTGTCTCTTGAAAGATACGTGTAACTTTGTTCATTTTATTTATCAATCACACATATCATAAACTGTACTTTTACTTTCTCTTATTAATATCACTTCTGCTACTGGTGTTTGGACCAGGCTAATTTAAGTTCTGTTTCAATTCAAGATGACATGAGTTTTCTTATGTTCAAGCAGCTTTCCTCAAGTTTTCATTGATGTGCACATAAATAAATAGTAACAGTGATTGTTTTTTTTCACCAGCTCCACAGCACTTCAGAAAAACCAGGAAATGGAATTCACTAGAAACAAGGAGAGGTTTCTTTTTCTGAAGGTAAGTGTTTTCTTTACCTTTTTCTGTCAAGCAGTTTGCTGAGGCAGTATTATTACTGGTATGGATGTTATGCAAATTTGTTCTCTGTTTTAAATTCTCGAATTGGTTGGGCCAAATTAATTGCTTTATGTGTTGAGTCATTGATTGAGTTTTACTGGTAGTGAATATTTTTTATTCATTTGTAGTAGTAAACATTCAAAATCACAATGTGGGAAAATGCGCACACAATTCTGTCACTTTAAATACTATGTAAACATTCAATTAAAATGTCACAAATTTGCATAATTTCGAAGCAACTGGTGGTTTTAAAATTTCATCTTATGGATTTCATTACAACATTTGCATGCTTTTAATCTTGGCCAGAAATTACAATTGTCCCAGAACTGTATCTGAAAAAGTTTACTGCCGAACCAACCTCACTTGCTAAAAACACCTATAGCACATTACTAACAGTCACAAAAAGTGCATATGCTGATTAGAAGTTGTTACACAATGTGGCTGCCTCGAAGAACGATTTTGTTTTGCCAGCACATGGCTTTTGTTCAGACTATTCATTGCCAACAAGCTCATGTCCTCTCAGTGAACTATTTTTTGCAGAAGTTATTGAAAGTCCTCTTACTAATTCAGTGAATTCATTTTTTCTTAGTGGGGCTCAAAAGCATTCAAGAACATGACGATAATTCCACCTGGGTCAGGGATAGTTCACCAGGTGAACCTTGAGTACCTTGGTCGCGTGGTGTTTAACATGGATGGTGTCTTGTACCCAGATAGTGTTGTAGGCACAGACTCTCACACAACAATGATTAATGGGCTTGGAATTGTTGGGTGGGGTAAGTTTTGCTTTGATTTTTATTGTTTACTTCTATCAGAAAGGGTGTTTTCTATTTACATGTATTATTTCAAATCTTATTGAAAAAGAAAATGAAGTGAAAAAGAAGTGCAGAAACTGACCAATTAACAAATGACTAAGGAGCAATCAGTGGAATCCATATACTACAGTGAAAGCTCTATGTGTGGTAGTTTCTCTTAAGAAACCATCTCTCAACTAAAGTATCCAAAATTACCAAAATTAGTTTTCCTAGTCAAAATACTATATTTCTTTAAACATTCCATGTACAAATTTTCCAAACTGATCTACATACATTTCCTGGATGAATAGGTTGAGAGAATTTGTTAATTGATCAAATCCTTTTCTCTTTAGTGATCATTTTATTTATCCTTATAACCTATTCTCTTGATCACCTACATGTAGTGACGTTATAAGAAAATCGGTTTTGTTCCATACATGTAGTTGGGAACCTCTCACAAGTGGCCACCGAATCTTGGCAATTTGGAGTGTCGCTCATGGTGGTTTGGATGTATTTAATGTTGCAGGTGTTGGAGGAATAGAAGCTGAAGCTGTCATGTTAGGTCAGGCAATAAGTATGGTATTGCCAAAGGTAGTGGGATATAAGCTGACAGGCCAAGTGAAACCATTCATAACATCCACTGATGTTGTACTTACCATTACAAAGGTAAGTGGTACAATGTACACTGTACTGAAGCAAGGGTGGTTGCAGGGTGCAAAGAAAGTCATTTTTACAGTTTGCCACTCGGGCAAGCTGAAGCTAGCATTTACTAGCCCAAACGTCGTTTCAACGAGCCCTCAAAATTTTTTGATTAGCAGAATTGATTTCACAGTTCTTCTGTAAGTTGAATTCCTCAATGTTTTTCCTACCGGTAACTGAAATTTATCATTTTTTTACTTGTAGCATCTTCGCCAGATTGGTGTGGTTGGTAAATTTGTGGAGTTTTTTGGTCCAGGTGTAACTCATTTGTCCATTGCTGATAGAGCCACTATTGCTAACATGTGTCCTGAGTATGGGGCAACTGTTGGCTTTTTTCCTGTGGATGAAAAGACTCTTTTGTATCTCAGACAAACAGGTCAGTATGCTTCTAAAGAAACAAGGTAGTTTCTTGGTGTTGCAGATGTGTGCAATCACGAAATGACGTATTGCAACTTATATCACCTCGGTACATAGCACTACAGTATGACTTTTGAGCACTAGGTGAAAAACATAAACTTGAGCCTGCGATCAATTTAAAGCTAATAACTGGTCAGCGGAATACCTCATAAAAACATGTGACCTTGATGAGCTAACACTTGAGCCTGCAAATATGGTCACATGATTCTGGTCAGTGGATGCCCTGTTTTGACAACTGGCAATCGCCCATACGATGGATGTCATTTATCAAGTTAATTGAACTCAGGTTGCAGTTACCCATACTAGCTAGAAAAATGTGAAAATGTGAAATTTCACATTGGTTGCCCTGTGCTGCAGACGGATGGGTGGGCAGGTGGACGGGTGGGTGAACAGACCTACGTTCACTCGACTACCAAAATTTCTCGGACGGATATATAACCAAATTTTCTTGCCCTTTGAAATCTAATCTTCTTTCTGCTTTTCTATCAGGTCGTTCTGAAGAAACACTTGAACGCGTTGAGGCATACATGAAAGCTACCAAAATGTTCCGTGACTTCTCTGACCCAAACAATGACCCAGTGTTTTCCGAGGTAAGACAGAAATTATGGGGCTTTTGTCCTGCTTTGGCTTCCAAAAGTTTTTAAGTATGTGTAATTATTTGTCTCATGCTACATGCAATTGGACACAACATTGTTGGCCATCAACTCCCAACATTGTTGGATAATACATGTTGTGTCTGTTTGCACATCCTGTTGCATGTTGTTGCATGTTGTTTGAAACCAGTCAAACTTTTAGCTTCATGCAATCGGACGCAACAATTCTCAATAATGTTGCATCTGTCTGCACAGGGCTTAACTCCTTAAGCCTTTAAGCCCCAATAGTCACATAAATTCTCCAGAATGATCTCCATTCATTCCCTTGAAGAATTTGTCAAGAGAAATTGATCTAAGGTCAAAGTATCCTCCCTTTGATGATCATTTCATTAATTCTCAGAACTGTTTCTCTGGCTAATTTGTGTATTATTAGGAGAAAATTGCTGTTGGACTCTCTTGGAGCCAGACTGCTCTTCATGCATTTTTCATGCAATGTGTTAGAACAATTTTTTTGAAAATCAAGGCATTTTGTTTAATATCACGATCTTTTGTAGGCATTTTGTTTAATATCACGATCTTTTGTGATGCTTTGTAGAACGAAATCACTCACAACCATGTTGGTACAAATAGTTGTACTCAGTAAAACAACACTATTACCTGATGAAGACCTGCAATGTGCAGTTGAAACGTCGCGATCAATATCTAAGTGACAATCGTGAGACAAACGATAAACAAAACCCTCTATATTCATTAACCACAATGAACATCTTCTTTCATGACATCATGATGTTTCTTTAGATTGTAGAGCTGGATCTGTCTACAGTAACTCCATCATTATCAGGGCCCAAAAGACCTCATGACAGGGTGGCAGTATCAGATATGAAGCAGGATTTCATGGACTGTTTAAACAATAAAGTTGGATTTAAGGGTTTTGGCATTCCAGCTGATAAACAGTCATTAGAAGTTCCTTTCACCTTCGAAGGACAGGAGTACAAGTTATCTCATGGTGAGAACTTTATGTGATGCAGTGATCAACCCCTTGACCTCCCAGAATTTCTAAATTTTTAAATGCAGCAAAGGCCGTAGTATAATTGGCCATAAAAAGGGGCAATGCAACAGCGTGGTTAAAAATCCCAACTGGTATGAGGCGTGCCAGTTGGTGATTTTACAAATGTGGCCAAGGATTTGAACTTGGGACTACCAAGAACAACTTGCGGTCAGGGTGGGACGTAAACTTGGGTCCTCCGAATTACAAGTCCAGCGCTCTATCCACTCGGCCACGCTGCCTCCTCACTTTGACTTTGATTGTGGTTTACACAGAAGTTTTTCAGACATCAGTCACTATCACCAGTAGTCCTATAAATAGTCAGGACCACTTACCAAGGAAATCATATTCTACTACCTGTAACATGCATGCATTTTTTTTATTTTTCCCCAAATCAAGGTTCTGTGGTGATAGCTGCAATTACAAGTTGTACCAATACTAGTAACCCATCAGTAATGCTCGGAGCAGGACTGTTGGCAAAGAAAGCTGTAGAATTGGGACTGTCAGTTAAACCTTATGTCAAGACAAGTTTATCACCAGGTTCCGGAGTGGTCACATATTATCTGCAAGAAAGTGGAGTTGTACCGAGTCTGGAACAGTTAGGGTAAGATTAGAATTGAAACTGCTAGAGTTCATAATAAAAACTATTCTAAGTTTAAACACTAGTTTATCTATGATCAATCCCCGCTTTACAGACACGTGCTTAATAGGCTGTTGTAGCAACCGAACAGGAACATCATTTGATGAGCGTGCAGAAAGGACTAAACTCGACTTCCGGTGCCCAATTTGCCACTCTGCCATTGGTCAAGCCAGTTGTTTCATTTGTGCGTGCCATCGTCAATTGATGTTCCCGTTCTGTTGCACGCCTCATTATTATGGACAGCTTGCTTTGTTCCTGGGGAAATAAACCCCTTACATTTTTCTCTAAATTCAACCCACTTATTTTGGATGCCTTGTTATTATGGACACTTTCTATGATCCCATCAGTGTCCGTATTTATGAGGTTTGACTGTATTTTTGAAATCTTTGATGTTTCATGTGATTAAGATTGTGTTTTGTCTTCATTGCAGGTTCAATGTTGTAGGTTATGGCTGTATGACATGTATTGGTAACTCTGGTCCTTTGTCTGATGAAGTATCAGAAGCTATAGAAAAGGTTTGAGAAGTTGCTCAATGTTTAACTTTGTGATGTGTGCTGTAATTGGTTTGAGTTTGATTACTGTAGGTCATCTATTCAAGCTTATTTCTTGAGGTGTGACAGACTATGAATTTAATTTTACTATATAAGAAAATCATGGCGTTTGTCCAAGTACCTTCTCTTTCTATGCTAACAAAACTTTCTTTCACTATATTAAAGATTACTCCCTCCCTCTTTTATCTGCTAAAGAAACACCTGCATTTTTATTTTATTCTATTTAATTACCTTCGCCTATTTTATGATATAGAAAAAAATTTGAAAAGGATAACAAATGTATAAAGAAGTAAAGAATAGTTAATAAATCATCAGACAGGGATGCCACAACAGCAGTAAGCCAATAAATTATTACAGTTGTTACAGTGGCTAAAAAGTATGCAAGATGAAGTACAGCTACATATAACATAGTACTTATTAACTGAGAGTGAAATGGGGACTACTCATAGTGTAGAGAGTGAGGTCATTAAAGAGAAATCTCGGACTGAGGCCTTGACTTAATGTATTGACTGAGTGATAGCAAGGTCAGTTCATCAAGGCCAAGGTCTGAGATTTCCTTGTAGTGATTGAATGGATGAGTTTATTAAGTTATTTATTATATGGCCTTTTCGTTATGGACCCAAGACTGTGGTCAATTAAAACCAACAACTGGTCAGCTGATAACTTTAAAAAACATGTCACCTCAATGAGTTGTACGTTTGAGCCCATGATACAGTCAGGTGGCATTGGTCAGCAGATACCTTTTTGACAGCTGTCAATTGACCATAACATGGATGTCCATTAGGATGTCCACTATTCAGTTAAACACAGATTGCATATGCATGAGACACCCAGCGAGTAATGCACGATCATCACAAGACAACAGTCAATCAGAGTGCGTGCACTATTGTAGCCATATAATAAGATGCAATAGTGAACATGGACAGACACGAGGGCTTAGAAGAAGATTTGAAAAGCCTGTAGAGCTCAAAAGAGAATTTGAAAATTAAAATGTGGATAACTTTCATGTAATATTAAGTTTGTTTTCTTTGTTGCGTCATTTTCTCTAGGGTGATCTTGTGGCTGTGGGTGTGTTGTCAGGAAACAGAAATTTTGAGGGACGTATCCACCCTCTGACAAGAGCAAATTATCTTGCCTCCCCTCCCCTAGTGATTGCTTATGCCATTGCAGGCACTACTCTTATAGACTTTGAGAAAGAGCCAATAGGTGAGTTACACCAGTTATTACCTTCTTTGGACAGTCCGTGGTTATTTTGAGGTCTGCAAAAGTCAGTAAAGGTTTGTTCAGCTGAAGGAGTGTGATTTCTTGTCATTTGTAGGTATATCTAAGGACGGAAAAGAGGTTTTCCTCAGAGAGATCTGGCCAACGAGAGAAGAACTACAGGTTTGCGTTCATACTCACTCACATTCCCTTTAATCCTGTCCGCCCCAATATCCACATACAAATTCTCAAGACTGATCTTCATGCATTTCCTTAAAGGATTAGTTGAGAGAATAAGTTTGGAGATCAAAGCTTTTTTAGGGGTTCACTTCATTAGTTCTCGTAACCTTTTTTCTAGATTATGTTATATTGATATTGTTATTGCAAAAGCCGATGTTGGTCGCTATTGGCACTTGAAGGATTAATGGATATCAAGGTTGGCGCAGTGGTGAGTGCACTCGCCTCCCTCCAATGTGGCCCGGGTTAAAATCCCGGCGTCGAACAATTTCTTTCCTGTCTTTACAAGTCGCTTATAAACTGTGCCACGTTTCATGAGTGTTTTTTGCCATTTTAAGTTTAAACCCTTGTGATGCTTTTCTTTAGGAGGTTGAGAGGCAATTTGTCATTCCTGCGATGTTCAAAGAAGTCTATGCCAAAGTTACGGTACGTATGAATTCTCTTTGATGGCAAAAAGATCCCTAACCTCAGATAACATAGCAAGTTAATAAACAGACAAATAAATAGATAAATAAATATCGTGGTTCAATCAATCAACTAATCATTTAGGAGCTTTCAATCAGTATTGTTATGTTGTTTCTCAGTTCTGTCTACCCAGAAGTAAATAGATCGGTTCATTGTCAATAACTCTGTCGATTGTACATTCATTGCCCGAAAAGTAACACATACTTTTTTTGGCACTCATATAGATAGAGTAAGCTTTTTTTTTGTTAAAAAATCCCAGCTCAGCGAATTATTTTTAAGTGCTTCCACTTAGTTAGCCCTTTCCAGGTGTTTTGATATTTGATTCTGCTCTCTATTTCTTGCGGTTTACGGTCATCTCCCCACCAACGAAATTGCCACCACATAAGAACTGTGCAATAATTGACACTGTTTACTTACCTGGGATTGTTACTTCTTCCTCAAGCCCAAATATAAGTTTAGCTTCGTTAATTGACACCTTGCGTCGAACCTCTCATCTTTAGTTTTATTTTTTGTGAATAATTGCGACTTTTTAATACCTTGATCAGTGTTAATACTGCTTACTTGCATCGTTCGAGAGGTGCGATTTGTTGAAAATCTAACAGCCCTTCTTAAGATAGTTGGTTGATATCATTGTAAAATTAAAGTGAAAGAATTCTTTTCAGAGACTTTTCCTTTCGATAAGTATCAAGATATATATTTTTGGTGGTGAGATGCATAGGTTGGTGGCGAGGTGACCGGATACCTTTCTTGTCTCTGCCCAACACGATGTCAACTGGATATTAACCTGTTTTCTGGTTGCTTTTAGACTGGAAATCCTCGCTGGAATTCTCTCGAGGCACCTGACAGTATGTTGTATCCATGGGACGAGAACTCAACTTACATAAAACACCCACCTTTCTTTCAATCAATGGTAAGGATGAATGGACGAATAACGTAATCATTGTTACCTTTGCTTGGTTGCACTATCAATAAAGTTGTAACGATTCTGGGGCATCAAAGAGTAAAATTTGAACTAATAAGAATGATGGTGGTGATGGTCTTGTTATATTTCTTGAGGGAGCAGTGTGGCATACTACCTCCTTGTCTTTAAACGTCAACAGCCAAAACTTGAGACCATGGGCGCTTCCCATTTGTCAAAACTGACCGGCCAGACCATTCTCATCGTAATGAGAATTTCACTTTTTATAAAAAATATCCCGCCAAATCAGTCAAATCCGAAATAGCATGCTTGAATGAGGTGGTTTTTCTACCAAAACTCTTAGAAAAAGCGTATTTCATTTCAACATAAATGACCATTGACAAGTGAACTTCTTTACAAAAGTTAAATGGAAACTAAGAAGCCAAGAATTAAACTTTTCAACTTGCCCTTGATGAAAGCTTGGGCTTGTTTGGGTTTTACCATTTTGTTATAATAAGTTGGACGCAGGTTAAACTCTTTGTTTTCATGTACTACCACCATAGTTAGTTGTTTGGTATCTCTGTAAAGCTTCAGGGAACAGCTAGGAAGAGCTTATCCAGAGACTCTTACAAAACGGTTCTTTACCGAGCAGGTATAGTAAACATTGCAAGCTGTATATAGCGGCAAGAAAACGGGAAGGAAACTCATCTGGAAAATAATATGGTTGATCTTGTTGGAAGGTCACTATAAGTGATATGTATCTCGGCACTTGTTAACAAGAATTGTTTGCTTACAGGTCAAGGATTTGCCCAGCCGGGAGAGCATCAAAGATGCTGCTGTATTGTTAAATTTAGGAGATTCCGTTACAACTGATCATATATCTCCTGCTGGCAGTATTTCTCGCACAAGCCCTGCTGCTCGTTATCTGGCTGGTAGAGGGTAGGAATGTGTTCCTTTATGTTATATATAATAACCGCGTGTTTCAGTGTCAATTTTATAGAATTGTTTTGGATCGAAAACCGAAAAGAATTTGAATTTAAAACAAATGCTCTGATTTAAGTTGTTACGTCTTGAAATCTCGTGCCACTTTCTCAACCAATCACGTATTGCGTAATCTAATTGCAGCATTTTCGCATGCGTTTCCCGCGCCCTCCGCCAGTCAACATTTGCTTGCTCTGATTTCTGATTGGGTTATTTTATTTTCTGTATTTGCTCTGATTGGGCAGATTAATCACTAATGGCGAGACTCCGCTAAGATACGACAGCGGCAACGCTAGTGAAAACGACGCTAAAAAGCTGACTTCACATGCTTTCAAACTTTTTCACGATCATCACATATCCACATTTCATTCAGTCATTTGAAAGTTGGGAAATCAAACAGGTCCAGGGGTGAGGGGACCACGTCTGAACTCAGACGGATGGAGTCAAATTTATGGCATTGACGTTCGCGTTCTAAATTTGGTCATTTTGTGTCGTTGTTGGGCTGGGACGTCAAAGATATATACAGAGAAAAGCGTAATGCACGTGCAGAGTTGTTGTTTTGCCCGCTCTATCCTACATTTTTGGCGTTCCCGTTTTCCCATCAAATTCTCTTAACATGGATTAATAAAGCATATAATAGTCAGATGTGTATTTTAACTATCTTACATTTTATCGCAGGCTCGCACCTCGTGAGTTTAATTCTTATGGATCTCGCCGTGGAAATGATGCTGTTATGGCCCGTGGAACGTTCGCTAATATAAGACTGGTGAACAAATTCATAGGAAAAGCTGCTCCTAAAACCCTGCACTTTCCCTCAGGAGATACGGTACGATGAAAGCATACCTTGATTCTTTCAATCTCTTTCCCAAAGTTTGTCTTTTCTTTCCTTTGTGACCAGCCTGCTGAAATTCTCTCGCTGCTCTTCAACCAGTCATACGTTTCCTCGTTATGACGCCGCCTTACATATGTCTATGTGGTCCGACTTGGTTTGCTTGCTTACCTACACTTATCATGTACGTGCTTTGTTGTCGTTGTTTTGAGCGTTCTGATTTGGTTTACCCGACTTATTTATGACTGATTTTCTTCTACAGATGGACGTCTTTGATGCCGCTGAACGCTACGGGCAAGAGGGACGCCAACTCATTATCTTGGCCGGCAAGGATTATGGGTCAGGATCGTCACGTGACTGGGCTGCTAAGGGGCCCTGGATGCAGGTAAATAAAATAGTCGGCAAATAATACACACTCATGGGATACTTAAAACCCCTCACTAGTCCTGGTGAGAAACTCTCGTTCATGGCCATTCAAACTTAAATCTTAAAGGGCGAATTATTCAGGAGTGTTTTACAACTCTCCTCGCAAAGGCAATTGTTCATGGTGTGGTTTCCTCCATCATTTTTTTCGATATCTCTGGTTGTACAAAATATTTAACAGTTAGACTACTAGTTTGATTTTTATGTAGTTAATAGTCATTTCGCCGCTTCGCGCCTCGTTGACTATTTGACTCCCAGAAAATGAACGAGTAATGTAATTGTTTTAGTAAAAAGCAGCATGCTTCCTTCAATCCTACCAAGTTTGGATGACATACGCAAAAACAGGCCTTTGTTTGCACAGCTTGAATTCACGAAAAAACTCGTTTAATTGTCACGACTATATTTGTACTTCTTAGCGTGAAAAAAAAAAAAAAGATGATGCCGCTTCAGTTTTTGTATCGTTTTGTTATGTTTTCTTTTTTTCTGGCGTAGTATCCTAATTACTCTATCTACTCCTCAGAAACTTCGCAGAGACGATTTGTTGATTGAGTTGCCATTGTTTTGTCCAAATCACCGCTTCGCAACTCACCCTGTCACACAGTACTGACAGAGTGAATACGTTAGCCAATCAGATTGAGGAATTCTTGATATTTTGTAATTTGGTTTCTTCTTAATTCGTACTCTAGCATGCCTCTCAACTCTGACTGAACAGTACGTTTATCGGGTAATGGGACATCTAAGGAAGTCTAATGGAAGCACCATCGGGATTCTTATGTTGTCAGTGCATGTTAAAGTGGGGAGGGGAGGGGGTGGGGCATCTCAAAAATACACGTTGTGCTTATTATTTTTGTGTGTCTTTCCTCTAGGGCATCAAAGCTGTGATATCAGAGAGCTTTGAACGAATTCATCGCAGTAATTTGGTAGGAATGGGTATCATGCCCCTAGAATATCTTCCGGGCCAGAACGCAGAGAGCCTGGGACTGACGGGAAAAGAAAGCTACACTATTGAAGTACCTGAAGATCTAAAAACCGGCCAAACAGTGGATGTGAAGGTAGGCGATGCAAATGTCTCTCTTTTAAACGCCTGAAAATCTTTGAGCTGTAGTTTTAAGTCTTCATCAGTAAAACGTAAGAAATTCACGACTCAGAATTGAACGCGGGCCCTGTGGTTGTAAATCTCTCTTTCATAAATCTCATCCCCACTCTAGGACGCGGGTTTGTCAGAAATCTGAAAATCTAAAGTATGTAATTGTTTTTCATAACTGGTACATCGATAATAAGTGCCTTAGCCCTTTTCCGAACATTTACCGCAAAATTTTTCTTGTTTTCGTAAATTCTATCTACGAGCCCTAAACTTGAAACTGTTAAGGCAAAATCACTCACTAATGTATAAAGGTGAATCCCTTGTATTATTGACACGGTCTTACAAATAGAGGTAAGCTTTAAAAATAGGGTCGACGTTTTCAATGGGCCATTACCGAGTTATAAGAAATGTCACTTTCAAAACAAGGCTAAGTGCAAGACCTTCCTTATGTAAATGAGTTATATTGGCAAGAGAATGAAAAATCAATTTCACATCAAGAGCCTCGCAATTAGCCTCGTTTTGAAACAGAGGCTTGCGGCAACTGGGAAATGGCCTATTTTATCCATGCCTTTGCTTCCTTTTTGCCTTTCTATGTTTCTGTTGTTTCGTTAAGTGCTGAAATTGCCCAAAATCACCTGACGTACCTTAAAAAGTGAGTGTGTATTTTTTCCCGGTTGTTTAATTGATTTGTTTGTCTGTTTCTTTGCAGCTGAATGATGGTCGTTTATTCAAAGTAAAAGTTCGTTTTGACACAGATGTCGAGCTGATGTACTTTAAACATGGCGGCATCCTGAACTACATGATTAGGAGCATGTTGCAGTGAATAATCCCTGAAATTATCGCTATTTTCCTGAGCTTATATTTAAATGCTGGTCATCAGCGAAGACAGTGGGAAAAAGTGCGAATTTTCAAGAGCGTTTTGCTCTTCACACCGTTGAATGGATAAAGAAGGAAAAAAAAACGTGGGGGAGTGGGGATAAATAGGGGCGTTGGTTTTTTCACAATTATGAAATAGATAGGCTCGATTACTAACCGCTGGTCGGGAAATAAGCCCGCGCTCCTCCCTCTTCTTGGGGAAGACCGAGAGAGCGACGGAGATCAAACCTAGAAATAGACTATCTCCGAATTTCAAGATCCTCCCTTTCAAATAGAGGTGAATTGCAAACACTTTGTACGTGAAAATTTGTGTCACACATGCAAGAGAATAAAAAGATATTTCATTTCGAAGAGTTCGCATTTCACTCTCGATTGGAAAGGGCCTTGCGGTAACTCGGAAGTGAACAAATGTAGTTGAGCCCGCAATACCTCGTAGTCCAAAATGTCACCAAGAAGCGAATGACGAAAATTCACCACTTTAGAAATGAGAAAACTGGGCCGAGTTAACTTTCGCAAAGACTTCTGGGATCGTTACCAGGGACGCGCTGGTCAGCCATTGGTCAATTTTTTCCCGTCTCCAGTAACCGTCCCAGAAGTCTTTGCAAAAGTTAACTCGACCCAGTTTCCTTTCCGTTTCTAAAGTGTCGAGTAGTAATTTAAAATATTCCTTTCGTTTCGTTTTTATATCAGCCAATACAACTTTCCCGCATGATTAGGCGTTATAACAGGAATTGTTTATGATTTCTTCTCTTTTTTAAGGCTTCTGTATATATGATACGAATTCAACCTGACTATTTAAGAAAAATATCAGGCAAACTACAAGAAAGAGAAATTATATTTTTAGCAATGCCTAGTGATAAAAAAAGTGCTACATATAAAAATGTAAGACGAATGTTAGGAAAAAAAGCAAAATTCGAATTGACAAAATATTTCAAATAGTTGTAGGAGGGCTTTGATTAAAGATTCTGTCTGAAACTAGTAGACTTTGTCCTGAGAAAACAGAAACCAAACTATTTAACAGTGTTATTCATAAACGTTAATGCCTGTAACACGTTGAAAATAAAATGAACAATTTGAACTGGTTGTTTTGTTAGTGTTGTTGTTTGTGGTTTACGTCTCGTAGTGGTGGTAACTGGAATAGTTGGGTTTCTTTTTGAGCCTCGAAAGCAAGGAGAAACAGGAGTCCCTAATCCGTCCTTAAAATCACTTTTGAATGCAGAACATCTGTATTTTGTTTTCGGTTTAGTTCGTTTTTCCTGCAGGTCCCAGTTGTTCGAAGGCCGATTAGCGTTAAATTTTTAATCCGGGTTTCTATCTTTTTTTTAACAAGCACTTTCTTTGATAATTTCCTGAATTCTTTTTAGAGCATCCAATCTTCAAATCGTAGACAAGGAATTGAACTGAATTTGCTTTTTAAGAGCGAATGCACAGAAAAATCGAGCAAAATCGGCAAATCGTGGCCACAGCTCAAAACCTAACATACCCTCATTTTCAGTCTGTAATAAGGTTTTAATGAGTTTATAACACTGCTGAGGTTTAAATTTCAAAATGCGGCCAAGTTTGGAAATTATTTAAGATTTTCGATTTCAACGGTCTGCGGGCCTAAAATTAGCCGCCGAACACGGCAATATAGCCTAGCGACAGAAATGAGCTGACTTTCATAAACGAGCGAATATATTGGCAATCTTCCGCTTAAATCTCAAAAAGCAGATATCTAACAATTTCTGAACGGCACATTTTTTAGATTTAGAGCAAAAATATCGAGGAATTAGCAGAATTTTGAAACGTAATTTGCATAATGCTTATAAATACAACAATTTACCGCTAAAACCAAAATTGAATTTTCTATATGGGGGAATTCTCCAAATCACCCCAAATCCCGCTTACTACCTAATGAGATATAGTACTTCAACATTATCTGAAAGTTAGTCTGGTGTTCTCGCGAACGCTTGTAAAATAGATTGATTATTTTGAGGTTATTTTCACCCAAACAACCGCTAATTGACCCCAGGGTCAGTTGACACGTGCACGTCACCTTAGTTTTTTATGCATCGATTTGAGCTCGTTAAAAGAGCGAAACTAACAAGATTCTTTTAATATGTACCTATTTTGATGAAATACACGCAATCTTCAAAAGGAGAGGCCGTTCAGTGGGTAATTTCTGTTCTTGAGATCTTGTAGATTGCAGCATGGCGTCTGCGAGTGGACCTTAATCTAGGTCTGTTTTCCCGTGACTGCGAAATCAGAATAACATCAAGAAATAATTCTCCCTCGAATCTTCGTAAGTGAATCAGCTTTGCAGTGCCTTACCTGAGATAAAAAGTGGGCCGAATAGCAAAACATTTCTAGCGCAATTTGGATCCTTTGTGGAACGCAGTGTATTGCTGAGCGAAAGGTGAGTAAACAAACGTAGGAAAGTACGTTACCTTTGATTGCGTGACCAGCCTGCAAACGATAGTCTCCAGCGAAAAATAGGATTCGCAAAAATCTTGCTGATGTATATTTAACAGTTTGTTACTATAAATTTACACCTGGTTTGTCTAAAACTTTAAACAATGCATATCTGTCCAAGAGTATAAGAATGTTTCGAAAGATCCACCCCTAAATAATAGCCTGTTCCAAGCGTTCAGATAGTGGAGAGCGGTGCGAAGTAAAGATAGCGATAAAAAGTAGAGGGGGACTGGGGAGAGAGGCGCTCGTGAATATACCAAACTATAGCCGGTCATCCTACAACGAATCTCAGTTTTAGCAGGCGTGGCCACGTTTCCAGCCCGGGGGCACTTTAGGAATTTCTGGGTGGGGATGTGCCGCTGGGACCCTGGAACCCTTGACCTATACCAGAGCTACTTCAGCTGAATTTTGCTACCCTATACTAGAGTAAACTCCCAAAATCCCCCTATCCTAGAGTAGCTGTTTCCCCAGTCTAGATCAGATGGGCTCCTGTCTAGATAAAATCTTCAACGAACTGATCAGTTTCCTGAAAAATGATACCCTATTCTAGACCCAAACGCTCTGATTTATATACCCTATCCTAGAGTAAACTGCTTGAAAACCATACCCTTCACAGCGGCACATACCCATATAGCCCATATATGGCAGTACCCCCCCCCCCCGGGGTTTCCAGTTGCTGTAAGATTAATTCGACACCTGCAACAGACACTGTAAATTGAATAGAGTGTTTTCACTCACGTAGCCAGCATCTATGCAAATTTATTGGAACAAAAGAAATCGTTTGCATAAGAAAGGAGTTCAACTCCCACAGGACTGGTTTGGGACACCAACATGGCCGCCGTTTCATTGTTTTGGGAGACCAATATGGCCGCCGTGACGTCATGTGAAAACACTCTATAGCAGCCACAACGCCCTTCCTTGAAACCGTCAGGACGAGAAAGTTTATAAAAGACTTAACAGGTGTGCGCGGCGGTTTCCTTTTCTTCCTTCCCTCCCATTGTAGCACTCAAATTCTGACCCTGATCGTTCCTGAGCCGATAGGCACAAGGATACCAGTTTCTTGCAAAATATGCTGCGACATCCGTTTGCTCATCCCCCTTTCTGCCTTTGGCCGCTGATTAGGTTTGGTTATGTGCTTTGAAATAACTTTAGGAACGAAACATGATACGTGAGGGGCGTGTCCGGCTAAGGGCAAGTAACTCTCGGTGGTGAAGACATATACTGGGCTTGTCAGTATTTCGTAGCCTGTACCACGTCGCGAAAAGAGAACAAGCCAAAGAAAAATAAGACGCCTTTCTTTCCCCAGCCCCCGCAGGTTTTTCGCATTACTTTTTACTGCACAACTGATTCTACCTTTTCGAGCCGGAGCGAACATGGACGCCCTCCACTTCATTTTCGGCACCTGACTAAACGCAAGCGCTGACTTGTGCGCCTATGCTTCGTTTGCACTGAAGTAGCAGTATATGACCACGACAGACTTGCTGCTATCCTTGGTTTGAAACCGCAATGGGCAAGAACAATTTCTTGAAAAGAGCAAACTATTTCCTCCTTAGCAGACATGGAGAAGAACTACTGGGACTTACGCAATGCCATTGCTTAAGTCCTACTAGACTTGAAAAGAGAAAGCATGATGCTTTCTCTTTT